ATGATACAGACACTAAAAAAAAAAATCCCCAAGTTACTTTGAAACCTACTGCTTCATCTCAGAGCTGAGCAGAGGATACAAGGAATGGGCAAGGCTTCCTTTGAAATGCCCAGCCCTCGGTACTGTCGAAGGGAATTCACGCAACATTTCTCGGAGTGACCACTTGTGTGTGTCCGGCATTTTCAGAGACTGTCGGACGCGGCCTGAAGTGCGCCCTAGAATGGAGCCTCGCTGTCTGAAGCAAAACCGCTTGCACCGGCGCGTGTCGCGGCTCCCTTGTTCCGGAAGAGGCGGCTGATGCCCAGGGTGGCCCAGACCAACCCCTCTGCCCCCCGGGGGCTGAGAGCCGGCAGGCGCAGCTAGGGAGGCCCCTGCCGGGTCCATGCCTGGAGAGGCCCCCAGTACCCCGGAGCTCAGCTCGAAGTGGAACCGCTGTGGCTTTGACATACGACGTGGTTCACTGTTCAATAATTCTGTCCCTGTGTCTCTCACCAGTTTTGAGATGTGCGGGTTCTCTATAACCGAGGCCGCAGCCCACACGCCGCCCCGCATCTCTCGCCTGCTGGCCGCTTTGGGGCCCACCCAGTGCGGCAGAGCCACCGGCTCTCCCAGACGCCCCGCCAGGGCACCAGGCCTGCCCCTCGCCCCACCCTTCTCTGATGCCCCTGTGGGGTGGCCTGTGGGCCTTTTCTGTTCTAAGAAAAAGTCCGTCTCTTCTGATGGGTTCGTGCCTCTCGTTACTAGATAATGAGATTATGTAACTCACTGTTTAATTTTGCCTTTGTTACCAGGAAGCTCAGTTCCATGTGTGTTCAGGACACAAAAATAAGCTTGAAAAAAAAGGGGAAACGCATCAGGCATTTCCAGCCCCTGGGGGAAGCCACCGTGTAGCGCCCACCACGGTGTGCATGGGGCGGTCGGAGGGAAAAGCCTCAGGGCGCTGGCGCCGCAGCCGCGGGGCGTTGTGACCTGGCGCGTCTCAGCGCCAGAGAGGAGCGTGTTCCCAGTCGTGAACGCGCGCCGGGGACACGCAGGCATCGCCCCAGGCGCCCATCGGAATCTTCGCCGGGACCCGCCCTGTCACCTGAACACTCTTCTGCGGAAGAGGAGACGCGGCACAGACGCTCAAAGAAGACACGGGCGACAAAGGACGGGTGTCGGGTTGGGACTGCAGCCCCAAAGGCCCCCGAACCTCGGCGAGGGGCCCGGGCCCAGACCTGGCCGCGGAGGCGCTCAGTCGCCAGGCTGGCGTGCGGCCGCCGTCCCGCCCGGGGCAGCAGCCTGGGGCCGCCAGCGCCCGGACGGGGCAGTGCTGGTCTGACGGGGCCACGCTGGCCACCCGCTGCCACGCAGCCGGGCGTGCGCAGCCCCAGCAACGCGTGGAGCTCTCACCGTGTGGGGCAGGCAGAACCCCGACACCCCCCAGTGGGCTGACGTGTCCGTGCTGAAAAGCGAGGTGCCAGGTTACGATTTCAGAGTCAAGCGTGGCAGACCCCATGGCCCGCCCGCCCCAGCGCAGCTGGGCCCCACCTGGGGCAACCACGCACCTAAAGGTTCCGGCTTTGTGGCGTCGACTTTTTTTCCAGAAAGAGAGCAGATCAAGATAAAATCCATCTTAAACGCCAGGCTGCACCCTAAACATAAGGAACGCAGTCCTGTAGGCTCAGCCTCAGAGTTGACCGGCGCTGCTCCTGGGCCGGGGCAGCGGGACGGCAGCCTGGGGACCACCCCTCAGGCGGCGGGCGAACGCCCGGTGTCAGTGCCGTTTGCGCAGAGGGGCTCCGTGCCCGCCCCCCAACTCCCACGGAGGGCTTCTCTTGCTTCCTGCTCCACGGACGCAAATATTCAAAAGGCAAACCACACTTACAAGGGATCTCTCCCTGGTCTACTCCTGAACGGTCCTCACTGTTATTCAAACTGACCCTTCAACTTCTTGTTGCTGTGCCCTTTGAACTTACTTTTGGTGCAACATAAAGTTCCGATGAGCGTGCACAGAAGCCCTTGACCTGGGGCCCATGCGCATCCTCAGACGTGACCGGTGTGTGTTGTCACGTGGAACATGCTTCTTGGTTTTTTTTTAAATTGGGGGAACTTGAAATCCTGTTTGGGTCATCCAGAGAGGGAGGAATCTCTAGTTGCTGTTGTTAATTAAATTAAATTATTATTATTATTATTATTATTATTTTTACAGAAAGGGGAAGGGAGGGAGAAAGAGAGGGAGAGAAACATCTATTGGCTGCCTCTTGCACGTCCCCAGCGGGGGACCTGGCCCTCAGGCCCATGCCCTGCCGGGGAATCCAGCCCGTGAGCCCCCGGCTCGCAGGCCGGCGCTCAGCCCCCTGACCGGCACCAGCCGGGGCACAGGATACATGCTGGGCGGGTGTGGAGCGCGGGCCTCGCGGGGGTTGCGACCCAGCAGCCTTATTACTGTGATAGTCGATCGTCACCGAATCCCTACAGTTCTGGGGATGGCCAGCAGTGATTCCGGCCGCTCGCCCCCGCCGCCCCCGGCGACCCCAGCCCTCGGTGGGCGGCGCCAGGGGGCCGCTCCTCTGACGAGCTCTCAGCGCCTCCGTGACTCTCCCCGGACAGTTTTTAGTACCGTCCTCGGACGGAAACACAAGGCACTGAATTTCTCCTTTGTTTCAACATTGAGAAATGGCAACACTGTGACCTCGAGCGCTCCCTCGGAATGTCAGCAGCCACGCGAATAGGCCTCACGTGCCCACTGGGGGCCCTTTTGTTTGGAACTGAGCGTCATCCCCTGGGCGACAAGCGCGGCCGCTGTCCGCTGCTCCAGTGAAGGACAAGGCGCGTGAAACGATCCGACACGTGCAAGTGAGCACAGAGCGCTCAGTGTCAGCCTGCGGCCAGCTGGGGCGGGGGACGGGGACGGGGACGGGGGGGGGGCGGGTGAGGAGAGGAAAACAGACAGGGACGCGGAGAGAGACCCAGGCGCTGTGAGAGCAGCAGGACTCACCCAGGGGGCGCCGGGGAGAGGCGCCCCACGGCGGCTACGCCAGGCCGGCCCTTCAAGGTGTGACGACCGGCACAAACCCGGGGCTCTTCAGTGTTAGTAGTTGCCCGGAGTGAAAATGCGACCGCGTCACGACGCTGCCCACGGCGAGTTCGCTCTCTCCACGTGCTGGTGGCCGTCTCGCCCGGGGACAGATGTCTCCATGTCGCCTCAGCGAGATGCCTGACTTTGCCTCTCCGGTATTACTGCATCCAGTTCCATCGAAGACACCGCAGCTCTGCACGCACGGGGGTCAGAAAAGACAGCGACTCCACGGGGAGGGGCTTCTCTGCCGCGCCTCTGGACGGGAGGCATCCTGTGGACTGAACGTGTGGGGGGGGGGCGCTGGGGGAGGGGGAGACATGGGGGGCGGGGGCGGGGCCCGGGGGCGGGGCCGGGCCGGTTAGCACAAAGATCTGCACGAGAAAAATGCCAAACTCATCTTTCACAATGCAAGGATTCAATGCAAAATATAATTAAGATGACACAGTAAAGTCTAATAAGATAAACATTAGTTGCCGACTTCTACAAAATGAGCGCCAAGCTGAGGTAATACATTATTTTCCTATAACCTGTCTAATCTGATCATAACAATTTTTCCTTCTCAGCCTGATTCGAGGGAAATGCCCCCAGATGCGTGGAGAAGCCGCCCAGGAACTGGCCCGGGGTGCGCAGGGATGGGCACGGAGTTTTTCCCTTTATCCAAATAACAAACAGAAATCTTCTTTTGAAAAAATCACTCCGTACGAGTGTCCAAAGCCACCCTGTCACTGCTTCCCACATGGCGACTAAAGGTCTGGGCGGCGCAGGCCGAGCCCGCACCCACCCAGCAGCTTCCCGCGGCCCCCGCAAACCCTGTGCGCGTCTGGGCGCCGCTCTCCTCCCTCCGCCTCTCCGCTCGGCCACGTTCTTGCTGCGCACAAGACGCCTCGCGAGCAGCGTGTGCGATGCAGGCGGTGAACTTCAGCAGAAGGCGCCCCTCGCTCCTGCCCGCCGGCCGAGCTGCGCCGCAGAGACGCGGGCATCGGTGTGCGCGCGGGTGCCAGAGTGTGAGCGCACGCAGGTGCCTGTAAGAGTGTGAATGTGTGTGCGCTGTGCATTTCCGTGGGAGCCCGGGTAAGCGTGACTGTGTGTGTGAGCGTGAGTGGGCGTGAGCACCTGTGTGAGAGCCTCTGTGTGACTGTGAGTGTGAGCCTGTGTGTGGGCGCGGGCCGCACGTGTGAGTGGGGTGCGCCGGGCCCGCAGCGTGAGCGCCGCCCACAGGGCCGCGGGGCCGGTGCGCAGGGCGCTGTGACAGCGTCCAGCTGAGGCGCCAGCCCCGCCACCAGGGCCCGAGTTCCCGGCGTCCTGCCGCCCCGTGGACGATGACAGGCTGGCTGTTTCCTGGCTGTCCCGTCCCCTCGACGTGTTTCCTATTCAGCAGAAACAACCACAAAGGCAGCCCCACGTCCGTCCACAGCAGGCGGCCACCCTCCGGCTGTCACCTGCTGCTCGGACCAGGGCACCCGCAGAGAGGGACGCCCGAGGGTCTCAGGGCCTCAAGGAACGGGGTCGGGGCTGAGAGGCATTTTCAGCACCGCGTGCTCCCCGGGCCGCAAGGACGCCTGTGGGAGGCCAGGGCGGTGCAGGAGGCCCACCTGCGGGGAGAGAGCGCCAATGGGGGGCGGGGAAAATCGCGGGGCTGTCCGGGCAGGGGGTGGGTTGGGGGCAGAAGCTGCTGGGCAGAAGATGGGCCATGGGGGTCGCGAGAGATTGTCCGTGTCCCCCCGGGGCCCGCTGGGCTCACAGGAGCCCAGGGCATGTGCGGTGGACATCAGACGAGGCTGTGTCTCGCCCGAGGTCACGCGGGTGGGGCAGCGAGGCCAGGTGTGGGCTGTGGGCCCCGGGGGAGCCCAGTCCGGCCCCACCAGGGTCTGCTCACAGGTGCCGGGCGGCAGGGAGTGGGCGTTGGGAGGGGTCCGGCCGGCGCTCCCGGCGCGCACGCTCACAACGTGCTCAGGTGCGTCAGCGCGTCCAGGGGTCGGGTGCGGTCGCGCGCGGCGGCCGCCGACTCCACACCGCGCAGCCACTCAGTGCACCTGCGGACCAGGGCCTCGTCCACGGCCAGGGTCTCCTCCTCGTACTCCACATCGTCGTACTTGTGCTGGTCGTTGAGCAGCGACACCTTGAGGACGCGGCGCAGGTGGGCGGGTCGCGGGCCGAATTCGGGGGCCCGCGGGCCGCGGGGCAGCAGCGGGGCGCCGGGCGGGCGCGCGTCCGGGCCACCGGGGTCGCCTTCCCTCCGCAGACCCGCGGCCTTAGCTCGGGGCCCGGGGCCCAGCAGCCGCCTGGCGTTGGCCGAGGGCGTGGGGAGCGGCCGGCGGGGCCGCGCCAACAGCGGCTGCTGGAGGACCAGGGCGGCCTCGGGGGGGAGGCGCACGGCGGCGTCGCGCCCGGGCCGCGAGGCGGCGGTCCCCGTGGTCCTCGCAGGGCTGGCACCGGAACCAGCCAGGAGCGGCCGCGGAGCGGCCGGACCGGGGGCGCGGCGCGCCGGGGGCTTCCTCAGGGTGGCCGAGGGCCAGGAGCGGGGCAGCAGCGCTTCGGGCCGCGCTGAGGGCCGCTGCTTCTCCCCGGCGGCGGCTGCGGGTGGCGAGGGCGCGGGCGGGGCGCAGGTGGGCGCAGCCGCCTTCCGGGTCCTGCGGGGCGGCGGGCGCGTGGCGGGGATCCCCGGGGCTGGGGCCGGCGGCGGCAGCGGGAACGGCATGGCGCCGCCAAGCCTGCGGAGCATCAGCGCCCTGGAGGGACGGGGTTCGGGGCCTTTAGTCCCCGGGGCGTGGATCCCGGCGCCCTCCCCGTCGCTGGGCGGGGCCGCCTCACGTCCTGGCGCCGCACCCCGCTCCGCCCGTCCGCCTCCGCGCTCCCTGACCGCCCGGCACCCCTACCAGGGGCGGGAAGCCAAGGGCCCCTTTCTCCCTTCCGCCCGAGGCTCCCGGCTGAGCCCCCAGCGCCCGCTGCGCCCTCTCGGGAGGAGGAGCCGGGGGCTGGGGACGCGGCCGTTGCAACCAGGCGACGAGGAGACGCGGCCGGGACGGCGGGGGGCGGGGCCCCGGGCAGGGCCAGTGTCAGCGCCGCAGAGGCGGGACGGCACCGGGCGTCCTCCGTCCTGGGCGGTCGGGCCCGCGGGGGAGAATCCGTCCCAGGCTCCCGGTGCGGGTTGGGAAGGCTGCCTGGGACACACAGGTGGCAAGGGCACCTCGGTGCGTCGCTCAGCTTTTACTTTAAGTGCTGTCAGTGCCGCCGCTGAAAGCCAGTCGTTTCCAAGTGAAAAACCTAGTCCTCGACGAATAGGCAAAATAGTCGTTCCAGTGACGGAACGATGACGTAGGAAACATTAGACGTTATTTTGATGAGTGACAACGGTGCGCAGAGCGGGTCTTTGCTGCCGGAGCAGCCGTTCGCAATGACGCAGTCTTCACTGTCAGCTTATAGGAGACACGAGGTCTGTCCAGAAAAAGTCCAGCCACTGTTAATATAAGAACGGTTTCTGCGACATCACTGTGACCTGGCAGCCAAGGGGAGTGGCCTGGAATGTGCATGTGTGGACAGTGACGACTTCACTGTGCTAGTCAGTGGGGGCGGTAGGCGCTGCTGAGTGAGCCCGAGGGCTGTGTGGCTGTCGCATTCAAAATGACTGGGTCAGTAGAGCAACGGATCTGCATCAGATCTTGTGTTAGGCTTGAACATTTCTCTGTGGAAACTGGATGATTCCGAAGGCCGCGTCTGCGGACGCCTGGTGATTGGCAGCTCAGCACAACGTGCCCCCTCATAAATCATGTCTGGTGCAGAGTGTGTTGAGAAACATTCAATCACTCAGGTGACTCAGTCTCCGCCCCAGCCCAGATTTGGCACCCTGAGTTCTGGCTTTTCCCAAACTGGAATCACCTTTGAAAGGGAAGAGATTTCAGATCATTGACGAGATTTAGGAAAACAGGAAGGGCCAGCTGATGGTGATTGGGAGACCTGTGTGAGGTCCCAAGGCACCTACTTTGAGGGGGACTGAGGAGTCATTGTCCTATGTACAATGTTTCTTGTACTTTTTTAAAAAGATTTTTCAAAAATTTATTTTTAGACAGAAAGGAAGAGGGGGAAACATCCATGTGTGGTTGCCTCACATGCACCCCCTGCTGGGGACCTGGCCCATAACCCAGGCATGTGCGCTGACTGGGAATCGAACCCATGACCCTTTGGTATGCAAGCTGGCACTCAACCCACTGAGCCACACCAGCCAGGGCTGTTTCTTATATCTCTTCACAGTGCATGGCTGGATACCTCCTGGACAGACGCGGTCTTCTACTTGTAGAGACAGAAAACCATCCTGCCGTCTTCAAAGGCCTGTTGAATACCGAGCCATTACAAAGCAATGCACCAAGAAGTTGAGGTAGCTCCTGCGATAAAGAACGATCGATTCTTTAGCGCTCCAAGCGCATGTCCCCACAGGCCGTGCGTGGTCCAGGTAGCCCGGGACCTGAGTGCTGGCTGTGGCCCAGGCGGCTGGAAAGCATGCACGCGTGGGCGAATGCAGACGCCCTGTGCCAGCCGTCCCCACCCCCGCCCTGCCCTCTGCTGTCCCACCGCAGGCCCCTCCTTCTCCCAGGCGCTCCAGCGGAGGTGGCCTCTGGGTCAGGACAAGAGGCCGAAGGCGACTTCACAGGCGGCCAGAGACCTTTCTCAAGGCAGCGCAGGCGCGCAGGGCCAGGGCGGGTTAGCGCTGTCATCTCCGCCGGCACTGCCGAACTACCGCACGTGCTCACAGGACTCGGGAACGCAGCTCCCAGATGTGGCTCTAGCTGCCCTGTCACCGGGCACCCCCTCCCGCCAGGGCCGCAGGGGCAGCCTGTCTCTTCCGGCTGCCCAGGTGCGCCTGAGCAGCCCAGGTCACTGGCGTCCATCACAGGCACCGACAGTGCTGCGCCTTTCTGGGCCGGCGGGGGGCCGCGCAGCAGCAGGTGGTGCTGTGCCAGGAGCAGACGCCTGGTGGGGAGGGGAAGGGTCCGAGGGCACCTCCTGGGGGCAGAGCCCCGCATGCGAGCTGCTCCCTGAGGTGGGCCCCCACTGCAGGGGCTCCGCCCCCGCGGCTGTCAGCCCGGCCTCGCCTCCCCCCCAGCACCCCCCCTCCCCCGGGTCGGGCAGCTGGGCCCAGCCGGTCGGCTGGTCACTGTAACCAAGTGGGACCCCACTTCACCTGTGTCGCTGCACGGCGCCCGGCGGCGCCTTGCAGACGAAGGAACCAAGCTTGTCCGAGGAGTTGCAGGGCCGGCTCTGGCCCAGGCATCCCCCGGCGGGTACACCCTTAGGACTCCAAGAGTCTTGTGTTTGTGGCCTCCCGCCCCACCCCAGTGGCGGCCTCGGGCAGCGAGGCTTTGGGCGCCTGCCCTCTGCTCGTCCCGGCTGCCCCGATTTGTGTGTCCAGAGTGACCCTGCTTTGGTCCGGCTGCCAGACAAGGGCGCAGGCAGAGCCCAGGCTCCCGGGAGCGGCGAGGGCGCAGAGGCCCCGCCTCGTGCTCGCCCACGCCCGCCTCCCCTGGGCCAGCGCCGCCCCCTCCCCTGCGCAGCTCCCTCTGGATGCATCCTCTCCCACACGCTGTCTGGGGGTGGGGGTGCCCTGGGCCCCTTTCCCCTCTGCCAAGACTCCCCACACAGGCTCCCCACAGGAGCCTGGCTCCTGCCCAGTGCCTCGCTACTCTCGTGGCCTCCAGCCCCAGCCGCCAGCATGCTGGCGGCTGGTCCCCTCACCTGCCCAGCCTCAGTCCTCTCCCTGGGCCCCAAGACAGGACCCGCCCCCGGACGCCCCCGGCCCCACTTGGGGCTGTGCTGGGCTGCGCCCGGAACGACGCACTTCCCCACGCCCTCCCGGCTGCGCAGTCCTGTTAACCGTCCAAGTGAGGGCAGAGTTTACTCCTCCTCCTCCAGAAGAGCTGCGCAGCACCTGGGCTACATTTTGTTCAACTGAACCAAAGCACCACCCCCTTAAAAGGTAAATCTGATCCAGAAAAAGTTATTTTTCCAAGGATGGGTTTATTGCAAAATTGTAAAGATTTATATATTATTTTTATTACATATAATAAGCAACTTTTAGTTTAAAGTAAAAACTTTCACATTTAAAGTTTTTAAAAAATTTAAAAAATCTAGACATTTTAAAAGAGCCAAAAAAGTTGAACATAGATCATGCAGCACAGATTATCTTTAAATATTCACATCTCAAATGCTGTTTAGAAGAAAGTAAAACGCAGCTAACGATCATTTACAGCCGGCACCGGTAGGGCTCCCTGTTCGGAGAGCGCGGGAGGGGCGCGCACCGAGTGCAAAGTTACAAGAGCAGTTTAATCACACGCGGGGTTTCGCCAGCGCAGCACACGGCCCTGCGCCGCCCGGCGGCGCGCGGGGGCGCACCCCGTCTCCGGAAAACCACACGTCCCCGGCGGCCGCGGCGACCCTCAAACGCGCCTGTGGACGAGGTCCTGACGTTCAGCTGATTAGAGAAGAGCAGCACTTAACCACGGCGTCCCTGGTGGGAGGGAGGGGGGAGAGACCGTGGACGACCTGCCGCAGGCAGCGGCCCGGCGCGCCGGTGCGCGCCAGTGCGCAAGCGCGTGGTCTCGGCGACCAGCCCCGGCGCGTGCGGGCGCGCCTCGGCCAGGTGTCACCTGAAATCCAAGACTGGGCTGGAAATAACTTGTTAATTTCAGAAATGATGTTTATTTTATGAAATCTTTACCAGCACATACTCTTATTTTACTATGAAGAAATACACTTAAATACCAAAAACAACCTAACAGAAGAACTAATTTTTTTTAAAGAAATAACAGGCTGGATTTAAAAAAGCAAAACGTTTGTAACTGCATGCTAAAAATTCAAAAAAATTCCTGTGATAAAATTCATTTGCCTTTAAATACTCTTCCCGAAAAGTTTGTTTGAAGTATTACTGATACCAACACTTTCCTTCACTTCAACGTATTATCATCTGCACGCGCGGGCGGCGGGAAGCGGCGCCCGGGGTCCTGAGAGGCGGGGCGGCCCCGCACCTGCTCTCCGATTAGGGCGCCGGGCCTGGGGGCGGCCTCCTGGCCGTGGCCGTGAGCCCCGCCTGCGGCAGGGGCGCGTGACACCGGCCCGGGCGACCTGCCCTCGCACTCGGGGCCATGGCGGGCGCCCCGCACTGGGCCTGCTGGCCGCTTCCCCTTGTGTTTACCGAACAGCGTCACCCATTTGAAATCCAATTAAAAACAGCGTTCCTCCCCCGTTTCCCTCACTGTTCCGATGAGGCACACACCTCCGCTCTTTCTCGCGTACGGCCTGTGCTTCCAGCGTCCGCACAGAAGCGAAGTGGCGCCTAGGAGTTTTCTGAATCTCCAATGTAAGGTTACAGGTAGTTTTGCTTTCCCCGCCTTGGTTAAATGAAGTGCGTTTCTCTGAAGAAGCCTAAGTACCAGCTGCCTCTCGACACACAAAACAAATGTGTGTCTACTGGCTTAAAACATGAAAGCGTTCATGTGCCTCAGTTTTTCACTAACTTCCTTAAAAAAAAGAAAAGAGCTTGTTTTGCTGGTGTCTCCACACCCTGTGTGCCACCATGGAAGGGCCCAGGGTCTCCAGGTAAAGCCGCGAAGGGTCGGGTGTTAAAGCAGCAGCGAGTCCCACCCCTCTCGGCTCCCTGTGTTCAAAAGAGTGTCTGTCTATTCACCTCAATTAAAGATTTCTTTTTGGGAAGAGTCAGCCAACAAAGAGCCTCAGTCACATTTAATGTGCAAATGACCGACACCGATGGGCTTTTGCGAAGCCAGGCGGGGTCCGAACAGGCTTACCTTGCGTAAGGGATGTACGACAGGCTGTACCTGCAAGAGAAAGTCCAGGTGTGAGGCTTCTCCGACGCCGCAGGCAGCAACGCAGCACAACGTCGCGCAGTCACCCCCAGCGGGACCCCGGCCGGCGGCCGCGGCACCAGGGGAGCCTGTCGCCGGAGCGGCCCCGGGGCCCCGCGCGCCCCGAGCGAGGGCCCCGAGCAGGAACAAACTCTCTAGGCGACTCTGACGTATGCCCGAGTCTGAGCCCGTCCTAAGGAAAAGGTTTCCCTTTTAAAGTTTTCGTTTTTGTTTTAAATAGAAACTATCAGACAACTGAGAATAAAGTGCATTCTCCCTTAGGGTAAATCTATTAAACACAGGTGACGAAATAAAAAACATCACGTTACAGAAAATAACCAAGGGATCCGAGGTAAAATTGCTCACACTGCCCTGGGAGAGCAGAACGCGCCCCCCCCCCCCGCCCCGGGCAGGGCCCCTCGCGGCCCACGGCGCAGCGCCCGCCGGCCTGCCTGCTGAGCGGTGTGGGCCCGGTGCAAAGGCGGGAGCGGCCCCGGCCCGGGTCAACCTGGCAGGGAGGGTTCTCACTACAGGAGGGGACACAAGGCTCAGCTCTGAGGACGAGGGGACACGGACGTGTTCCCGTGCGGGGCCAGGCTCCGGTGCGACCGGGCAGCGTGTGCGGAGGGCACGCGCGGGCCGGCTGGGGCAGCTGGACCGCACGGGGCCCACGGCGCGTGAACGGTGCGGGCGGGCGGGCGGGCTGCCCCACGACAGGAGCCCGCGTGGCGCCAGCTGGGCACTCGGGGCCTCGCTCTGCGGACCCATACGGCGTCGCCCGCCCGCCGGCACCCGGGGTCCTGGTTACGTCCCACGGGACCCGCCGCCCCACGAGTGCCGACGGCTCGCCCGGGCCCACAGGCTCAGGCCGAGGTACCCGTCGCCGCGCCATCGCACAGGACTTACCAGGTCATCGACAGGAACTGCAATATGCAGAACAGCAAGGCCAGCCCCTTCTTGTGCCACTGGCAGCAGTGAGAGACAGAAAGGGTGAGTGGCAGGGTTTCCAAACACTTGGCACAACCGCGTCTAACTCTCCCCTTTAAAAGGCGAGGTGGCCGCTCCACTCCATTAAAATTTAGCAGATAGGAAACTTAACTAGCCACAGAGTACAATCCTTCCTAAAATTCTGTCCCCACTACGTGAAATACTGCCCAACAGGCGGCATTACGTGAATGTTACTGACTAGCTGGGCTCGGCTGAACGTGTTAAAATTCTGTCATGCCAGGGCCTTTCGGTCGATGATAACGTTTCTAAAATCGACATGGAAACCTCAGTTGTTAAATCTACGTTCTATGTAGAATGCACAGATTTTACTCATTTTCACTTGCTCCTTTTATTTTTTGAAAGAAACTATTTTATTGTGATCTTATGGAATAATGTAAAACAAACAGTTTCTAAGACTTTCTAAGGGACCTATTTTTAGAATTCCTCGCCCGTTTCAAATTTTCACTTTTTTATTTAATCTACTGCTTCCAGATAAACAGGCTGCCAGCCCATTCCAAAATCAGAAACCTATTTTCCACAAGGATATGCAAAAATTCTTGAGACCATTCCTTTAACTTATCACTGGGAACGAGTGGAAGTCGATTCTCATAGAACCGAAGTTCAGTCCTCACACTTTCCACGTGAAGAGGAAAATCAGAGGCTTCTGGACAGAGCACTCCTGCCACACGACATACCACGCTCGCTCTACAACGCGCGGCCCGCCGGGCGGCTCGCGGAGCAGGCGGGGCGGCGCCGCCCAGGAAGCAGCGCCGGGGAAGCCGTCGCCCGGTCCCGGGGCCAGGCCGACCCAAGTGCTCCCCTCGGTTTTGCCCGCTGGCGGGGGCGGGGCTTCTGGCCCTGTCCACGAGCTGGCTCTGGGGACGGCCCCCCACCCCGGGCCTCCCCAGCGGCTGCCCCGCACCCCAGTCGGAGCCCCGCACAGCGCAGCCCAGCCCAGCCCGGGAGCGACACAGGCGCCGCCTGACCCAGGGGGAGGACACCTCACTCCGCCCGCGTCAGACACGCCATCGACAGCAAGTCTGGCCCCCGACGAGGTGTCCGCATACGCAACTCTAGGGACGCCAGTTCAGGGGGGGCTTGAAGAAGCCAGGCCCTGAGCGCCTCTGAAGTTGACGCACAGTCAGGGGCGCGGGCCCGGCCAGCGTACTCACCCAGAGCGCCGCACACAGGGTGAACACGAAGCACAGCTGCAGGAGGAGAGAGGCCGGTGAGTGGCCGTGCTGGCGGCGCTCGGCACCCGCACAGACAGCCCCGCACCCCGCACGGCCAGTCGCTGCGCCTGCCGAGGGTGTCATTTCAAATCTACGGGCGTCCCGGGCTCAGCCAGCCAGTTCTGTGGCCCCGTCCCCTCGCTCTGGAAAGAGGGCTGCGGCCTCCTACCAGCCCGAGAGGGCCACGCCGGGCGAATCCGCGGGAATCCGCACACACCCACCTGGCGCTGGCCCCGGGCGGGGCCGACCCTCCCGTCCTTCGCCCTCAGGCAGAACCCTCCGTCCGCAGCCACGGAGACGCCGCACGACATGTCACCGCCAAAGTGCTGTCGCGTGAACGAGAGCAGCCTCCTTGGGGAACGAGCGTGTGTTCCTGCGTCGGCCCCGGGGCCGCGGGAGGCGGAGGGCGTGGCTGCGGTACCGAGGCGGGTCGGGGCGTGCTGATGGGAACGCCGCCACATGGCAGCTCCGTGAAACCTAAGCTTGCCCAGCCTAAGTGTCAGACAGCCCCTCAGTAACGGGGACAGTTAAAAGTTGACACAGATGTTGCTATACAGGCTAATATGGAAAATTCAAAATAACTGGAAATAGCTGTAAATGGCAATAAACATGAAGTTGAATAATGACATAAGTGAAAAATCAGGCTAACAAGTTTTTTCCTCAGTTGCGGAGGAGAGAGAAGACACACGTTACAGTTGAAACATTTCCAAGGTAAACCTACCCAGATCAGTTGTGCTTAGAAAGCGAATAAACAGTTAAAAAGGACAAACTAGCGAGGCTAACATTTCAATTCAAACACATGCTTTCAGGCAAAAGAACTCTGCAAGGGAGGCCGAAGCAGCCCGCCGGGACGAGAGGCTGGCTGGCTGCAGGCGGCGGGGCCCCGTGCCCCACAGCCCTGCTCAGCGAGAGCGGGAAGCCCGCGTGTGGGAGACGCGGCCTGGCGGCCAGGGCTGAGCCGCCGAGGGACAGAGGGCACGGGCGGCTCTGGTAGGAGGCCCTGCTGGGCGCCGTGTCTGCCCGCGGGTCGTGCGCGAGAGGCGGAGCCGGGAACAGGCTGCTTAAACTGAAGCCAACCCTCTTCTAGCGCCACCCCCAGACAGGGCGCACAGCGGTCCCTTAAACACCCCCGCGGGGGGCTCGACCGTGAGCCCCAGCCAGCTCCGCCTGCCACCATACACACACGGATCTGTAGCGTTAGACACGCAATGCAAGGGAGGACCCCCGCCCGTCACGGAAGTGCCATGTGTAACGCAAGGCGTTAGCCCACAGCCCGAAGGCCGCTGTTATCACATGCAGCTCGAGGAACCGTGACAAAGTGCTTACAGAAAACGGGCATTTATTCCTAACATAAAAATGCAAAACACACCCCAGAAGAGCTGTTTCAGATTCCCCATTTACTTACGATCATAACAACTGTTGCCAGCCACCGTGTGGTTTCAAACATTTTCTTCAGCTGCTTCATGGGCCCCATCAGGAAGCACGTGCTGTGGGGACAAATGCGGAGCTGAGGGCGGGCGGCGGCCCTGCCTGGTCAGGGCGCTTCCCGGAGCAGAAGCCCCGTCAGTCTGCCCAACGGCCGCCACTCCCCTCGCCCCTCAGCGGTTCCCTACCGCTGACACCAGCGCCACCTCTCGAGCGACCCGGCACCATCACACAGCTCCCAGCTGACGGAAGCGCCGCAGCGCCCCCAACGGGCCAGTGCGACCGCCGCTGCCTCCTCCGAGCACAGCCCGCGGCCTCCGCCGGCCTTGGCTCACGCACGCTCACCGGACACGGTCTCCGATCCAGCGAACGCCTCAGGAGACAGGCGGCCGCCTCCGAACGCTGGGTGTGCGCAGGGTCTGCGCGCACCCACCTGGCGACCAGTCCACAGCACCATCGCACCCAGAAATGCACCCGCTGCCCTCAAAGAGGGGCCCCAAGGCCCGGCCCCTGCATGTCCACGTCGCTGCCCTGACCTCCCGCGCAGCCCCGTGGCCACCGCACCCTCTGACCGGCTCCCGCCTTGGGACGCAGGCCCCACAGAGCGGGGCCGGGGCTCCGGAGGCCTGGCTGGTGGGAAGCCCGCCCCTCGCCCCCCGTCGGACGGGGAGGGCGGTGCCCACCGCCCAGGCTGGGCCGAGGGCCCTTGCAGGGAGTGCGCGCCCCGTGCTGGCTGCCCCACCCCGAAGCCGCACTGCGGGGTCCACGCCTGCGGACCCGACGAACAGGGGTTTGGGGGCTGAACTCACCACGTGTCGGAGCTACAGAAACACGTCCTATTGGGAGAGCGCTGACGAGGAGGGGCAGTTTGGTAGCGACGGCAGATCGACCGTTTTGAGGGGCCGCCTGCACGTACCTGGCCAGCGCAGCGATGTTTCCAAAGGTGTAGAACACGGCGAAGAGCTTTATGCCCCCTGGAAGCCACAGCAGCCCGGTCCCCTGGGGGAAGACACGCGTGTGACGCACTCTGCCCCGTGACGGCTTCCGGTGGGACGGGCGGCGCGGCCGCGCGGGCTTTGCGGGGGAGCGCGCTCCTGCAGGGGCCGGCCGGCCTGAGGGTCGTTGGTTGGTAGCGCGGTAACATGGGTACAACGATTTATACTTGTGATCTGAACGTTTCACCTAAAACGCCGTATGTGTGCTTGAGTGTGATGTTGTTATGTTACAGAACGACATGCCTGTGATTTTGGGATAAAGCGGAGGCCTTATCTGTGCCAGACCCCTGCATACAACCTCTAATTACATCATTTTGAAAAGATAATTTTCAAGGTTATTGGAGAACGTGAATCTTGTGTCTACTTGCACCTAAGTGTGTATGAAGGAGCCATAACACAGCTTCCTTTATACGTGCGAGCAAATCGCACTCGACTTAAACGTTCTTTCTCAGTGGCAAGTTAAGAAAGGTGGTTCCCGTCTCAATTCCCGGCTCCGCAGCTCTTTTCATTTCTCTGGAGTAGCACTGTCCTAACGACCTAGCGTCACTCTCGTCGGCACTGCCTGGCACTGACCTCCCGCCCTCGGTCCCGGCGGCTCCCTGGGTCCCGATGGGGCGGGCTGCTCGCTGGCCGGGACCAGGGCACCAGACATGGCCACACGGCACAAAGGCGGGACTCACCAGGATGGAGAAGAAAATGCCGCTCACGAAGCAGATGGCGAACCACTTCAGCCTGGTGTTGAAGCTCAGGGAGGCGCCGTCCAGCACCTGGAGGGGGGACGCGCGTCCTTATAGGGAGGCCGGGCCGGACTCCCCGGCCCCACACCGGTGCACCGTGTTCCCCACGCCCAGTGGCGCCCTCTGAGGACGCCACGCCCCCGCCTGCGCAGGAGGCAGGAACATGGTCTGGGTACCAGGCGCCCTGAGGAAACACCGCTGCTGTCCGCAGGCGGGGCCACAGGACTGTGTTTAAAAGCCCTTACCTGCTGGGGCAGTGCAGACGCTCTCACGTGCACGGAAAGACACGATATGTGAGCCGTATTATAAAGTGACGGATGAGTAAAACGTGGAGAAAAGAGGCAAGACGACGGGAAATGCCGCCCGACACTGCGGCCAGCCGCCCCGCGGGGGCCGGGGGGCACCCTGTGCGGTTCGCAGGGCAGCGCGGCCCGGCACGCACAGCCGGCAGACGCGCTCAGGCGGCCGGGCGCACCGCTGGCTCCCGGGTTCCCCGCAGGGCGGCGACAGTGTCAGGGCGAGGGCGAGGGGGAGGAGGGACGCGCAGGAAGGACTCCCGCCCCGGAACGTGCGTTGCTGACTTACACTGCCACACACTTACAAATAAGGCTGCATGCTTATCGTGGGCTTTCAAGAATAATGAAATAAAAACAGAGTTTTATATGCAAAAGCTCAAAATATCTTTGGCTGCATCCTTACCTGAGTCGATCAATCTGTGAATCCTTATGTAGCATGAAAAGTAGGTAGAAATAAATACACTGTCAAAGTAACATACATCACTCTTTAACAGACTTTAAGTGTTTTTACCATTTTTGTTTAATTCCGACATTCTTATTTCCAGCAGTGCCATCTGTTTACAGCACAACTGACCACCGCATTTTACACTAAGAACGAGCATGCCAACAGACACACCTGAACGCCGCTCCCTTGGACAAGGAACACCACCGTCTGGCGGCTTTAACTGCGGGGACAAAACACGCCCCCAGACCCGCACGGCACACGGGAGCTACTGCCTGCGCCCCGAGCAACGGGCGCGCCCCGGGAGTGATCTCTCAGTGGCCGGTGCCGGTCCAAGGCGGCGTGAGGAGGGCGGGACAAGAGAGGACAAAGCGCCCATCTGTGCCTCCCCCCAAGGGTACGCCGCCCCGCTGTGAGCGAGTGCGATGGCCGGCCTGCAGCGGCCAGCCTGTGCTCGCCTCCGCACAACCCTGTCTCAGAGCAGGCGTTCCTCCCTCATCCGTCTTCCCCAGGCCGACCTTTGAAACGAAACTGATACCGCAGGCCTTAGACGTGAGCAGAGGGAAGGACAGGCAGGGACAGAAGGTCATGGGCAGAAAGCCCCAGATGCCCAGCAAAACTGGGAAAATGAGTATTGTCGGGAAGGCCCCAGGGTGACCTCCCTCCCAGCGCGCCCCAGGCACGGGCCGGCCCCGCCCCGCCCTCCCTCCCCAGGCCCTCGCCCCGCGGGCCTGTGGGCCCCTGGAGGCGGGACAAGGAGGCCGGAGATCAGGCTCTCCTGGCCCCGCAGCAGCCCTGCCCGGCCGCTGCCTCGGGCACCGGGCCCTCAGCGCCACGGGGCCCTGGCCCACATCCTGTGCCTCAGCTCTGCTGGCCACACAGACGGCGTCCTGGGCGCAGGATTCTGACGACATCAGGGCCTCGGTGGTGCTTCGGCGCCAGGCCCAGGAAAGCAGCAAAACCAGGCTAAATGCCAGGCCAACCTCAGCACCAGCTGCGCCGACTGGTGACCCCCAGCTAGGGCACCGACCGTCGGCAGAGACGCTGGAAGGACACTCCTGAAAAGCTGCTAACTAGGCACTGAGACTCTCCCCGAGACTGCCCCTAAAACCCCCACCTGTGAAAAACAGACAGAACCCCTAAGACAAAGGACCCAGCCCGCCCCCCGCCCCTTCCCCCTCTTCCTTCGAGGCCAGCGCCTTTGCTTCCTCTCTCCCGAGCTCCGAGGGCCCTCCTGCCTCCGCCCCGGGTTCCTGAGCCCCCGTGGCCCGGCTGGCTGGCCCCCCTGCCTCTGTGAGTCTAAATAAACCTCCGCTTGTATCTGCGCTCTTGACTCTCAATGCCTTCTTAGCTGAGCTCAAGGACCAGGCCCAGCTTCGCAGGCAACGTCTGGTGGCGGTCGTTGCCAACAAAACACGTGACAAATTATTTCCATTCGTGAATGTGGAAATCAATCTACAAACAAATGACTTGTCTCAAGCCTCAATGCAGAAACAAAGCACAGGCTTCCCAGCTCCAAACTGGGAAAATCACACAAAGCCTCGCGGTGAGACAACAGGCACGGCCTGCTCCGGGAGGGACCAGCAGGGACGCGGAGGCCCCCGCCTTCCCCGCCGCATGTGCCTCTGGGTGCCACCTTCCTGCCCAGCCAGCCGGGATCAGCAACGGCCCCATCAGAACTAGCAAATGTGCTGATTTCTTAAATGCAGCCCCAGAAAATACACACGACACTGCCACCGCCCGCTTTGTCATGGAAAAAGGAGGAAGCAAAGAGAAACCCCGGGAGCGGAAGGCGCTGCTGTCCTCCGGGCCCTTCCCAGGGCAGTGAGCAGCAGCAGCACCGCATGCCTGGGGCGGACACGCACCCGGGGCCCGGCGGACACGGCCGCCCCCCTGCAGGGTCCCCTGCGAGGACAGAGGAGCCTGGAGGCGGCACTGCCAGCACAGAGGGCGCAGCTGCGGAGGCCCGGCCTGCGCCCGGCTCCTGCCACTCGAACCCCGGGAGCGCGGGCGGCCTTCGGCTAATGACGGCGCTGGCCCGCCTTTGCCGCGCTTCCCCTCTGACAAGGACAGCGCGGCACCACAGGTACCGGCGAGCACGCGCAGGCCCTCGCAGGGGGTCCTCGCCGCCCCGAGGCGCCCTGCTCCGTGCTGGGTGCCCTCCCCTCACGCCAAGGCTCGCACGGGACGGCCACCCCGCTGCCCCATGGCCGTCGCCTGCTGCCCTCCCTGCCATTCTCTCCCGCTCAGCACCTCTGATCGCGGGTCCCTACCCAAGATCCCAGAGTCCTGGCTGATGTCAACATCGACGTGGACAGCTTGTCCCCTTTGACCACCACTTCAGGTGGCGACCCTGGGCACTCTTAGTGCCCAAATTACTCCCTCTCCAAACTTCGAGCCACTGCTCTCCAGCGCGCACGCCCACGCGGGGCGCGCCGCTCCGGCCTCGGCCGCCCTGCCGCCTCTGGGCCCTCACCCAGCCCACCAACCCCCAGCCCCAGGAGAAGTTACAGGGCACCCAGTGTCATTGAGACATTCAAAATGGCCTTTCTGCTGCACCATCCGAAAGCCCCAGCAGGACTCAAGCTGCCTTTCCGCCCACCCCCCCGCCAGTGGGGTCACACGTAAGGACAGGGGCCGCACAAGCCCCCCCCCGCCCCCAGTTCCTGAAGGGCAGCTTCCTCTCTCCCATCGCAGACCCTCCCCCAGCCTCAGCCCCCAGCTCAGCCCGGCTGCCGCCGCGCTCACTGACAGCTCCCGGACCCGCGACGAAGACAGGTCCCCCGGCGGGGCTGCGGGCTGTCCCCACACCAGCAAGGCCCTCAGGAAGACGCTCTCTTCCCGTCCCGGTCCCTGCCCAGGAGCTGAGGCCCGCGGTCCCCCTGCCTGAGATCCCAACCCCTCTGCCGCCCGCAGGGAACTTACAGGAGCCCCTCCGGCTCGCCCCGCCCCAAGAGCGAACCCCACTCTCCCAAGCCCGGCCCCGCTGCCCTGCAGGCATGCTTCAGCGTCTCCCGCCCTAAACCAGAAGACCCCCTCCTCGATGGCACCTCAGCCCCTGCTGGGGGCCCGCTCACCCCACGCGCATCCACCCCTCCGTCCGGCTGCGCCTCGGGGCCTGCTCCAAGGGCTGGGGGGTCCGGCCCCCGGGTAAAAGGGGCTCGGGCCGCCTGCCCACCGCGTGCCCGCATCCCAGCCCCACGCCCCGTTCCTGGCCTCTCCGTCTGAGGCCCTGGGCAGGCGGAGCCCCTGTTCCCCTGTGGCCTCCTCCCGGAAGACACTCGCTCCTCCTGCAGGTGCACTCACAGTCCTCCCCTCCCTCCCCTGACCTCGGGGTTCCCAGCACCGCCTGAGACTCTGTGTCACTCGGGGCTCCCTCCCTCAGCAGTGGGGGGACCCCAGGTCTGCACAGACCTCCCTCGACCCTGACCAGGGCCCGCTGCGTGGGAGAAACGGAAGCAGGGGAGTGGGCGCTCCTCCAGGGCCGGCCTCTTGCCGTCACTGTCGCCGACCAAACTCCAGGCCGCGTCAGTCCTCCCGTTTCTGGCTTGTTGCTTCCACTGGCTCCTCACACACCTGAGGGCCCAGGTTTGCCTCCCAACTCCACTGCGCTCCTGACACTGGGAAACATGACAGGGGACACGACAAAGCCGCCGGCCTCGAACACGCCAACGCCCGAGTGCTGAGCACCAGAAGCAGCGGCACAGTCAAGAGCAGCTCAGCGGGAGAAAGGGTGGAGGGCGAGGGACGGCGGCGTCACTCAGAGGGGACAGGGGACACTCTTGCCGGAGGCCTTTCTGGGAAGTGACAGGAAGGAGATACGGGACGCACGTCGGAGGGAGAGCCTCCTCCCAGGCCCAGGCCCAGGCCCAGGCCCTCCGCTCAGGCTCCAGGAGCGGGCGCTGGTCACCGGCGCCACGTCCTGGCTTCCCCAGAGTCGCCCCGGGCAGGGCCGCGGGCACACCTGGTGGCTCGGGCCAGGGCGCCCTCCTTGCCCGGCCAGGCTCCACCCCTCGCCCCTCCCGGGCTAGAGCCCTCCAGGAACGAACGCAGCGGCCCGTCCTTCATCCCAAAGAGGATGAGGACCCCACCTCCCCTCCCCACCCGCCCTCACTGACACCCCATCACCCCACCCTCCACCGCTGCCCCCCTGTCGCCCAGGGGCTCCCCCCGCGTCTCCCCCGCGTCCGCCTGCACGTCTCCCCCAGCCGGCTCCCCGTCCCCCAGGGAGCAGAGGACGCGGGGGAGGTGCCTGCGTCCCCTTCTCCCCCGGAGACCGTGGCCTCCGCCACAGTGGCACCACCACCTCCCCATCCCCGGGGCTCCGAGCACGAGGGCCCCACAGCACTTAACACGACACAAGGTCCCACTCGCGTCCTGTCCTGGCAGCAGCCACCACACGCGTGCCTACAGAGCCCGGGAGGCATGGCCGGTCTAACCAGGAGGGAACTGTAAGATGCATTTCACTGTATTAAGACAAGTGTATTAAGACAAGCAGCCTCGTGCGGCTGCGGCTAGCGCTGCGGAGCAGAGGCCCAGCACGCGAGCCCGGGCACAAAGCGGCGGCCAAAGGACGAGGAGCGGGCGGACCCGTCCAGGCCCTGCAGACGACACTCGTCACCTGACTGTTCACGGTTCTGGTATCACCGTCACGCTGTGCAAACCGCTCAGAGCTCCCTGCGCGCAGGCGCGCGTCCTCCAGTCCGACCCTCCCCGGCTCGTCCGGGGCCCTGCCCACGAGGGGCGCTGAACGGGCGCGAGGAGCAGCGGAGTGAGGACACGGAAGGAGGCAGATAAACCACCCCGACACCGCCCTGTCCGATTTTAAACGGCTGCCAGTTCTGTGACAGGCCAGCAAGAATTTGTCAGCGTGCAAGTGACAAAAATGCTCACCAAGCGGTTTCAGTCACGCCTCCGAATGCTCTCAAAAGAGGAAGTAACCGATCATCAGGGCTCGGCACCTCAACAGGCAACTTTACTTCAGTTTTAGTTCACTTCTCGATTACTTGGGGCTTTACCCCCGGCCCCTGCCCCCTTCTTCCAAAAGGCACGCTCCACCCCGCACCGCACCGCGTTTATCTCGAGGGGCAAAGGGAGGCACGGTACCTGGGGACCCGCGCTCCCCGCAGCTCGCAGGGCGAGGGCGGCGCCCACCGGGCCGCACGGCCCCGCGCCGCGCGCCGGGAACCAGGCGGAGGCTGCGGCAGGCAGCGCGGGGCAGACGGGGTCCCTCAGTCCGAGAGCCCAGCGGAGCGCCGGGGGGCAGTTCCCTCGGCGAGGATCCGCGGACTCTGCGGAAACCTGGGACGACCCCAAATTGCTCCCGGGAGCAGGTGGAGCCCCCGCATCGACAGTGCAGGCAGAGCCAGCCCCACCCCAGCCCCCGGCCGCCCCTCGGCCCCTCGCCGCCGTGGTCCCAGGGACGGACGCGGGGACCCTACCTGCGAGGTCAGGCCCTGCTCCTCGTCGTCCTGGCCGCTCAGGACCCGCCGCAGCTTCTCCATGGTCCCGCTCCCCGGCAGCCGCGGCGGACGCTCCCGGGTCACCGGCTCACGCCCACCGAGGAACCCGGAACGCGAAAGCTCCCCCGCCGCCCGGAAATCCGGCTCCCCCGCATCCGGAGCGTCGGCGCGGCTGTGCGGCTGCCGTCGCAGCGCGCGCATGCGTCCCGCAGCCCCGCCGCCGGCTACTAGCTCTCCTGCCAACTGTCGGAGGGGGCGCAAAGGTCGCGTCCGGCGGGCGGGCTGGGGGGCCGTGGTCGCGCGGGAACGCGGACGAGGGCGAGTCGCCGTGCTCGGGTTCCCGCAGTCGCTGCGGCGGGCCCCGGCGCGCGCGGCCAGGGCTCGAGGGAACGAACGCATTCGGGACGCTGGGTCCTCGGACCGTGGTCCAGGCCGCGCGCTGGGACGTGGAGGTTGTATCCAACCTTAGCCAGGTGGAAACAGGTGCCAGGAGGCCCCTGGAAAAGCAGGTCCTACACGTCCTCCCACAAAAATGCAATACTAAGCATTTGCTCGCAGAAAACACTTGTATTTGGCCTGTTTATACTGCAGTGTGAGAACTTACGCTTTTGTTCTCAACTGGAAAGATCAGAAAATAGATGATAAACATCTGCTGTATAACAATGAATCTCTATGTTTCTGTGTAATAGAACAGGGTACACCTGAAAGCTCTTTAAGGATTTTCCTTTCCAAGTATAGTAACTTAAGTGTTCCATGTGCAAGGAGATGAGGTAAATCGATAACTCTAAAAATGGAGAGAATTTCCAAGGACATACGAGGCTGAACCACGTGAAATTGCCCATGTCCAGCTGGTTCATCCTGTACTTGGGTATAAGAACTCTTGTTATTTCCCAAGGTTTAAGAATTGTTGGGGGTGCGGGGGATGACTTCTCTTGAAAAAGAAAATGAACTGAGCCCAGTTTCCTGAAAAAACGCTGCATGGAGCTCACTGAAGGCAGAGTCCTTGTGGAGACAGTGCCGTGATCCGTGTCTCAGCTCCAGTCTTCCTGCTGACAGTGGGGTCCTGGCTCCCCACTCTGTAGCTGTGGAGGCCGGGTAAGGCAACACAGACTTCTCTTCTACGTTCTCAAACGTGAAACGAAGGTGGTAAAAGTCCCTACCTTGAGTTCTTATGGGGATCAAGTAAGATAATAAATACTACATGGACCTCCATTATTCACGGGTTCTGTATTTCTAAATTCACTGACTTGCCCACATTTATTTGTAGCCCCAAAAGCAATACTTGCAGGCCCTTCTGCCATCGCTTGACACTCCCTCCCACGCACAGAACAGTGAAAAATGTGACTTGTCCGAGGCACGCGGTCCCGGCTGCGGTGACCAAGGGGGGGGGCTCCGCCTCCCTGGCCTCACTCCAGCGGTAAACAAGGACCCTTTACTTGGTCTGTCGAGTGCCGTGTTCTGCATTTTTGTGCTTTTTCTTGTTTTTGGTGACTTCACTGTTAAAACGACCCCCGAGCCTACTGCTGAGGTTCTGCCCAGTGTTCCTAAGAGCAAGGAGGCCATGGAGAAAATGTGTGTTAAGGAAACTTCTTCCGGGCCTGAATTATGTGCTGTTGGCCAGGAATTCAATGCTAACGAATCAACAACAATCTCTAAACAGGGCGTTTTTAGACACAGGAAACAAGCTTCAGGGCTGATGGGTGGCAGACCCTACCCGGCATTCCCCCAGGAGCTGTGCTTCAGCAACTAAGGCAGCGTCTGCCCGACCTGATGGGACAGAACTACCGTGAGGGACGAGGAGTGACTGTGCAGGCAGACACGTGAGGCTGGGCCTGCCATCGGCCGAGTGCTGAGTGAGGCTGGTTTTCTGACACAATATTGACTCTTGTTTCATTGTGCATTTCTGCTCTGGATCCCTGTCCTCCTTCCCAACAGTTGGTACCTCTGGCCCATAAACCTAGAAAAACACCTAGTAGCTCCCTTCTTCCTCTTCCTGCTTCTCAGCTCTGGAGCTTTCCAGAGCCGATGGCCTCGCAGACACAAAGTGGGAGGCCGTGCCCAGTGGCGGGAGGCAGGCCGCCCGGGACGCTGTCTCGCGGAGCCCTGCGCTGGGCGCCGAGCTGCCATGCCGCTCCCCTCAGGCCCGCCACGGGGAGTCCGCCGCGCGTCGCCTGTACCGCTGAGGCCAGCCCTCCTGCACCCACCTGCCTGCGGGAAGGCAGGGCGAGCCCAGGACAAGTTCAGAGCCAGGAGCCGGTCAGCAAGGCGGAGGCGGCCCTGCCGGGGCAGTGGGCTACGGGAGCTGGCAGCGTGGTCCTCTCTGCAGCCAAGCCCACCCCCGGGAGTGGCCAACACTCCCTCCCGCGCCAGGGGCTCTGCCCCCAGGGACCTCACGCCCCTAACCCAGCCCCCACACCAGCTGACTTGGGGGCCAGGGGCTCGGTCCCAGCGGGTTTCTTAGGAAACGACCATCACAAAGGTGCTGGGGACCTCTCCCCAAGGGCAACATTTTAAGCATTTTGAAAGAAGACGATAGAGAACCTTTTAAATTTCCCATCTCTAAGATGGAAATGTTGAATGTGGCAAACTCTCTCAAGTGACAATGACGCTAAAATTGAGCTCCTGTGTGATTAGCAGTACCCCAGCGGGTAGAACCCACGAGGGCGGGGTTGATGTAGGAATATTCAATCATTGGTGGTTTATTGTCTCATCAGCTAGTCTCAATCACTTCTCTGGACAGGATAGCAAATCTTGGTACAAAAAGTAACACAATGGCTGTTCTTTCTTAAGGACTGAGGCCCCAGAATGCTTTGTGAATGAACAAGCCGGTTGCCTATGAGCGGCCTGTCACCATAGTAACCGAAGTCTACACCGGTGAAGGAGCGGAGGAAGCAGGTGCACCCGGCAGGACTGGTTGTCAAGTGTGGGCGGGGAAAGAAGAAATTAGGGGTCGTTGCTTGGCGGGAATACGACATGAAAAGAGAGAGACAGGCCTTTAGAAAGACACTGCCTTAGGTCTAACTACGCTTCTCATTTTCCAAAGGGACCCTCACTCCTGTCTGTGGCGTCCAGGGTTTCCGCGCCAGCCGTCTCCCGGAGAAACACGCGCGTGGCTCTGACGGCCGTGATGGCCACGGGAGGGTGCTCCTCTCTCGCGCTCCCCCCCGCACCAGCCCACCCGGCGGCGGCCGCCGTGTGGTAGCGGCCAGCGTGTGCTCCGGCTGAGCCGGCCGGTCGGGCCCCACTCACGGCCACCCTGCACTCGCGGCTGTGGCGGTCGCTTTAACTCTGTTCCTCTCCTCGCTCGACCACCCTCCCAGACGCCCCGGTTTACTCAAAAGAACGGCGCGGTTGCCCACGACCCGGCCCGGCCCTCGCCTCCAGCCTCGTGTACCACCTGCTCGCTTTCCGCATCAGCTGCGCACGTGCAGGCGCCTGTTAGCAGATGGTGGGTGTGCCGCCGCGGAGACTGTGCTTTGAGAAGCGCTGTTACGTTCCGGGCAACAACATTGGTGAACGCGGATGGCAACCTGCCACTCCCGACCGCGGCGTCGGAACGCGGGGGCCGCCAGGTGGCGCGGTTCAGCCTCTGGTGGCCTCGGTCCCGGGCGGGGCCTGAGGGAGCCGGCAGCGGGGGGGCGGGGCCTGCGGACCCCGTGAGTCGCTGGAGGGCCGCTTGCTCAGGGAGGCCCTGGGACCTGCCCGGCCCGGTGCCCGCGTCCCCAGGAGACCGCTGTTACCCCTGCTCACTGAACACAGGCAGCTGAAGTCATCCCTACACTGGACACGTGCTTACGTAACGGAGAGTAAAAGATTAAGTGAACTTGGAACTACTACAGGGAACTTTTGACACTGAAGTGGGCAAGAGGCGGCGTCGCTGTAGCAGCAAGAGTGGCCAAAAGCCCGCAGGTTGGTGCCAGGGACTCCCCAGCAAGTGGCCGCAGCTGGGGGCACGGCAGGCAGGGTGGGCTGGAGGCCACTTGCGGGTGCCAGGACACACGGATGCCCCTCAACGGTTGGTGGGGTCCTGCCAAAAGGGCACCTGCCAGGGGCTCCCAGCAGCCAAAGCAATGACGCGCGGGCCAAAAGAACTATAATCGTAGCTGATAAAAACACACTGAGTCTATACAAATTCTAGTCTGTTATCCTGCTCAGAAGAGGAAAAGCCAGAAAGAAATTCAGAACAGTTACAACTGAAATGCAAATGGAACCCATTCCTTACTTTCAAAATTGGGCAGAAAAGGAAAGAACTGAGCGTGTATGCCGCCTTCTCAGCAGGGCCCGGGGCCGGTGTGCGTGGACAATCTTAGTTAACACAGGAGGCTCCACCCCAGAAGGCTCCCTGGGGACAGGCCTCCTCGCTGAGTGTCCAGGTCAGGTGTGGCTGAAACATCGGCTCACCTGGCTCCCAAGGGCCTCGCAGGCACCTGAGGGCAGAGCTGGCTCGTGAGGAAAGGGACGCAGCGCGCGTTTTCGAACGCTTGGCTCAGCACCTGGTAGGCGGGCCAGGTCTGTGCCCTGAGACCAGCTTCCGTGAGAAAGTCGGGGGGCAGCCAACCTCATGGGCTTTTCTGTGGTTCCCGTTCCATCGTCGGTCAACAGCACCGCCCTGGCGCCTGCGGCCGGCATGGCTCAGGCCTGCCTGGGGCTGCCCATCGGGGCACCGCGCACCACGACGGCGACTCCACGCAGGGCTCTGGGGGCGGGGCTTCAGTGCCAGGTCACTCCAGTTTTGCTTTTCAAGATGCGGGTTTGATGGTCGCTTCCCTCCTAGACCTTAAAAAGGCAATTCTGAGACCACAGATGACTTCGGAGGAGCCTGACACCGTGTCAGGGAGGCAGGGCTTCCCATGTTACGCTGACGGCTGCCTCCTTTCTCACCGCAGGCTGCAACCCTCCATGCCCACGAGTCTGAGAAAACAGCTGAGAAACCTGAAGCGCAAATGCAGAAAAGACAAGAGCAACTGAACGCAGCCGGAGGTGCGAACACAGAGCTGGGTTCCTGCCAGGGCTGAGCGGGAAGAGGACAGGGAGGGACCAGGGCCAACTCCCCTGCGGCCAAAGCAAAGGGGAATTGTGAGACAAAAGGCCCCCGACTTTGCCAGGATTTCCTGCCATTGGCACTCCTGGCCCGCAGCCCGGGGCTCCGCTCTGCGCCAGGACTCCCGCGCGGCCGGCCAGCTCCAGCTGTGCGGGAAGTGCTTTGCCATTGTCACCTCTGCCCGGGACTCTATGGTAACAAAGACACCAGCATGGCACTGGAGTGCTGACATTTGGCGTCATCTACATCTTGGAAATTAGTCGCGGCTCGCTTGTATCTTTGAGTTCTTGCTCCCTTTTATTATTTGAAATGAAAACTGTGTTGAGCCTCTGAGTATTTTTGGAGGCATGTCCCATGGGACAGTTTAAAAACATGAGTGTGTACAACAGCTTTGAAAGGGACCAGAGTTTGCTTCCGCCCAGCCAGCGTTCACGTGTTCCTCCCGCAGCCGTTCCTCTACACGCCGACCGCCCCGACAGCGCCGCTGACTTCCGCTGCCAGCTGTGGCTGCGCTCACCGGCCCCGCATCCCACGGTCGGCCGCCCTGACTCAGCGGAGGACCGGGCTGGCCCGCGTGCGCCGCCATCGGGGCGGCCCTAACACTCATGCGTTCGGTGCTGGATACTGCCTGAGTCTCTACAAGGCCGAGCTCTGCAAACCGCAGACGAAGGGAGGAGGAGGAGCCCACTGGCGCCTCCCACCGCCCCTGCCAGAGCCGGTCGGTCCTCTGTGCACCAGGCCACCGCCGACCCGCTGGACGCCCAGCTGTCCTCAGCACCCTTTCGTTAGTGACACAGCGGATGTGGTCATTTTACAGCAACCGAGCTTCAGAAAGAAGAAGAAAAGAAAACCAGCGCTGCTCTGGGAGAGCTGCTCTCGGTGCCGTGGGCAACGCAGAACCAGGCTGGCCGTTCCAGCCCCTCCGCCGCTCCTGACCTCTGCGGTCTCCGTGCCTGCGTCCTTGCTGGCACCGGGGCTCAGCTGGAAGGCCCCAGACCCCGTCCCGGAGCAGGAACAAGCTCAGTCCATTTGTCTTGGCTCCTTCCTCTTCTTCACGTGGGAAGGTCAATGTTAGGACCTCCCAGGGCCCTGCACACGACCCCTGCGTGGGACACTTACATCACAAGCGTCTCTGCTCGCTCGCAGGCTCTGTCCCACGGCAAGAGGCAGGAGTGACCTTGCTGGGCTTGCTCACCAGGCGCGTGCGGGAAGCTCGTCAGCAGGCGCGTGCGGGAAGCTCATCATCAGCCGTGTGCAGGAAGCGTGTCAGCAGCCATGAGGGAGGCTAATCAGCAGGCTCTTGAGGAAAGCTCATCACCCGGCGTGAGGGAAGCTTGCAGGATTTTGTCAGGGCCTGTCCTGGTCCTGGGGCGCCTGGCTTCCAGTGGGGTGACAGCGACAGGCTGGCCCTTTGGGGATCGAGGTACCCTCTCTGGTGGAGATGGGAGAACCCCTGGCTGCTCATACAGCCCCAAAGACAGGCAGGACGAGACTTTCCCACGGCGATAAAAGGAGAAAGATCCCAACCCACAGAACGAGCGGAGGCTGGAGCCACAGGGAGGGAAGGGCACAGGTTCCAGCCGCTGCTTTAGGAGCCCATGGGCAGGGTGGCGCTTCCGTGGGCAGTGTCACTTTCGCGGTACGGAAAGCAGGGCGTGGCTTTACCTTCACTAACACGCCCTAGGCTCCTATCTGCTGCCCCAGCGCCAGTGCAACCAGAGGGCTGAGCCCAAGCGAGCCCTGGACGGTGCAGCCCGGGCGGCGAGGGCCCAGGGACCAGCAGGAGAGAGACTGGAGGGGCGGGGAGAGGAGGGGGACCCTGGTCCCGTCACCAGGTGTCTCGCAGCTTCTTGCCCTGTTCCCTGCCTGACAAGATGGAAGAGAGCCCGGCCTGCTTGCCTCCCGGGGCTGTGGCACTGGAAGGAACGTAGGGGACAGCTTTGTCAACTGTCTAGCAGGCCAAGAGAGAAACAGACATTAGAGGAGCTGTGCAGAGGGCGCCCCGAGCGGGGAGGCTCAGGTGCCGGTTTGTCTGGGCCCCTCGTCCCCCGCCACCACGGGGGGGAGAGGCTGCTGCTGGTACCCCCGGGGAAGTTCCACACCCTGACGTGACGACACGCCGTGACAGTCCTAACCCAGCGCAGCCTGTGTCCTCAGGACACAGAGTTGCTCCGCTCAACTCCAGGAGGAGCTCCAGCCCGTCCCCCGAGGTTGCGTCCTCACGTGGTGCCTCGCGCAGTGCCCGCGCCGCACCCTGTGGGGTCGGGGACGGTGACGCCGGCGGCCCGCGGCCAGCTCTGACCAGCGCTTCGAGGCACGGAGGCCAGCGCGCCTCCAGGGCCGGCCGGTGACTGCGGGGCATCGTCGGGGGCGGCATTTGGGCGCGTTTCCTCCCGTCTGCCCACGAGAACGGCGGGGACGAGGGCTGCCCCCAGGACGGCCCCGCAGCCCCCGCCCCCCGCCGTCTCCCGGGAGTTCCGTCTCACACCCCTGACTGTCTTGCAGGAATAGGTTTGCGGTTCCTCAAGAACATGGCAAGATACTCTGTCATTCGCATTTGACAAATATTTAAATTGTTTATTGCCATTAAGTTACAGCATTTCAGAATACACACTGCATGGAAACGGACACTCTTCAAACCCTGGATAAGAGATTTTTTGTTTTTGGCCAGTGGTCAGCGGTCTCATGGTCATTAAAGAAAAAGTCAAGAATTCTGAATATGCAGTTACAAATTTTGTTCTCTTCAGTTTTCCGCTAATAAACCTGATAGATAAGGCGCACGTTCCTGTGATAAAACCATCACCAGGAAGCACTATAGCGATCGCATGCCAGGGCTGCGCTTTTGGAGGGGGCGAGTGCGCAGTCCTCGGAGGGCGGCGGGTGCTGGCGCGGGGCTCCGCTGCCTCTGGGGGGTCCTCGGGTTAGTACAAAGAGCTTTCTGCGCGCGTCCCTCGCAGGGGCACTCCTGGCAGGGGACTCTGTGACTCAGCAGCGGGCGATGCTGCCCCGTCAGAGCGCCAGCTGCTGCCTTTCCGTCGTCACGCAGTTGCCTTTTTAGTCATCCTGCGAAGAGACCCAAGGGAAAAGCTGAGGAGACGCAGCTTCGCCGCCCGCTGCAAAGGCCTGGAAGGCCTTTGGGAAGAGACTTTACCTGACATTTGTCTCAACTCACAATTGTATGAGAACACAAACATCCAAGTCACGCCACAGTGAGTCGGCACCGCACTGTGTACAGCGCCCGACCGCTGCTTCCGGCTCAGCAGCACTTTGCTCAGGATCAGGCCGCACACACCCCGCCCCCGCCAACGCCTCTCACCGCGAGGCCGGCCTGCCCTCCCCCGGCCCCCACAGGCACGGCCGCCCTCGCCGCTTACTTGTGTTTGATGAGCCGCGTCCCCTGCACGAGCTGGGCCACCTCGTTTGTGGCGTGGCAGGCGAACAGGAGCCAGTTGCGCGGCTGCACCTTGTAGGCGAATCTCATGAACGTCAGGGAGTAACAGCAGAGAGCTGCAAGGACAGCGCGGCGGAGGGGAGTGAGCGCCCAGCCTAGGAGACTCGGGGTGGGAGAGACCCCAAGCCCGCAGCTCGGCCGCCTCAATCCAAAGAGGAGGCTCTTCCGCGAACGCCTGCCCAATAGAGGGCAGGCTGCTGCCTACAGGCACCACACATGGGAAGCTCGCCAGGCACCCGAGAAGGCAGGCGTCCCGGGGACATCAGTTCCAGCCCGTCCCTGTCCCCTACAGTTGTTTATATCCCTCACCCGAGGGAACTGCTGCAGAAGCCCCGCAACAGTTTTACGGTCACATGTCAGGGGTCCAAGCAAACTTAAGAATGCGCTTCCCAAATGCTGTGCAGTTCAAGAGAACGCACGCTTCGGTGGGCGCGGTGAGGGAATCTGACGGCCACCAGGGCCTAAATTCCCCGGGGAAGTACTTCAGGATCCCCGTGTTCTCCTCACTGTGGAGGGCGGACCCTCCGGCATGTCGTGTTGTCACTGTCTAACCGTGACTGTCCTGTCTGGAGCTGCTACACCCATGCGGGTGAGAGTCCTCCCGGTGCTCCAAGCTGCAGCTTACCAAACGTCATCCGCCCACTGATAATCTCTGGAGACTTTTGCATGTCATTGATGGCGGCGATGGGGAGACCCCAGTTGGCTACTGGGCCCCAGAAGTGCTATAAAAAGGAGAAGGAAAGGGAGAGGGGACAGGTTAGGGCGGAGCTGTGAACGGCTGCGATTTCTGACTTCCCGCGGGCTCCCGGGTTAGCTGTCCCCATGCCTGCTCGTGACTCAGCAGTTCCTGCGAGGTGAGCCCCACGCCACCGCGGATGTGGCAGCGTTCCAAGGTGCCAGCCCTCTCTCAGCTTACAATTGAGTAACCTCTGACTGTCCCATGTAGAGAATTTTGAAATGAGATTACCTTCTCACACAACTCCCTCTTGCCGTAACTTAAAGCTTGTGATAACTGTTCTCCATAATTTAATGCTTGAATATATCAAAACTTCTTTTTTCAAATTTTCCTTAAGATATTTGACAACATCTCTTTAAACGCAGAGCCTAAACGGGACACTTTTTCTGAAGAAGGGAACCTGATTTAACAAGGGAAAAGCTGCTTTCAGGTCACAGGAGCTGTTTTCAGATCTGAGAACCTGGAAATCTATGCTCAGAACCCCTGCTGTCAGGCAATGCAGGGTGGAAAAGACTTTCCAAGTAACAGCCACAACTTGTATTTCAGAAATGGACCGACAGTTTCTCACTGCACAGCTGCACAGCCGTCCCAGGAGCCAGAGTTGAGTTGTCCATGTTTAACAGCAACATCCCACTTTAGTGAGTTTCTGAGGCTAGAATAAACACAGTAGCTTTTTCTATTAAATTAAAAATTGTTTTATTAATGCAAAATTTGCCAATACTTTAAAATGGGAAAGAAACCATCTGCTTTTGGCTGAACACCCTTTTTAGGTAGCAGACCATTCCACAGCACTCGGCATCTGCCTGGCAGCAGCCGAGATAAATTCAGACTGCAGCATACATTTTTAGACCTTGTGTTTTTTAACACTAACCAGTAATAGCGTCCAAAACTTCCACAAGGAGTGGGAAGCCAAGGGAAACAAGAAAAACCCACCACGAGGCAGGACCGCCGGAGCCCCGCCAAGGCCGGCCCGGGGTCCGGGGCTCCCGAGCCCCCTGACCTCAGGCTGGAAGGACCAGCCTGGGGCCCTGCTGCTGTGGGGACAGCTCCCGCAGCGCCCCCACTGCCCCGCCCCCTGCTCTGGGTCTCTGGGGGCACCGTGGCGCCCGCCCCGCCCACACCCTTCCCTCCTCCCCGTCCTTCCCGGGGCTCACTCCGTTTTCACTCTTGTTGCTTGGGAGAGAGCTTCCTCTCCTCCTCTTTGACCGGCCCTTTCTCCACTAGGGTCTATTTTCACTTTTCCCCTGTAACCGCCTCCCCCTGTTCGGCCTGCACGCTGCGCCTGGGGCCGACTTTACAGGCACAAATCCAGGGCTGCCGCAGGCCTGAGGAGCCGCTCCAAGAGGGGCTCAAGGCGCCTCCTCTCACAGTGGGACCAAGTGGCAGAGGCCACGCATCATGTGAGGGGAGTGGCGCGCACCGTGACCACGACAGGGAGCCGTGCGCAGCAAGGACTGGATGGGCGCTGTGACCGTGAGCGACGGTTCACGCAGGTTTCTCTAACGGCACATAAAGGGGGAAAACCATGTGAACACTAGTTTACTAAGATACTCATTTACTCGGACAGTCAGAGGCACCCTCCACACCTCATACAAGGTTCTCGGCCCCTCACTCCTTCTCCAAAGTGCGTGTGGTCTGCGCTCCCCCGGCCGCAGGGCGCCCGGCCCGGGGTCTCAGGCCGGGGGCCAGGCCTGCGCCTGTCACTGTGTTAAAGCCGAGAGCCGCAAAGGCCCGGAATGGAGGAGAAACAGTCTTACCGTGCTGTTTTGTGAGAAATCGCCAAGGTCCAGGCAGGGGAAACATGAAAAAGAAAAGGAAGAAAAGATGAGCCGTTTTCAAAGGGTTGGGCTCTCTCAGGTCACTTCAGTGCCACGCGCGCGAGTCTCGGCGCCAGAACTGCGATGTGAGCAGCACGGGCTCTTCCCGCCCCAAGAAGGTCCAGCGACCTTTCCAGTAACAACTTGGACCTGATGATATTAAGCCTTAGTTCTATTTAAAAAAATAAGCTTAATCCTTAGAGTGCTCCAATAGAAATATAACCCAAACTGGAGCCCCATTTATAATTTTAAAATTTCTAAAAGAAAAACCAGAAGTTAATTTTATTAATTTATTCCAACATATCAAAAGCATTTTAATTTGAGCACATGACCAGTGAAAGCTGGTTAACGAGGCATCTTACAGTCCCCGCTGTCCCCGGCCTCAGGGGCCGCTGTGCGCTGGCACTCCCGGTGCCTCTCCATCGGACCATTTCCAGCGCTCGGCCGCGTCGGCGGCTTCTGTCTCAGACTACAGAACGGGCTTAAAGGGGCCACTTCCTTGAAAATGCCAAGCTGGTGAGGAGCACAACGATGCGGAATTCTGTAACAATAAGCTTTCCATTTTCCTTTACAGCCACTGTAGTTGCTCTCCTCAAAACACCTTGGTTCCAGATCTGAACACAGGCTATTCCTGAACTATATATTAGCAACAGTCCTTTTTTCCCCTACAAAAATATTTTAAGGATGCAGTAGGTTAAATCTAAGACGTTACCTTGGAGATCATTTAGTTTCAATTCAGTCCTTTCTCCTCGAATTATATAACAGTTCAAATTATATAAAGGGATGTGAAAAAAGAAAATTTCTGCCTTCTTCTGCTGCTCGATCCAAAAGTCCTATGTGCAAATGATCACAAAAATGTTGATCACTTCACTAATAGTGATTTAGTGACTGTAAAACAGTCCGACAATCAAGTCATTTTCTAAGCATCCCTGGATTGCTCGACAGCCCTAAATTCTCCATCAGAGACGTCCAACACGTAGATCGGGTACTCAGGCAAAAAATCTAAAAATTGTGGAGAGTCAGCGTAGGAGGAAAGAAAGCTTAAGCTTCTTGGTCTGTATGAACAGCTGTCCCAAAGAAAGCGAAGGTCACAAGCAACACGCAAACGCAACGTGCGGGCAGTCATGTGAAGCTGAGTAAAGAAGGCCTTGACTCTCTGGTATGCTGCTTTTATTTTATTTCAGTGAAGGTTAAAAACCAAAGTAAAACCCCAAAATGTATAGGTAAAGGTTTTCCCGGGTTCACCCGTGACCCTGACCTTTCATGAAGCAGAAACTCTCTCTGGGTGCGAAGGCAGGATGGCGGTGAGAAGGGAGGCGGCTGCCACTGAATAGGCTTTATCTTGTTTTCCCCTCAATTTGGAATCGCGATCAGCTGGTTTTTTCTGAGCTCAGTTTTATTTTCCGAAGCCTCCTGGCCACGCTCAGGTTCCTATCTCCCTGCGATCACAGCCAGTAACTGCTGGCTTCCTCCAAAAGGGCTGTGAGTGACCTGCGGAACGACGGGCGGCGCGTGCCTGCAGCACCAAAACGCTCCCCTGGCCCCTGGCTCTGCCTGTTCCCAGCAGGACGCCCCATGGGGCTGGGCTTTGCCACAGCAGACGCCACCGCAGGCTGAGGGTGTTCACCTGAACGTCCTTTGTTCTCATCAGCTGTTACTTGATGTTCTAGTTCAAGAGCGAGCGTTCTAACCATTGGAATGCGTGATACTCAGCTGTACTTACAAGGCCGAACTAAACTGGATGACAGGAAAGAGGCGCTCATGGCAACTTCTGCTTCACCGCTCGCAGCTCTGCCTGTGAAGCTCAGACCCACCGCCCGGAGAAGGGAGACGCAGGTGGGGACAGACACGCACAGAGAGCACCTAACACCTGCTTCTCGCAAAGCCACCCTTGCAGCTGCTCTTCCCCTTAAGTTCTTTAGCTTCATGAGGGCGGGGCCTGGAGGCCTGAGCTTCCTGCGTGGCGTGGACACCAGTCTTCTCATGTGGCAAGTGGAGGGTTGAACTACCTACTTTTGAAGGTCTGTTCCAACTCTAACATTTTTAACTTGAGAAAGATTCCCTGTTATTCCACTGGTACGTCTCACCTGGTTCATAAGTATAAGTCCTTAAAGCTCCCCTGGAAACGTGTAAGTTAAAATTAGCAGAATAAAATATCTTGTTAACCAGAGAATATTCATTGCAAACACCCTACTAACTTCGGATTTATAAGCATGCTAATAATTAACTGACTTCCGTGTACTCTATGACCTAAGTTCTCCTTAGGTAACAGTCTTTGCACATGTATCCAAACACACACATGCAAACACATGCCCCTCCCCATCTCAGGAAGGGCGCTCAGCTTCTAGCGTCTGTCCACCTGCACAGCAGGGACGGACCCAGCCACTGACAGGGCGTCCTTCCCAAAACTGGCCGCCCATTCCCACTTCTTCTTGCCCAAAATTCGGGAGGGAGATGATGGGAGAGGAACAGACATCTCCTTTTACTCCATCGTAAGATACCCGAGGAAATCGTTTCTCTAAAACTATGAACTGAGAACCAGGAAGTTCTTGACCCAAGATCTCCAATAAGACAAGGAAGGAGGAACTGGTGAGAAGGGGCAGAAGGCACCAGAAATGGTGGTGCCAGAAACCCAGGGGGTTAAACCCGCATCAATAGCAACAAAAGTAAATTGTTGAGCACGACGCTGTGCGGTGAAACAGCCATCGAAGCGCACAGCTCAGCGACGAGTCCAGGACGACGCGGCTGGTCGGCGAAGGGCCGGGACCCCGCAAACCCACCCCGGGGCTGGCGGTGCCAGTGCGGGGAGCAGGGCCGCCTCTCTCCCCTGGACGCACCCTGACAAACCCTCCCCCTGCAGCGGACCTCAGGTGTCGTCAGCACAGTCCTCCCTGGACGTGGCGCAAAAGCTTTGTGCTCAAGGACACCTGCCCACGTTCTCCTCAGCCGACCTGATCACCGGGGCACGTCACACAAGGGGAATGCAGGCGGGACCCCCCGGGACGTCCACAGCCAGGGGACACAGCACCGCGGCGTGAGGCAGGGCCTGCCCCCACCTCTGCGCTCGGATCTCCGGAAGGTTCACCCGACCCGCGGCTCGCGCCACGGCCTAGCCACGTCCTCGTCCTGGTCTCGTTTAACACAAACTTCTTTCTCTGGAAAGTCAGGAATGGAGCTCTCCTTCCCAACTCACTCTACCACCAGGCAGACTGAGTTGTTTTTCTTGCCCTACTGCCCTGTGCAATTAGAAGTAAACAGCATTTGCAATGAAATTCAGGATTAAAAACTATTCCTCCCTCCATTGGTAGAAGCCGGTTGCCTCAGGCTGTGCCCTTGGCCGGTCCCGCCAGGCCGGCTCCTCCTTGGCTGCGATCCCTTCGCGGCGCGGCGCCCCATGGAAAAACCACGCGGCCCTACACTTACTAGGTGTTGCAATCCCACGCAGAAAACTAACCATCCCACTCCCAAACAAACGATTAAAACTGCTTCAAAGCTATATTCAATATTTTGAAATTAAAGCAAACATCTGGGCCCGCGCCAGGCGCTCAGCGGGTTGGGGCAGCGACCCAGAGCCAAGGTCAAGGTCCGACCCCGGTCAGGGCTCAGGCAGGCGTCAACCACGGATGCTTCGACAAGGGCAACAACAAATTCTCTCTGTTTCTCTCTCTCTCCCAAATCTGTAAATTAAGAAAACTTTTTTTAAAGCCAGCATCTGAAGATCAGAGGTGACATAAAATACAGAGAGTATGTCTTTAAGCCGTGAGCGCCCTTTGTTTCGAACTGGAAGGGCAGGGTGAGTGGCACACACGGAAACGACGTCCTTGCGACACGTTCGTTTCCATCGGTTGGCAGAATACCCGCACTGGAGCACACTCCGGGTCGGACGCCCTCCTCCGCGCAGACTCGGCGTTCGTAAAGTGAGAACGTCGGCGGGCGGCCTCGGCGCGGCGCGGCCGCTACCGCAGCCGCCGCAGCCCCGGGGCAGCGGGGGTTCACCTTCAGGAGCGCGGGCTGCTCGGCGCAGGGGACGCGCGCGCTCGCCCCGCACCTCCCGGGGCCATTCCCCCGCACAGCCGGCGCACACCCGGCCGCTCGGGCAGCGCGGCCAAACTCCCGCCCCCTGCCCACGAACTGTCCCCGCGGCGCCCGGGCCCCCAGTCTCGCTGCCCCGGAGCCAGTCCACCGCGCTACCCGGGACCCCGCCCCAGATCCCACCCAGCTGCCCCGGGCACCCGTCCGGCTCCTTCTCTGCCCCCCATGCTGTCCGGAGCCCCCGTCGCCCTGCCCCGCAGCCCCCCTCGCCGCTGTCCGGGGCCCACTGCGCCGCCGGCCCTCGCCCCGTGCCCCTCATCTCGGGAGGGTGGGCCCCGGCCTCCAGGATCCCTCAGGGGTTCCAGACCGAGGAACTCGTCACCTCATGAGGTAGTCCCGGAAGTCCTTGCTCCGGACATAGTCCGCCGCCTTCCGCACCAGTGCGCCCGCCATGGCCGCGCCGGACCCCAGGCCGTTCTTGGTGCCCTCGCAGCCGCTCCTCCGGGCCCAACTACAGCCCGCAGAGCGCACAGTGCAGTCACTGCACCCGCCAGCGGGCCCGCGTCACGGCAGCTCGGCCCCGCCTTACGGCCGCGGCTCTTGGCCTATGGGAGGGCTCGGGGCAGGAGGCAACCAGCGGATTGGCTCGCGCGCGCCGCACACCTTTTCCCCGCCCCACGGCGGCGCGCGGGGCGGGGCCTTGCCGTCACGGGGCCGGGCCCGGCGATTGGCTGGCGGTTGCTAGGCGGTGGCACTCCCGGGCTTGGCGTCCCCGCAAGGGCAGCGCGGCCCGGCTCTCCGCTTCCGCCCAAACCAGCAGCTTCTGGTCTGAGAAGTGGTCGGAGGGCGGGGCGCAGGAGGGCGATCCGGCCCGCGGTCCAGGGAGAAAGGTCACCTAAACCCTCCGGCGCGTGTGGGTGCACCGAGTCACAGAGAGAACAGCGAGGTTTCCGTTGTCCGGGGTTTGTTTTTGTTTTTAGTTTTTTTATGCTGGCCCCACACGTGGATGATTTCAGTCATTTAAGATGCCTTCGGTGAAGGTATCGGGACAGGGACTCGCGGACATTGCAAACGTAAATTAGAACATGACCATCTTTAGCGGGCGATGGCGGAGAACTTGTTTACATTAGTGATGCACCCCCCCACCCCCCGTCCCCGCCTGCGGCCCAGCAAGTCCCTTTCTAGAGATCCATCCCAAGATAGACTAGCAGGTTCGTGCAGTTTCGCAAGCGCAGCGATGTCTTTAATATGGGAGGTTCAGAAACCATTTGCGTCCAACCCTAGGGAGCGTGAAGGAGATCACGCACCATCCCTTCCGATGAATGCCATATCGCAGTTAGAAAGAATAAGGAGCCTCTGTGCTGATGCAGAAAGATCTTTAACATTCACAAGGAAAACACCAAGGTGCAGAATTGTGTGTAAAGCTACTCACTTGTGCCTAGGGACAACGGAAATAAAACTTCATGTTTCCAGGACGCCGCAGAAATGTTATCAGGGACAGCCTCTAAGGCTGGTTAAGGCAGCCAGGGATGGAGGGGGACATTTCACTGTATTCCCTTGCTCCTTTTGAAGTGTGTAGAACGAATATAGGCTATCTATTCAAGATATGTGACATTAAAGAAGAGGAAGTGCTTTGAGAATTAAAATAGGAAGGCTCTGATTAAATCAGATTCCTTTGCTGCTGAAATCCCATGGGGTCATACAGGCCTTGACCTTCTGTGAGTGGATCTCAGTGCACAATACTGCAGTCTCACAGCAGCGCTGGGAAGGCTGGTGTATGCCTGCGGCACTTCGGGCCCGAGGAGGGAATGTATGACCCAAAGAGAAGCAAAGACGTTTCGATGATTAATAACGGTAATAGCTGCCTTTTTTGACTGCTGGGCACTGGTACATTATTTCTCCTCGTATCAACCAAGAAGGTGAGTGTAAGGAAACCGAATGGCCTCTTGAATGAAAACCAAGTTGTTCCTGCAGGATGAGAGAGGAGATGTGTCCCTCCTGGCCTGGCCCCCTCCCCGCCCCCGAAGTAGGTGTGAGAGCAGACTTCTGCATCTCGCCGCGTTGTCTGATGCTCTAGTCTTTTCTTTCTCTCGTGAACAGTGGTTCCGAAATGTCAGCTGTCAGAAGAATCACCTGCAGATTCTTAAGCGCCTCCCGCCCCCCGCCCCACTCCGCCCCTCATGCACAACCTCAGAGTCACAAGGCTGGAGGGGCCCCTGGGAAGAGGTCCTGAGCTGGCTAGGCACCCGCAACTCCTGGAGACGCGCTGACGAGGGCACCTGCCCCAGTCACTGCCGTCACCGTGAGGTCCACCTCCAAAGAGCCTGCTTCCACCTCTGCCTCTCTTGGACCTTTGAGCCTTGTGCTTCGGTTTCCCCTGCCGAGCTGCAGTATTTAAGCAAAGGGATGTGCGCACGCAGAGGGAATAAAGCCTTGCCGAGTGCCTAACCCGGGATCCGAGTCCGGTGCCCTTGCAGCCTCACAGCCGTGGCCCCCACTGTCTCACGCTGCCGCGAAGGGGAGGGCTTCTTTCCTGTGACCCTGCACCTTTGCTCCTGGAAATGTGGAGCAGGCGATCTGGTCGAATGGGTAAGAGAACATCAGAGGAGACACGGAACCTAGCTACGTTATTTCATACAAATTTTGGGAGGCCCAACCCTGTGCTGCTCCATGAGGCGTTTCCCAGGCTTCCGTAAACACGAGCCCTGCAGAGGAGTGTTCCGTGGAGCTGGCCATCCAGGCTCCCAGTGGCCGAGTGCCCATCCCGGACGCCAGCACCCTCTGAGCCACGGTGTGCGGCAGGAGACTTCGGCCCTCCCAGGCCGCCCTTCCGGGGCTGGCCACACGGCACGCCTCTAAGCCTCCCTAGGCCTCAGCTTCTTAATCTGGAAAACTGAAACTGTAAAAAATAATATAGAAGCCATGTTCTGTCCCACATAAGAGGGAAGGGAAGTGGTTTTCTTAGGTGCCTAAGGTCCCAGCTGACCCACAAAGAGCCCCAGGGCAGAGAAAGATTTGATATCTTGCTCCTTTGAGGACACTCGTCTTCCCAGGGTCTTGAGGATTCCCATGTGGGGTCCACAGGCCTCGGCGACCATCCAGGTGTTGAGCAACCATTTGCTGAGGGGTTTGTGAAGAGCAAAACTTTCAATAATAACAAAAATATGACCCATGATGTAGGTTTAAGTATGATGTTTCATGTCGAGTTACATTTCCAGGCAGCAATTAAGTGAAAGGCCCACACAGTGTGCGATCCCACGCGGGTGGAGCGTCCACACACACAGTAATTGGCTATACACCTGAAGGGGCGAATTGTGCACTATGTGAATTATATCCCAATAAAGTTACTTTTAGAAAGAGCAGTAAAAAAGAAAAGCCCAAAGTGATGCATAGAAAAGCCAATGAAACAAATCCCCCGAGACTCTCTGCCACAGCAGCGCCCTGACTCCCGGGAACTGCAAAGGGAGAACAGTGACCTGCACGTACTACCTCAGGTGGCCTGGTATCGAAGGGAATGTCTTCTTTTCAGGATACGTCCGTGAATACATAAGAAGCAGAGGTAGAATTAGTAGCACGCCTGTTTGATCTCCCTTTGAAGTGACTGATCACCACAGACAGAAACCATCAAGGCGTGGCCCAAACTGTGGGGTGTGTGGGTGGGGCTGGGAGCCCGCGGGGCGGCGGAGGCCTGCCAGGGATGGCTGTAAATTTAGAGTAGGGATCCGCTCCTGGACCTGGCGGGGCCTCCCGCATCAAGGCCACATCGGGTGAGCGGCACACGGACCTCCCGCCCCGTGTCTTGGACCTGCATCCAACTGAGCTTGCCGCTCCGCCTCCAGGCCCCATGGAACGAAAGGGTCAGAGGAACGAGTCGCAGAATCAGATGTGTGTGGCGAGTGAAACGTGCAAGGACAGCAGGTGGACTGAACCCGGCCGGTCTACACACCCCGGTGGCCAGGGAGCTCCGTGCAGGGCGTTAGATTTTTAGTGGTCACATTAAAAGGTAAAAAGAAACAGGTGGAATTAATTTGAGTCATCTATTTAGCCCAATACATCCAAGATGTTATTTCAATATGTAATTGACATAAAAATTAATACTGAGCCCTGGCTGGTGTGGGTCAGAAGATCAAGTGCCAACCTGCGAACCAGAGTCACCGGTTCGATTCCCAGTCAGGGGACAGGCCAGGGTTCCACGCCAGGTCCCCAGTTGGCGGCACATGAGAGGCAACCACACATTGATGTTTCCCTCCCTCTCTTTCTCCTTCCCTTTCCCTCTCTCTCTAAAAATAAATGAAATCTTAAAAAATCATTATTGAAATATCTTATGTTCTTCCTTTCATACCAAGTCTTCAAAATCTGGTGTGAAGTCTTGACTCACAGTTCACCTCAATTCAGACACCAAATTTTCACTGGCAACGTTTGATCTCTCAACGTGATAGAAGCTACAGAGGTTAGAGTGGACGGCTGAATCATGGCCTATTTGGCATGGATATGATAACCTCATGGCAGTGGGCATGATACTGTCACCCAGGTTAGTCAGAAACATTAAAGCACAGAATAGGGTCAGCGCGTTCCCTGAGAAACCCTTCCCCCGCAGAGTGGGTTACAGTTTGACCGGGTGCCGTTTCCTTACTTGACCTCAAAGCAGCTTCCCCAGGCGCCCGGCCGCGAGGACCTGCGCGGCCGTCCCGAGCACCGCATCTGAAAGCTAATATTTGGTTTGTCCCATCCACCAACTTTGGCCTACTACACTTCAGCCAACGTGACGCAACTCCACAAAATCTGTGCTGATCAAGCCAACTCTGGTGTCCTTGGATTGTTCGCCTGCAGGGGACAGGGGCTCAAATGGCAATAAAAGTGACCCTGGAGTTTTCCACTGAGAGCGAGCGGGAAGCGGAGTGGCTGGCCGCCGGCGCTCCGTCCACGCCCACGCCCGACCCCCCCACCCCCGCAGGAAGGAGCAGCACACCCACACTTGTCCCACAGCCAGGGCCCGGAAGCCCCGAGACCATGGTCCCCACACAGCCCCTAGGGGCCGGAGCTGGACTGTGGACCAGCAGCGTGACTCTAGCTGCCAAGCCACGGTGCTTTCTGCTTTCAGGCACTGCTCGGACGGTGTGTCAAAATTCCGTTTCCCAGGGACTCGTGGGGGGGGTGGGGGTCAGGGAGAAGGGGAGGTTTCCTAACAAGGGGAAGCAGCTCGGGGCTGCGCGTGGGCTCCACCCTTGTCTCTGCGCTGCGGTCCCTCCCTCAGGCAGTGCCGAGTGGCCACAGGGCCAGGCCGGGCACTGGACCCGGGCTCAGGCAAACAGCAGGTGAGGCCCCTGCCGCCGCCGCCGGTGGCAGCGGGGCCCCTGCGTGCGGGAGGCGGTGGAGTGGTAAGATTTGTCCGTGGGGCCAGGTGCAAGATCAAAGGAGTCCCCTGGGTTCTCAGTGCCCCATCTCCGCCCACCCCTCTGTGGAAAAGCCCATTTTTGCCTTCATCAGGGCCGGAAATAGGCCCAGGAAGCTGTCTCGTGCCGCGCTGAGGCCGGTGCGGTCAGCCTTTCTCACTGTCCGGCTGGCTCGGCTTCTTTTTCTGGCTGCGCTTGGGCTGGGGCTGTGTTTGGGTCTGTGCGGCCGCCAGGCTGCAGGCAGCTGCTGGCCCCACATGGCAGCCGAGGGGGGAACGCACGACCGAGCGGGGCGAGCACGCGGTACCGGGCGGGGGAGAGGAGCGGCGGCGTCGTTGTGAGGCTCAGGTTATACTCTCTTGGGCTTGGCATGAACCAGGTGCTTTTTTTGGAGTAACCGATCAACTTCCCAAGCTTTGGCGGGCTGCTGGTGGGTCCGCGTCCCACCCAATCCATTGCCTGCATCTTCCGGGGCTGGGTCTCTTATCCAATCCAACCCCTTCCCCAGGCTAGACTGACCGGCCTCTACGGTGGCCACGTTGGCTCCTGCTGCGTATGTGCAGAACGCCCCTTTATTGTTCCACCCCTCCCCCCAGGGATCTGTGGGGGACAGACCGGGGCTTCCCTGAGGAGTGCATGAAGTCCTATCGTCCTAGCACGGCAAGCAGGTGTAAGCGGCCTAGTGTATCATGCTTCTAAATGCCTGATTCCCTTTGCTCCCTTCCTTTATTAAATCCAGCTGCCCACACTGGTGCCATGATCACAGTCCGACTGGAGAAACAGGCAGAGAGAGAGACCGGATCAACGCCAGGTGATGCTGAGCGCCAGGAGGGAGACACGCCGGCTGGGGAGACAGAGCAGAGCTTCACAGGGCGGGCGGCGGCTCTTTGGGGGGATCCCCTCCTTTCTGAGGAGGGAGCCCTCCCTTACCCAGAGCCAGCCCCAACGAGGCTGGGGCAGGGCATCCCGGGCGGAGGCTGCCGCAGAGCCGAGCAGGGCTCCCCACGCACGACGAGGAGCAGCTGGGAGTCCGCGGGAGGGGCCGGCTGGCCCCCATGAGCCCTCCCTGTGGCCTTGGGGGTGTTCTCCCCGACGAGCTGACACAAGGCTCCCGGGGCTCCTGCGGGCAGTCCCAGCAGGGGGCCGCCCCAAAGCCGTGCTGATGTCCTAACCTCATGGCACTGTTTCTGAGCACGGAGCTCAGAGCTCAGGAGGCACAACGGGCTGAATGTTGTGTCCCCTCAAGTTCATTGGTTCAGTCCTGACCCCCACCCCCCCGCCGTGTGATGGCATCTGGAGGGGGGCCTTTGGGAGGCGAGTCGTTTAGGTGAGGTCAGGACGGCGGGTCCCTTATAAGAACAGATCAGAGCCGTCTGTGGGTCTATGAACCGGGAAGCAGGTCCCCGCCAGATGCCGAACCTGCCGGCACCCCGACCTTGGACTTCCAGCCTCAGAACCGTCAGAAAGAACCACCTGTAGTTTGGGCCCCGCACTGAGGTTACGTGGCCTGATTGATGAAGCTGAGCCAGACAGGAAGGAAGGGACTCAGATTTTACTGTTAAAGTCCTGCAGCTTAGATAGTATAATAGGGTATAAATAGTGCTTCCCCAGGAGAGCTGATCCCGGGACCTCAGGGACACTTAAATATGCAGATGGCCCCCTCACCGGCGTGGCTCAGGCGAGTTGGGCGTCGTCTCGCAAAGCCAAAGGTCGCCGGTTCGATTCCTAGTCAGGGCGCCTGCCTGGGCTGCAGGTTCAGTCCCTGGTCGGGGCTGCGAATGGTGACCGATCCACATCAATGTTTCTCCTTCTCCCCCCCCCCGCCTTCTCCTCTCCCTAAAAACAAACAAACAAACAAACAAACAGCTGGATTCCAAACCTAACGTCTGAGAGTCTCCTGAGCAGTTATCTGAGCAGCTGATGCACAACCATTTTCACCATGAAAACCCTTTTTAAATCCAGTTTTTCCTTGAAGACCTGTCATATGAAGGATTTTGTCCAATAAAGGGATGTGTTAGGTGACTTTTCTGTCCCTTGTGAAGTGGAGTCTTAAAGAAGACATTTAAAACTTCCTTCTGCCCTGGTTGTGGCTCAGTGGATTGGGCGCCGGCCTGCGAACCAAAAGGTTGAGGGTTCGATTCCCTGGGTTCGATGCCTGGGTTGCACGCCAGGTTCCCAGCAGGGGGCACGCGAAAGGCAACCACACAGGGATGCTTCTTTCCCTTTCTATTTCCCTCCATTCCCCTCTTTCTAAAAATAAACAAACTCTTAAAAAAAAAAACAAAACCCACCAGAACCTTTCCTTCCTCTCTGTGTGTGAGGGAACCAGTGTTACCGTAAAACGAACAAAAACTCAAAGTTGATCATCGCCCTCTAGTGGCGGCCGTGCCAAGTGCAAGCCCGCGACAGCACTTCGCACAGGAACCCTGTGGCCGAGCCCCGGGCCCGGGCCCGCCTCGCCGCCGCCCGCCCCGCCCCAGCACAGCGGGGCCCCGGTGAGACGCTCAGGGTCTGCAGGCGTCGCGCTGGCGACGTGGGCTCGGAGCCCCCGGGCAGAACTCACCGCCCGTCACTCCCAGGAGCCCGCTGCGCTGCCCGGGCGCCCCCGCCGCTGGGGACGGAAGCCGGAGGCGGCCCCGGGCAGGGCCCTCTCTGGCGGGGCAGGCGGGCGGGCGCTCCCGAGCCAGCCCCGCTTCAGTGTCCGCCTCGCCGAGTACCCGGCGGCGTGGGAGCCGGGGCAGCGCAAGGGTTGGTGGTGACAGCGCCTGAGCTGGGTGACAAGGCTGCGGACTCGGTCCGCTGCACAGCGCCGGACAGTTTTAAGGAACTCGCGCGGCCAGAACTGCCCTCCCTGCCTGCCCAGCGGCCCCGCGCGGGCCCAGTGGAGCCGCCTGTGACCCGTCCGAGTGGCCCCCCGACGCGCTCGCCACGTCCCCGCGTCCCCGCGCTCTCTGGCTGGGCTCTGCGTGCAGTGCGCCTACCCGCGTGCCCACGGGTACACACGCGCGCCGCACCCCGGGACGCCCCGGGCCGCAGGGCGGAGGGGGCAGCGATGGCCCGCCTGCCCCGTGAGGCCCGTCCCACAGCGGCGCAGGCGACAGCAGCCCACGGGCCGCGGGCGGGGACTCGCCTGCAGAGCGTTAGGGGAACAAGGCAGAAAACCCAAGACGCAGGCGAGAAAAGCTTTACACGTCATAAAACCATGTTTATTTAAAAAATCTATTCAGAAAGTCTGGAAAGCGTAATAAATACCTGTACAGTGGCCGCCCCTCCATCACACACCGAAAGCGCGGGCGGGAGAAGGGCCCGGGAACGCGAGCGCGGCCTGTAAACACAGTGCGGGGCGGGGGAAGCGGCTCGGCGCCCGCGGCCGCCGCCCGGCCAGGGCGCCCCCTCCGCCGGCTCCCTGAGCAGGAGGCCGCCCCGCAGCCCCGTCTTCTCCTCCCCGCTCCGGGCGCCTTCGTTTCCAGAGTCTCTGTCGCCCTCAGGTGAAGGGCGGGGACGTGGGCGCACAGTGCAGTGGGTCACCCCGGGCCGCAGGGGCCCAGCGAACCGCCCGGGGCCGCGGCCGCGGGGCGCCGTTTAGAGGACAACACTGGCCGCACGGAGGACGGTCGTCACTCAGAAAGCGAACGGCCTTCCACACACGGACACACACGGGAAGCCAGTCCCCAGCCACGGCGGCCGGGCCGCAGGGCAGAGGGGCGCCCCGCGCCCACCGCCGGGGGCCGCACGGGCGAAGGCCCCCTCGCCGAGGGGCGGGCCAGGCTTCTCTCAAACGGAGGGCCGCGCCTCTCGGAGGAGCCCTGTGCTTGGCCGGCCGGGGCCGGCGCAGGGCAGCGCGGGGCGAGGTCGGCCTCCGGGTCCCTTGGGAGCCCAGCGCTCGGGGCCAGGCCGCACGCACGGGGTAGCAGAGACGACGGCGCGGGGCCGCCACAGCGGGGATGGTCCCCCCTCGGGCTCTCGGCGCTGGGTCCCTGCGCCAGAGCTCGGGGACAAACGTCGCGCAGGCAGGCCGGGCCGCGGGCCCAGGCGGCAGGCCCGAGACGCGGAGGCTTTGGTCGCTCTCTGGGGGGACCCTGAGGCCGGCGCGCGCTCCAGCGCCTCCCGCTCCCAGCCAGCGAGGTCGCCAGCCTAAGCGGAGCTGAGGGCCGACGCCGTCGGGGCCTCGGGAAGCATCTTCTACGGAGAAAACGGGAAACGCCCAACGGGGCTTTGCGGGAACACAGGGGCCCAACTCTGTCCCCGCCTTCCGTGCCTCGGGGCGCTCTGAGGACAAATGCCGCGCGGAAGTAATTCAGTTCCCGCTCTGAGGTCCGAACACCGGGGAGGAGCTGAGGAGCGATTTCCAGAAGGCGGCGCACGCGCGCGTGTCTGCGTTAGCGAGCGGAGGGTGAGGGGCCGCAGAAACAATGAAACACTGTCTTTTCAGTGAAAACCTGGCCGTGACCGACGGGCGCTCCCGCAGCCCCGCCTGAGCAGAGGGCCAGGCGGACCGAGTGGCGCGTGGGGTCCTCCGCGGCCTGGCCTGCGGCCGCTGGCTGGGGACGGGCCGCGAGGAGGCCGAAGGACGCGGACGCGCACGCGCTCTCCTCCAGACCCGGGCCGGGGGCGGGGCCTGTCGCGGCCTTTCTGAACAGGAGCGCGCAGCTGGCTGCGGGCCTGCGCGCGCGCCCAGGGACACACGACGGCCGTGGGACGCCCGTGAAGACGGGTCCGTGCGACAGGGACACACGACAATGCAGCGCGGTGTCCGCACACCGCGCCGCCACTCTGCTGGCCGAGCTCCGGCCCCCCGCCGTCCCCTCCCGCCCCAGTGGGGCGACAGAGGGGACTGAGCCAGGGTTCGGATGGGCAGTTTTCCGTGGAGGGGGAGTGGAGCAAGGCGAGCAAGCCCTGCTGGCCGGGCCCTCAGGCAGCGGACGCCCGGCGCCGGGGGCAGCAAAACAAGACAAGGCTCTTTGGGTCGTCTTCGGGGGACGGGCTCTGCTGCAGTGCCTGGTGCCCACTCCGACGTTCTCCAGCTGCGGGTACGGGACCTCGAGGCCCCCTCCCGCCTACAGGTAACCAGGACCGGCATCGCGGGCCTGAGCAGGCAGCCAGCTTCCTCGCCGGAAAGTGTCTGTCCGCACCGGCAGGAGCAGCGGTGGTGAACAGCGCCGGGAGGAGCCGCCGGGCTCGGCGTGGGGGCTGCGGTGCCCGAGTCCACGTGGCTTGCGGGGTAGGCGGCGGCCAGGCTGGCAGGGCGAGGCGTCGGGAAGAGGCGGCCCAGACCCTCTGGGGCTGAACGAGGACAGCGGGAGGAGCGAGGGCGGCCGCGGCGGCTCCAGCAACGCCTGCGATGCGGCGCCCGGGGGCCGAGGATGTCGCCGGCCCTTCCGCTACAACCGTGTGGACGTGAGTCTCTTCATGCCTCTGCGCTGGGCCAGGCTGGACGAGAGCACGGGCTCCAGCCGTGGGGCCTGAGGCGTCCTGTTGAGAGCAAAGTAGGTGGCAGCCATCGCGCCCTGCAAGACAAGGGAGAGGGCTGGTAACCGCGACGCCACCGCTCCTGCTACGAGCAGGCGGCCGCGGCCTCCGGGGTTGGCCTCCCCCAGGTCCGGGGGAGGGGGTGAGGCCCCTGCGGGTCACCACTGTGCCTGCCCACTGCCCCACCGGCCTCGACCTGGGCCCCAGGCGGAGGCCAGCACCCGCCCCCCCAACCCCCCCTCCGCTTCCGGCCAGGCCGGGTCTGCTCTGGGCCTGCCGGGTCCTCAGAGGCGCTTGCCCCACCTGGCCCCGGCCACGGGCACCTCCCTGGTCCTGTTTGAGGAGCTGGACCGCCCTGCTGGGGCAACCCCCGCTGCTCTGGGGAGGGCTCCCCCAAACAGGGCCCGCGAGATGCCGCTGCTCCGTGGAGGCCAAGGTGTGCTTCCTGCGGATTCCAGAGGGCGGGCCGGGGCGGGGTCTTGCCCGAGGTGGCGAGGGCCTCAGGCAGGTCCTGACAGCGGGGCCAAGGGAAGGGGGCGCCCCTGGAAGGCTGTGAGGGGCTGGGGGGCGGCCCAGGCCTCAGGGCGTCCAGCTGGCGCCTGCGGTGGGTGGGCGACCTGCACCCCGCCCCCTGCTGTGACCCTGAGGCCCTGCGGGAGTGTGGCCTGGGTCCTTCTCCAGGCCCAGGGGCGGCCACTGGCCGGGGCCGGGGCCTGGGCCTACTGGTGCTGCAATGCAGTCCCCAGTCCCTGCGTGTCCGTCTGTCCATCCGTCTGGTGTGCGCAAGCAGGTGCTGCTGTACCACGATGGACGTGACCGGAAGCCACTGCGCCGCTAAGTTCGTTCGAGGACCCAGGACTGCAGGGACTGAGAGGTAATAGCTGGGCCCCCCGGTCAGGAAAGCCAAGCGTGGTGGTCCGGCGGCAAGCCCGCCACAGCACGTGGCTGGAAGGGGCAGCTCCCCGTGGGTGGAAGGCCCAGGGTCCCTGAGAGTGGGGCGACCCCCCACGCTCAGGCGGTAGCCTGCGCCTCTCTCACAGTCCCTAGGGCCCAGGTCACGCCCACTTAGGAGGCAGAGCCCGACGCCGAGTCCGTGAGACACAGGCGTCTGGCTCAGAAAGCCTCCGACATCTACCGCCTGTGCCGCCGGAGACACTGGCAGAGCTTTGGTCTAGAACGGAGGGAGGTGGGACCGGGAGGGGGCGCAGCCACAAGACCCTCCCTCCACCTCTCCCGGACCCTGTGTCTTCCTTTCTGGCTTTGTCTCCCTCCCTGTCTCTCTGTCACACACACGCACACGCACGTGCACGGAAGCTGTCGGCTGCGCACAGACGCCGTGACGGACCAGAGGGCCGTGGGCGCTTGCACTCATGTGGGGAGACGCGGAAGTGCTGTCCGCACACCTGGGACCCCTTTCTGCGATTCTTTAGGTGGGTGCGGAGGCTCACGGACCCTCTTCTGGGCCCCCCACCCCCTCTTTTGCTCTGCTGACCCTCGTAAGTACCTTCACCAGGTGGACGTCCTGCCTGCTGAGCTGGTTTTGGGACAGGTACTCTCGGTTCACGATCCATGGGTGTTTCAGGACCTGAACTGCTGTCAGGCGCTGGTGAGGGTCCACGTGGAGCATTTTGGAGACCACGTCCTGTGGGAAGGTTGGGACGGGGGCGGGGTGGTCGGGCTGCTCGCAAACCCCCTGAGCGGGCTCTGTTCTCCCTCAGCCCGTCCTCAGGCGAGTCTACGCATTTGGGGTCGGGTATTTATTTTCAGGTTTATACGTATGCGGCTACTTTTTAAGTTTTAATCCTTGGAGGTTTACACTGTGTTAAGTATTTTATGTCTAAAGAGAAATTACATGTGGAGGCATTAAATGCCGCATGTGAGTTACTGAAATACTATTAAGACGATATCCCTCCAAAGGGAGAACTAATGAATATCCCACAGATAATAAGCCAGTTCTCAGTAACGCATGCGACCACATTTTTGTCAGGATTACCCACAAATATTTGCTGCAAATAATCACCAACCACGGAACGGACAATCTGTAAACGTCCCATACACCTTGTGGCTCCTGTCTGACAGACGGCGTTTGATTATTTGATTGCAAAATAATAACGACGACTATGAAAACTGGTCAAACACAGAGCTCCACGTTACACGTACATGTTGCATTACATGCACACACACGTGCCATTAGAACCGTGGCTTGTGTTGACACAGCATTCATGCACCTGTTCTCGTGGGTCACCAGCACCGTCCTTGGGGGGAGGGGTGGTGGCTGCTACTCCCCCCGTTTTGCAGATGGGGATATGGAAGCTGACAGTGGGGACCCGGGCTTGTCCGTGAGCCTGCGTCCCGCCGCACTTCGGAATGGAATAAGCGAGTGGCGTGCACGCACGTAACGGACAGTTGAATTCCTCAGCAGAATTTCGGGTCATAAACCGCACCAGAGAGATGCTACGAAATACCCTTTTGTCCCCAGAGAAACCTGATGCCTTTTAATATCTGGTAACGTTAACCTGGGTACCTTCTTGAAACAAACACCTCCTGGAAGTACTTGCTCTCGCACCCACTCGTGAGGAGGTGGACCCAGAGGCCTGTACTGACCGGCGCCAGGTCTCGTCCTCGTAACCCCGATGCGGAGGAGGTGAAACAGCGGGCGCGCGGGCTGGGGAGCAGGTTGCAGGGTGCGCAGGGCCCCGGGGAAGGCACCAGGGGCTTGGCGGGGGAGGACGTGGCCGTGGCGGGGCAGGACGGAGGTGGCTAGGTCCTGCGGGGCAGGGAAGCCTCCACGGCTGGATCTCGGGCCTGCGCCCCGGACTCGACTCCTGTCCCAGCACCGCCCCCAGCCCCGAGCCCGCTTCAGAGACCACGGCCCCGAGACGCCCCCCGCGCCTGGGCCCTGCTCACTAAGAGAGCCCCACGCTCACGGAGACAGAGCGGATGGGAGGGAGCACGGGGGTGGGGGGGCCAGCGTCCCTAAACGCCAGGTGCCGTTGCCTCTGCCATCGCCTCCTCCATCCCCTCCACCGTCCCCCTGTCTCTCCACCGCCTCCTCCACCGCCTCCTCCATCCCCCCGGTATCTCCACCGCCTCCTCCATCCTCCTAATATCTCCATCACCTCTTCATCTCCCCCGCCCCCCCACCGCATGAGGTCACGCAGTGACGGGGACAGCAGAGCGGGACTCTGGACCCCAGGTCTTCTACTCTCCTTGCAGCCACTTTATGGCAGCACAGGAAACAGACTATTCACGCCGCTTCTTACTGGCGGCTGGATTCTAATTTACTATTTGATTAGAGAGAAGGTTGAGGAGGTCAGCTGAAACAGGCCGAGCCTGATGAACAAAAGAATCGGGGCGGGGGGGGGGGGGCTGGTCTCCTACAGGGCGGCTGCGGAGGCGCCCAGACGCAACGCGCCTGCAGATGGCAGCGGTGCGCCCTCGGACGGGGCGCCGCTGGCCAGCCTGCGATCACACGGGGCAGGCATTTGGCAACGTCACCAGTGTGTGATGGGTAACTCTGCGTGTCGGCTCGGTTAGGCGGTGCCACCCGTGTTTGGCCCAGCACCAGCCTAGAAATTTCCGTGTTGCTAGAGGTGTTTCGTAGATGAGATGAGCACTGACACCGGTCGAGCCTGAGTGGAGCAGGTCGCCTCCATAGCGGGTGGGCCTCGTCCGATCAGTGGACGGTGTTAAGAGGAAAAAGCCCGAGCTCCCCGGAAGCCGGGGCCCCGGCCGGCGGGCGGCCCTGGGCTGGGCTGCAGCATCGCCGCCCCGAGCCCGCAGCCTGCCGCCGGCCGTGCCGGTTTTGGGCTCACCAGCCTCCACAGTGATGGGGACCAATTTCTTAAAAATAAACCCCTCTCTCCGTCTCTGTTTATGCACCTGCATCTTACTGGCTCTGATACAGCAAAATTGTACAAAATGTGAAAAGCGCCATAAAATATTTGTGCTGATTTTTTTCCAGCTGAGCAGCTTTAAAAGAAACCTATGGGGCTAAAATATCTATATTGTTTATTTGAAAGGCGTCTTCTAGCCTGGTCACGGGTAAAGAGGCTACCAAGGGCTCCCACACCCACGAGAGCACCTGGGCAGCGAGCTCACCTTGGCCGCGTCGGAGATGAAGTCCCAGTTCCCGCCGGACAGGGCGTACTTCCCGCTGCCGATCCGCGCCAGGATCTCCTCGGGAGTGTCGTCGGGGCCGTTTGCGAACGGGGTGAACCTGCGCGAGGAGAGGGCTGATGGTCCTGCGCCTCCCTCTGGGAATCTCAGAGAAATCTCACAACGGAATGCTGCCACTCGATCGTTAAAAATAGCTTTTTGGTCCCCATTATGCTCCAAATCCAGGATTCACGGGAAAGCCAACCTACGCCTTCCTGCTACATCCGCTGTCCTCACTTGGTCAAGGCCGGGGGTCGACAGCGCCAAGTGAGGGCAGTGCTGCGAGCCCAGGGCAAGCTTTCCAGGCCCGCGCCGGGCTTCCCAGCGGCAGCGTGTTCGGGCGGTTGGCCTGGCGGCTCGGTCTCCACGGTGAGAGCGCAACGGGAGGGATGAGAGTCTGAGACTGGAAGTCTCAGCGGCTCCTGGCTGATCTGTTACCAACTCTGGGCTCTTTGACAAATGGATTTTTGAGCTTCAGTTGCAAAATGGGTGGAAGCCTGTGCTCACAGGGACCTTAGCGGGGACACGCACCAACACGTAGGAGGTGCGTGTGCAGTGCCTGACGCGTGCAGAGGGCGTGAGTGATGTGTATTCAGTCGCCCCCGAGTGTGAACCAGGCACGTCGGCACGTCGGCACACGCTTCCCTAGAATGGAGTTTGTGGTTCTGACTGCGCCGCTGTGATCCCAGTTTAGCGAAGAGGCACCATGAGCATCGAAGAGCCACACGGTGACCCGGCCGTGTGACGCCAGGACGCCACGGCCACTCTCCTTGCGCCATTGGCACCGATTACTGACTCTTTAGGAAATACCCGTTTGGGCCGCGGAAGGCGTGGGCCATGCCCATCCAGCCTCGCGAGGGCGTCTGGGCCAAGCTGCTCCAGGCGGCCATGCTGGACGGCCGCTCCCCTCGAGCACGTAACGGACTGAAAGACGGTGGGGGGCGGGGGCGGCCGGGGGCGGGGGGTTTAAAGTTCTCGGCCTTCACGCCGCGTCTCCTCTCATTCCCAGGGAGGGGGGCGGGGCCCGTGGAGCTCAGGGTCAGCCGGGGGCAGAGCCCACGATGGAGACACGACCCGCTTCCTCCAGTGCCAGGCGCCTCATCCCAGGAAACTGGGCCACGCACTTCTGAGGGCCACAGCGCCACGAGTGGCTGGGTTCTTCAAGATGCTGTTTGACCATGGCCTTTCCTGGGCGCATCTTGGCTCAGGAGGGTGATTTTAAGGAGCGGGTGTCTTGGCCGTCTCGGGGAGCTCTGGGGGTGCCCTCTCAAGGAGGCGCACAGCGAAGGCCCCACCCTGCTCCCCAGGTGGCCCGAGAGGGCTGAGGAGGACTGTGGGCTGGCCCACACCTGGCCCCGAGGGGACAAGCGACCCGCGCCGAGGGGACCGCCCGCGGGAGGGCCCGCGTTACCCCGCCAGCATGGTGTACAGCAGGATCCCCAGGCTCCAGATGTCACACGCTGCGTCGTAGCCCTGCCGCTTCAGGACCTGGAACGGGAAATAGGGGACAGGTGGGCGCGCGGCGAAGAAAGTTCAAGTTCACAGCTCGTCGTTCTGGTGGGACGGCGGCCCCGGCAGGGTGGGCGACAGGGGCAGGGCCAGCCCTGGGGGAGCCAAGGCCCCTGCCGGATGCAGGACGGAAGGACTGGGGAGGGAGCCTTTCATTTTAACGGCAGGAGAATTTTTTATTATGGGGAAATAGACATAAAATTGACCCTCTTAACCATTAAATTCTTTTTTTTTTTAATTGATTACAGAGAGAGAAGGGAAGAGGGAGAGACAGAGGCGTTGATTTGTTGCTCCTCTTGTCGACGCCTTCACTGGCGGACCCTCCCATGGGCCCGGACCCGGACCACACCCACGTGCTCGGCGTGGCCGGACGGCGCTGACCCACGGGGCTGCCGGCCAGGGCTCTCCGCCTGCACGGTGGCATCGAGCCCCGTCACACCGCTGCGCGGCCGTCCCCGCCGTCCTCCCCAGAGCTCCCTCACCTCCCCGCGCTCACCCCGGGCCCCACTGGGCACTGCGGCGCCGCCCCTGCCCAGCCCCAGGGGCCCCCTCTGCTCTGCCTGTGTGACTCTGGCTGCTCCGGGTCTCAGGCAGCACCCGTCCTTCTGGGTCTGGCTGGTCTCCCTTCCCTAGCGTCTCCCGGGCCCCTCCGCAGCTCGGGACGGGGCCGCCCTCCTTTTGGAGGCCGAGTGACACCCGATAAACCGCACCTCGCTCCCCCATTCGGCCACCAGCGCACACGTGGGTGGCTTCCGCCTCCTGGGCATTGTGAATAATGCTGCTGTGAACGTGGCGGGCAGATACCAGATAAAAGGGTAGAACGGGCTGTGCCGGAGCAGGGTCCGCGGCTGAGCCTTCCCCGCGCCTTTCCATTCTCTAAAGTTGCCGCGGACCTGAGCCGCGGCTCCGCCAGGCAGCGCCTCCGGTGGCGCGGGGCCCCTCTTACCTCTGGGGCGACGAAGTTGGCCGTGTAGCACGGCGTCATCAGCAGCCCGTTTTCGGCGCGCAGCTGCTTGGCGAAGCCGAAGTCGCAGATCCGGATGGATTCCGGGTTCCCAGACTCGTCCACGTACAGGATGTTGCTCGGCTTCAGGTCTCGGTGCACAACCTGCGAAGGGGGAGGAGCCCGCCTGACCTGGGGGCGCGGGCAGAGGGGCGGAGGGGCGGAGGGACGGAGCGGGAGGGCACGGGGAGAGCGGGCACGCTCGGGAGGGTGGCGTTTGTGTGGGAATTGTTCTCTGGAGCAGATCCTGCAGCAGAACCAAGTCAGCCTGGGGGCTCTACTCAGCGGGCGCCTTACACTTGACGCGCAGGTCCGTCCGAGGAGCCGGGCCAGCCCCTCAGACGTGAGCGAGCATTTGAATGAATAAGTAACCAGGCAGCTCCGTGAGGCGAGGGAGCGGCTTAGGGGCAAGTAGACAAACGGGGTGAGTTCAGGTCCCAGGAACAAGATCTCTGCAGACGAGCATGTGCCTCGGGCCGGCCAGGGCCGCGGGGCTGGCTGGGTTAGGTGCCGGCCCCCGGGAAGGACTCGGCGACAAGCCGCGCGGACGCCCCGGAGCAGGGCCTGAGCTGAGGGAAGGCCAGCGACAGCTGGGCTGGAGGCAGGGCAGCCACATCTCAAAGCAAAGCGGCTGTTTGGGGGGCAGGGCGACGTCTCCTAGTGGGGACCGAGGCTGGTGGCCAGGACACGCGCGGGGCCCCGGGGGAGCTCGGAACCTGAGTGGCTCGTCTCCTGTGAAAGCCCAGGGAGAGGACCTGGGCAGGGAGTTAAAGGGATGCACACGGGCAGCCGGCTGGGTTCGCAGAGGCCCCGGAGGCGGGGGCCAGAGAGCCTGCGTCCAGTTCCAGGACCTGCTCCCCTTAACCCCAGCCAGTCCGCAAAAACCTCCAGGCCGCGCTGCTTGCTATTCCCAGAGCGCGGCAACCACACAGGGGGACCCCTGGGGGTCCTGCGAGAGCCGCCTCCTGCTCAGAGGGGACTGGCCACACGCACACAGCTGGCCGAGGGAGGGCGCCTGCCTCCGGAGATGCGGAGGTGCGCCCGGATGGGGGGCGGGCGAGGCGGCGGGGACCGGGCCCCGGGGCGGCCCCATCTGGGGGAGCCGCCGTCCCTCGCTCGTGTGGCTGGAGGCGAATGTCTAAGCTGCCTGTGCTCGGGTGCCCTGTCTGTGACATGGGGCTCCCGGAGGCTGGGACTGCAGAAAGGGGCGCCGAGGGCAGCCCTGGACCCCCGTGAGGGCCGTGAGGACCTCAGCGTTACCCCCACTTTACGTAAAATGACTGTGCTTATTTTTTTTTAGAGAGAGAGGAAGGGAGGAAGAGAAACATCGATGTGAGACTCTCGAACGCAGAGCACCTGGGGACCGAACCCACAACCCAGGCAGGTGCCCTGACCGGGAGCCAACCTGCGACGTGTCACTCTGCAGGACAACACCCATCCCGCTGAGCCACACCGGTAGGTGCGCCTCGTCACTTTTACCCACAGTGCGACTCTGCGTTGGTGAAAGAATTCAAGTTTGAATAGGGCGCGTGAGGGAAGTGCTCACATCCCCCTTTGAGGAGCCCACATTTTTGCTGCGAGCCACCCGGTGGACAGAGTCTCCCTCCGGCCCCTGGGCACCCGGCACGGCCGGGACGTCTGACACGGAGGGGCCGGGAGGCAGGAGGCGGCCCTGGGTGCGCGGCGCCCGCCCCGCCGGCTCACCCCCTGCGAGTGCAGGTAGTCCATGGTCCTGCTGATGGTGCACAGCACGTCGCTGGCCTCCCGCTCCGAGAAGCACCTCTGCCTCAGGATGCGGTCCAGCAGCTCCCCGCCGCGCATCAGCTCAGTCACCAGGTACACGAACTTCCCGTCGTCGTAGACCTGGGTGCGGCAGGAGGCGCGCACGTGTCAGTGCCGCGCGGTCCCCGACGCCGCCCGGCCCGCCGCCCGCCGCCCGCCACCGTGGGGAGAGGAGCAGCTGCAGAGGGCGCCCTCCCAGGAAGCAAAAGGAAGACGTGTGCACAGCAGAAATGGGTGAGTGGCCAGTCCAATCCCACAGACATGGCTCGTACGGCAAAACCGGCCTAAAGCGCCCGCAGCCGGTCAGAGACTCCGGCTGCGAGGCCGCAAGCTCACACCTGCCCCACTGAGGGTCCAGCTGAGAGGAACCCTGGCCCTGCCCACTGCCGGAGACAGACACCTGGAGACTGAAGCGTGGGCGTCTGCGCAACGCCTGGGGCAGCGGGTGCAGACCCTCGGCGCGCCAGGTCCCGGGGCCTGGGCAGGGGTTGGCTCCGACCCGCGGGGCCGGGCGGGGGCGGGCGGAGCCTCGCCCTGCGTTTCTGACGCGCCCACGGCCGCTGGGCCCGGACAAGACTGGGAGCGGCCAGGCCCCGGGGCCAGACCCGGGGGTCGGGGGGCCAGAGCCAACTTGGCTCGTGGGGTGGAGCGTGGATCTCAGAGGAGCGACAGAAAAGGGGGCTCTCGCCACGCTGGCTGCAACGCCCGGCTCGTCCCACGTCACACCGTGGGCGTGACAGCCGTGAGAGCCGGCTGCCGGGAGGAGAGCCCGGTGGGAACCGCCAGACCCTGAACACGGCTCGGCCTTGGCTCCCAGGCCCGTGCGTCCTCCAAACACAGCACCGGAGCACCGTGCCCCGCTCCGGACGCAGCGGAAGCTGTCCAGTGGACGGGCTGTGTCTGTCTCCGAGTCTGTGAACGCTAACGCTCTGCTCTTGAGAACGCTCACCGGTGCCATTCGCAACAAGAGCGGTTTGAAACGCACAGGGGCTTCCGGTGGGTCGGGCTGGGTTTGCAGGGACCTCGACGGCAAAGTGAGATGGGGCGAGGGCCGGAGGCGGCCAGGCCCACCCCCGACAGCGCCAGGCTTCCCGTTCAGCTTTGCTGACCAGGCGCTTGCTCCCCGGTTCCCTCGGAAGTGAACAGGCAGTCGGAGGTCCTCTTACTCCGGGAGTTTATGGGGCCCGAAGGGAAATTGAGGTGGCCCCACCGTCCTGGGGTGTGGGGTTCATGATGCTGGAGTCACCCTGGAGCGTGCGGTGGGGCGGAGGGAGCTCTGCCGCGTGGCCCCCCACACCGCAGCCCGGGGCCCTTTATGGACTGCTGGGGACGCCCCTCCCCACCCCCGCTCAAAGGCGGCTGGTTGCTGCCCGCTTTCTGCCCGGGCTGCGGGGCCGCCAGTCCCGGGCAGGGAAGGGAGAGGGAGCTGAGCTTGGGCCTGGCCCACCAGGCCCTCTCCGCTGGTCGCGTGAGGAAGGGTGACGGGATGTGCACCCCTGGGCTGGAATCCACACCGGCTCTCCTTCCCCCTTTACGTTCTGTGATTTGGGGGGGCGGGACGGGGGTGTGAGTAAATGATCCGGCAGGTCAGGCTGCCAGCCGCTGCGCACTGCGAAGTGCGAGCCCTGCGCAGACGCCGCGTGGGCGGGAGGCCTGCTGCTGCTGCTGCTGCGGCTGCTGCTGCGGGGCCACTTACGTCCTTGAGGGTGATGATGTTCGGGTGCTGGCCGTACCGCAGCAGGATCTCTATCTCTTCCGAGGGGTCTCGCTTACTCTTATCGATGATCTGAAACAGACGGAGCACCGGCAGGCGTGGGCCTCTCAGACGGCGGTGCCTGGGCCCTTCCTGCCCCTGCTCCCGCCCGCCTGCCCTCCCCACGGCGGCTCTCGACCGTCCAGAAATTCAGGGCAGCCCGTTCTTTCCCGGCTGGTACAGAGCAACACGTGCAAAAGCACGTTCGTCCTGCGGCGTTACAGGTTTGGCCGCACAAGGCTGGACGCGGGGGCTCCCGGGACGGCAGGCCCTGGGCGGGGGGCCTGTGCACGTTGCTGCGTCCGAAACGAGCCCCCAGCTGCCGCATCTCCGGCTGCACACCTGCCACACCGTGTGATCAAGTGTGGCGCCCTCGCCCGGAGCGGCAGGGCTGGCGCCTGCGGGACCCCCCGTGGCTGAGACCCCGGACCCTCGTGCATCTGGCTGCCCCCTCCACCTCTGGCGCTGTGCCCGTGGCAGGGGACAGACACGGCCCTCGCGCCTGTGGACGGGCCGTGGCTGTCCCCTCCGTGCACTCAAGGCGGGGGCAGGCCCGTGTGCGGGAGCTGCTCTCGGGGCGGAGGAGCAGGGGAGCTGCTCCCCACGTCGGTCCCACCCGACTCAGAGGCACCGGCTGATCGGGGGAGGTGCCGCCTTGTTACGCAGAGTGTGAGGGAGCTCCGCCTTCTCCGTGGGTCCAAGAGCCTAAGGGACCCTTCGCGTAAAACTCCGTCTCCTTAGTTTGAGAGGCACCTTACTTTGAGAGTCGTGTTGTTTTAAAAGCTCTCTGGTTACAACAAGAGGCGGGAGGAATCCTCCGCTGACAAGCTCCTGGTCACCGTCCCCTCTCTGCCTCTTTGTGCCCAAATAATAATGGCGACTGCCGGGAAGGAGGCGGAGGACGAGGACCAGTCTGTCCCTCGTCCTCATTCCGTCCCCCTCTTTCCGTGAACAAAGTGCGCGGGCAGCATCGGCCCGCGCTGGGCACCTGCCCCTCACCTGCCCTCCCCGCCTGTCACTGACAGGAGGAGTCCCCACGGCGACAGCCCTTCTCTCCCAGCTCGCGGGCAGCCCACCGCCGAGCCGCGGTGACGTCGGCGCCCAGGACTGTGGCACAAGGACACGCGTGACAGGCAAGGGACACCCTGCCATTCCCCTCTTGCTGCATTTCCTTCCACCGAGGTCCCAGCGGGGGACCCAGGCTGTTATTGAAACCGGCCAGCAGGGGGCGCATCGCTCCCAGGGATGGGTCTCCTAGGGCTCGCCCGGTGGGGAGGGCCTCCTTGCCACCCGGCAGCCCTGCCGCCTAAGGCCGGCGCTTGCCCAGGCTGGCACGCCGGCCGGGGGGTCCTAGGGCTGCCTCCGCCCCGGTTTCCTGCCGGCCTCCCAGTCTTCCCGGGCTGGGATCTTCTCTTTGTAATTCGAAGTTAAAAATACAGGGTCCGGCACAAATAACGCCCCCTTTTTATTACAAAATCAGGAGCATGTCATTCTGTAACATTACACTATCCCAGTCAAGCGCACCCCATGACGTTTTAGGTGAAATGTTCAAATTAGAACTATAAATCATTACACCCATATTACCCTACCAACCACACGCAAGCAGGCATTACTTCTGCCGGACCCTGTATATTAGTGGATTTCTAAAAGTTAGTAGATTTTTTTCCCCTAATAAAATTTCATGATGGAAGAAAGGTTTTCTTAATCTGTTGTGTCGCCCTCAGAGTGGATGACGAAGGAGGAGGAAGCTCTTCCTCCGCGGCCAGCGGCCGGGGCAGGATGGGCAGCAGCTGGACCCGAGGGTGTGGCCGTGGTGGTGGGGGGCACGGGGCACCCCGCAGGAGCCGGGCCGCACCGCCCCCGCCCTCCTGGCCGCCACCGGCCCCTGGCCTGCTCGCCAGCGCGGTCGCGGGTCTGACGCACACACGGGTGCCACTCCGGCCCAGGATTAGGTCCTGAGTCCTGCCGGCAGGTGCTGGCTGTGTGTCTCTGCAGACCTGTCTTGCTTTTTGTTTTGCTTGTGTGTGTTCTGCACGGAGGGAGAGCTCTTCGTGAAAGGTAAGGGGGAGAGTCCTAGCCGGGACCCCGAGCGGTGAGACGCGGTCACTGGCCCCCGGGCGTGAAGCCGCAGCCTGTGCGGGGACGGCAGAGCCCAGACGGCGGTTTAAGCGTGCTGTTCAGACACACCAAGGAGGAATTTCTCCTCTGCGGGGTCAGCTCCTTGGGACTGCTGGTGTTCGACTTGCCTCTAGTGCAAGCGCCAGTGGGCCAGGCGCCTGAGTTTGAGAGTCGTGTTGTTTTAAAAGCTCTCTGGTTACAACAAGAGGCGGGAGGAATCCTCCGCTGACAAGCTCCTGGTCACCGTCCCCTCTCTGCCTCTTTGTGCCCAAATAATAATGGCGAATAAATTCCCCTGCCGGGAAGGAGGCGGAGGACGAGGACCAGTCTGTCCCTCGTCCTCATCTGGCAATGGCCACAGAGAGCTGGCCGCTGGCCGCTGCTCGGCGCTCAGCAGCCCCCGCCGGCGAACAGCCTTCCCGGCGCTGGCCTCACACCAGCGGCGCCGTGTGTCCGCCTTTCGGAGAGGCGTGCAGCCGGGATACCCACGGAGCGCGTCCCGCCTCGCCAGCGGACGCCCGGCCACAGCGGCTGTCCTGGGGGGCGACTCAGGGGCCGACGTCACACTCTCACCCGTGGTGGCTGCGGGGGGGGGGGACGGCCCGGCGCAGGCTTCACCGGCATCGCGACGCCTCTTCCCTTCCCTTCGGTCTCGCATTTCTCTGTCTTCCCCTGTGTCCTCCCCTCGCCAGCGCAGCGCCCCCTGCTGGGCTCCGCACACCTGGGCGGGGAGGGCTTTGTGCTGGGACTTGATCACGACGACGTGGCTGAACCCACTGGCTTGTGAAAAGCACCCCCCCTCACCCCGGCCAGGCAGCGCCTGGTATTTCCGCTGACTCATCAAAGGATCAATATCTCACCGGAAACAAGGCTGGCAGAGTGTGCTATCGTTTGTAGAATTTAACAGACGCCCTCCCTGCACAACTGATTTAAACACATGACACACAGAAACAAGGCCAAGGTCTTCTGCCTGGAAAAAATGAGCATTTCCACACCCATCGGTTTCCCTTCTAAAAATAAGCCCCATCCGCGTCAAGCCGCTGCCTTCATTCCCCCGCTTTTTCGGATGACACGTTCCGCGCACAGCACGGAAACGAGCGCAGGAACGCTGATGCTGCTGGGAAGGGTCTGCCGTGAGTGCAGGCCGGGGCCCCTCCTGGGGAGAGACTTCCCGGCCCGGCGTGTCGGCCGCACACGTGACCAGCATCAAGAACTGGGTGACAGGCGCCGGCACGCGGTCAGGCTCTCACGCGTTTTCAGCCGATTCTAAGGTAATTTCAATGCATAAAGACAACAGGCTGCTGGAAAGAGGCGTGTGCTTTCCTCGGGGGGCCTGGCCCCGCGGGCGCCGTGTGCACCCCACCCGCCGCGCTCGCTGCGCAGGACGCAGGTCAGGCCACAGACAACAAAGGAGCCGCCTCCCAGGGGCCTGCGCACCAAGGTGCCTGCGCCTGCAGCTGGGAGGGTGGAGCAGCTGCAGGAGGGGCCAGCAGGAAGGCCCGCGGGGCTCCGGGCTCCTCGGGTCTGACCCACATCGTCCCAGGGAGGAGGCGGCGGCGGAGGACATCCCGGAGCGTTCCGCCAGCTCAGGCGTCCGGGGCCTCAAAGCCGCCGCCCGGAGGCAGGGAGACCGGCTCTGCCTGGAGCAGCAGCCTCGGCCGCGGCAGCCGGCTCTCCGCCCCGGGGGCCATTGCTGCCATCCCCAGAAGTTCCCATCGGGTCTGGCCTCCGCCCGGTTCCTGGGGACCACGGGGTGGCCGTTTGCCGAAGCTGGACCCAGACGGCGTGTTCCTGAGCGCCGGATGCGGGCACTCCAGGGAGTCACAGCGCCGCCTCTGCCACAGGGGCCCCGCAGGAGGCCCCGCGGGGGCTGGCCCGGCTCCCCGCCCCTGCTCGGAGCGGGGCGTGGCGGTCGCGGCGCTGGCCCAACGACAGCCCCCCTCCTTCGCGCTCCCTGCGGGTGGCGATGGCTTCTGCTGGTCGCTGATAAACTGACGGGATTCTGGGAGAAACGACCGAAGCGGGAGGAAAGTCCCAGAAGCCCAGGCACGCCCGTGTGGAACACATAGCAAAGCGGGCACGCCCCGTCTGCGGCCGAGGCAGGTCCAGCCCGCGCGAGGGTGCGCGGGACACCGCCCTGCTCCCGCCCGGAGCCTGCCGAGGCGGCAGCCCCTTGCCGGCCGCCGGTGACCCAGGCGGGCTTTCCCCACCGCCTGACGTTCTCACACGACAGGATGTCCTCCCCGGAACTGAATTAAATTCATGCGGAATTTCCTTCCCGCAACCGCTCCTTAATGCGCTGAAGGCGCTGGTCAGGCTGGACACGGGACTTCATAGGCGGAAATCACAAATTAATTGTCCTCCATGTTCAACCAGGCTTTTTTTGGTTTGAGAAATTCAAGATAAGTTTGTCAAGGGAATTCCCCACCCAAACCGGACCGAGGAGCCGGGTTTTCTGGGCTGGCGCCTGCCAGGGCCAAGCACTTTCTCGGTGTCCGTGCCGGGGACGCACACGCCATTCTTGGGGACACGCCTTTTGGAAAAGCCTGTTGCCACAAACGGCAGGTGTGCTGGGATGGGTGGGGCCCTCGCACCGAGTCACCGTTCCGAACAAGTGTTTCAGAGCGCGGACAATCCCAGGGTGGGGGGGCAGCCGCCCCGCCCCCGCTGCTGCCTGCCAGGCAGGCCCTGTGTTTCCCCTGCTGCCCTTCGAAAGCCACGGCACCGCCACAGCCACACTGGGATGAGCCGGGTGGGGCCGGCTACGATGGCCCCCAGGCTGGGCTGGCTCCTCACGGTCCAGTTCGGGCCGTGGCCGGGCAGCTCGGCCGGTTAGCGCGTCGCCCCCGTGCAGAGGGGGAGGGCTGACGGCCCAGCAGGCACACACACGAATCGACCGGGACGCACGAACGGGCAGGCAACAATCTCCACCTCTCTCTTTCTCTAAAATCAACTGAAAACAGAAAAGAGTCCAGTTCGGTTCAGTGGGCAGGTCATGGAATCGAGCGTCGCGTACAGAGAACGTCCAACTTACGCTTTTCCGGATTAGGATACAACCTGTAGGAAGTTTTAGCTGTGATCCACAGTCCACATTTCACCAGCCAGAAAACTCAAGAAACTGGTATTCTGTGTGTCCAGATCACAAATAGAATCTAGCAACAACCCCAGAAGCTAACCCTACTATGTAGAGAGTGACAGATTGGATTACACACAATTGTTACTATTTACTGTTCTTGATGATTGAAATGCCACCAACTTAAGCCTTTGCAAACAGTCTCCGTTTGTGCGTGTCTTTGTTCCTTTGACTGGGTGACTGTCTCCACCTCCCCTTCCCTCCCCCCGCCCCTTCCTTTGCTGATCGCTGTGCTTGGCCGCGACTCCATTTTCCAAACCACGGAGCGCCCCAGGCTGGCAGCCAGTGCGGATCACCTGTAAGGCCGCCTCCGGGGGCCGGGGCCTGTATGTTGAATGGAACTCAACATACAGTCGTGATATGCAAAATAACGCTCCCAAGGGCGACCCCCTGTCACAGTGAGCGGAAGGCCGCCGTGCGGGGCGCGGGCGCAGGTGGGGGGCGGGGCAGGGGAGCGAGCCCGCGGCCGGGCGACGGCCTTACCTTCACGGCGTACTCCGTGTCGGTGGCTTTGTGCACGCACCGCTTGCACACGGAGTAGGAGCCCACCCCGATGTCCTCCTTGACCTCGTAGCCGTCGGTGAAGTGGACGTTGTTCCCATGCAGCTGCTGCAGAGAGACCGGGCAGAGCGCATCAGAGTCCTGGGCGTGGCGCCGCGCAGACGCCGACGGAGCCCCGACGGCGGCCGGAGGGCGCGAGGTCCCCTGACCTGAAGGCGGCTCCGGTCTGAACGCCCCCTGCCCCACCTCTCGGGCAGCGCAGCCCGGGAGCCCACGGGCCACGGAACCCCCGCGCCCCGGGGCTGGGAAGCTGGAGGCAAAGGGGCAGAGCCTGTGGGGACCAGGGCGCGTGGCTCTGGTGCCCTGTCTCAAGCCCTGCCTGCAAGTCAACGGCCAGTTGGGAATCCGACCCCCGCTGACCCGGTGGCCGCCGGCCTCTGCCCGAGCGCAAACCCTCCAACCTGCCGCTTGGAGAGCAGGCAGGACGCTGCTGCCGCCGCCGCCCCTGTCCCCGCCCCCGCCCAGGGCCACTGCGGACACGCGTGCTGTTCCAAACGGACGTGGGGACAGAAACCGGAAATTCAGTGCCACCCAACCTACCCTGCCTGGGTGTTTAAATAAAATGGAATTGTGACTTCCCCTGAGAGTTCTCCACGTCTGGTTCTATTTATAAGGTGGAAAACTCCGTAAAAAACGTCGCCTCCACTCACCCCCACGGGTACCTCTCGGGACAGGGAAATGCTGCCCGCAAACGGGCTGCCCCCGGGGTCCTGGCCCGACCGCCCACGCGAAGCGCCGCGTGGGGCGGCTGTGGGCTCCGACGGCCCCGCCACCGCGGGGGACCGTGCGACCTTCTCCTCAGCACTCTCCCCTCCCAGGGCGCGGGTGACGCAGGGGGAAGCCCCGGCGCGGGAGGCCGTCCGCGGGGGCCCCCGGTTACCTGCACGATGGGGTGGACGGCGGCTCTGTGCAGGTCCTGCTGCGGGGGCTCCTGGACCAGGCCCGAGGCCACGAAGCTGAAGCCCCTGAACAGGTGGTGAGCGTTGGCGCTGGGGGGGACACCCGGCGAGTCTGCGGGAAGGGGCGGGGTCAGGGCTCTGCGGCGTGCGGAGTGCGCGCGTACGTGCTGTGTGTGGTGTATGTCGTTTGCGCGTGCGTGGGGTGGGAGTCACCTGTGCGCGCAATGCAGAGTGCGCGTCGGAGACGAGGATAAGACAGGGTTAGACACGTGGAAACACATGGGCCCGCGTCTGTTTTGGGCGGTGCCGGCGGTTTGTCCTCCACATGGCAACACCACCCAGCGCAACAACTGTCCGAGAACCGCTGACCGTGACTGACTGTGGGCTGCCTGCAGACGGGGGCGGAAGGCCCCCAGGGACCTGGAGCTGGGGGCTCACGCGGCCCTGCCCCCGGAGCCAGTTCTGAATTTGCGCCGCCCGCCCCAGCCCGCAGGGGCCGTGTTCCGCGCACGGCACTGTCCCTGGCAAGGGATGTCCCGCAGAGGCGCCCCGTCCACGGCGGCAGGGGCGGGAGGGAGCGACTCCCTTCGGCCCTGACTTCTCAGGCGATGCACGATTTGTGGCACAGCCTGGCAGCTGTGAGGCTGGTGCTGGTTCAGATTAATCACGCAGTGAAACGGAAGGACAGGTCCCCGCGGGGAGACACATGCGCACCCCGTGGCAGGCGGGGGGCTCGGCGCACTCCCCTGTCAGGAGCCCCCACCGGCCGACCAGACAAGAGCCAAGCGCCCGGGGGACAAATGGGGAGCAGGCAGAATAGCGACCGCTCCCCTGCGTAAGGGCGGGAGCCCAGGCTGGACGCAGGGCCCACGTGCGCTTCCCTGGCACGGCACTCGGGCCGGCGAACAAGCGGAGAGGAAAGCGGCCGCCACCCCCGCGGCTGGGAGACACTCGCGCGGTGGCGGGGGCACGGCGGGTACTCGGTGAAGGGCACCTGGACACACTGGACCGCGCCCTGCAGAGCCACCTGCCGAAGTGCCCCGAGGTACACGAGGACCCGCTCATGTCCGCAGTGTCTAACAGCGGGAGGGACTGGCGACAAGGCGCACACTCAGCAGTAAGGCGGTGGCTGGCGTCACCTCTCACAGTGCCCCCGCCGGGAGCTGTCCCCGGTCTGTGAGTGCCAGTGACTCCAATAAGCGGGAAGGGACGGTGGCGTGGACTGACACGGGCGCTGCCCCAACAGCGAGTCAGGTGAAGCAGAGACAGCAAGCGGTGGCACCCACGTGAGGAGAAGGGGAGCGCGCAGCGTGGTAACGTACTGCATGTTACGACGAGGCCACGTGTCACAAAGTAATCGTGAATGTGAATCTACAATTACATGCATTCACACTTTTCTTGTAAGCGCATAAACCAACACATTTAGACACGTTTCACGAAAACGCCTGGCGAGCGGATGGAAGGGCCGCAGGGGTGGCTTCACTCTTCCCCCTTTTACCCCGTTACTTTGCTTTGATACTTCGCTTTGACGAGGCAGCCGCACGTGGCAGGGTGGAGTTATCCCTCACGGAGGAGCAGGGCCGTGGGGGGTGGGGCGGCCGCCGCAGGGAGGGAACGTGGGCTTTACGCCCCAGCATTTACTTTGGGGACGACGGTGCTGAGGCTGCTCCTTGTGGCCCGGGGGCCGAGCCGTGCACTGTGGGCCCTCCCTGCATTGAGTGACGCCTGCCCACACGCTGTCTCAGGGAGACCTCGCTCGGTGACCGGGGGCGCCAGTGGCGGCCTCGTTGCCAACATCGTGGGCCGCCAGGGGCTGGCTCGGTCTCCGCCTTCACCGCTGTCCTCGCAGGCACCCTCCCGGTCACCGCTAGGGACCGCGATTAGAGTGGGCGGTGCTTGGGGACGAACTGGAAGGCACTGGACTAGAGACGCGTCGTGAGCACCAGAAAGCTCGGCTGAGCAGTGACATGTGACCCGTGTGCCCGATGGACCAGAGGCAGGCGGCGTAAGCAGCACTAACAGAGCTCCGCGATCATCGGGGCTGCTGGCTTTTGGCGCAGCTCTTTCAGGACAGCAACCACAGCAGCGGGTCGCGGGCGGCCCCCGGCCCTCCGGGAAAGCACCCTTCACCCCGGACGCGCCGGTGCCTACGCCGCTGTCCCCGCGGGTCAAGGCCGGAGGACGCGCCGCGGGCAAGAGCCCCAGGTCACACCCCCTCGCCGCGGTACACACCTGTGGGCGTCCGGGCTGTGAACTCGGGGTCAAAGTGGAAGGTGTCCTCGGGCCTGCCCACCGCGGGCTTGAAGGGCGGCTTGATCTCCTTCCTGTACAGCTTCTGCAGCGAGAGCGAGACAGGGCTGAGGGCCGCCGGCTCACAGCCGTCCCGTCTCCTCGACGACAGTGCCCCGCACGCTCGGACGTGCGTGTGAACGTACATCAAATTCCACATCCCATCCAAATAAAGGATGTCCCAGTTCACGGCGTAAGGGTTTGGGGACACGCTCTGTGTTCCTCATTTTGGGGCCATGTTTCAACCTGTGGGGCCTAAGTTACTGGCCGTAGACTTGAAGTAAAATCTGACGGGACAGAACGTCTTGCCGCCGCCCCAGGTGACCGAGGGGAGAGTCCGGCGCCTGGGCGCCCCCTCCCGCCCTGGTGACCTCGGCCTGCCCCTCAGAGCCCGCTGGCCCGGCAGGTTGGGGAAACGAGCACAGGGACTCGCTGAAATCTGCTCAGAAACTCCCAGTGACGCTGAAAAACAGATGTTATCGATCACTCTGATTTTACTGACGAGAAGAGTCAGGCTGAGGCAGGTTAGGTAACCTGTCAGGGTCAAGCGCGGCTGAGGGGTAGGCGGGAGGGGGAAGGGGGCCGGGGTCTCCTGCCTCCCGCAGTTACAGCCGCGCCGGGATGCAGGCGCCGCCCGGGAGGGCCCCAGTTCCGACCGAGGACCGCTCCTCGGCCGGGGAGGGAGCCCAGCCTTGCCCTCAGGGCCGTCCGAGGAGGGAGCACGAGAGAGTTTGGCCTGAAGTCCTCGGCTGCATCTGGCCTGGGGCGCAGGGACGTCACTGGGGACTGAGTCGCCCCTTCGGCCCTCTCCAGACACAGCACCACGCTGCCTGCCGCACGGCGGCGGGCAGGGGGCGGGCGGGGTGGGGGGGGGGGCGGCGGGGACTCCCCAGTCCGGCGCGGGGCAGAGGCAGCCTCCGAGGCGGCCACAGGCTCCTGGCCTGATTAGGACGCTCGTCAGGCACGGCCCTCAGGCGGCACCAGAGCTGGGCAGTGACGGGAACGTCTGCCTCTCCCGGCTCAGCCACAGCGCCCCCTTCCTGACATCTGCGGGGACACGGGGAGGACCGAGGGGAAGGCACACAGACTCTACCCTGAGCTGTGAAGGACGTTTTAGTTGGCTTTTTTTGGACACGCCATTAAAGTGCCCTGAGGCGACTGTCAGGTCAGGAGAACACAATGCCCAAAGCCACCGTGGCGCTAACCTAGAGGAGGGGGCAGGGGACTGACCTCGAAGGAGGCCGGCCTGCCTCCTGGGACGAGGGGGGGCCCCGCCCGGGGAGCCGCACCGAGGGGCTGGCACGACGGGTCGGGGGGGGCGTGGGCAGAACGCCCTGGCGCCCGGCTCCGCGCACACGGCAGCGCCCCTGCTCGGGGCGCCGGGGCTGGAGGCCGCGGCCCTAACCCTCGGAGGGCCCCCGTTACTCCCCAGCGAGGAGCGCGGGCTTCCCCGGGACCGCGGGCCCCGGCCCTCACCTCTGCACGGTCGGTTTCAGCGAGCGCTACGTCGGTTTTGCCAGCCGCCCTCCCTCACACCCGGTCACCTCCACGGCTGAGCGAGCTCCTTGTGCCCGACCCCCAGGGGCCATCGGGCCTGGCCGGCCCGCAGCCAGAACCCGCTCGCCCTGGCTCTGTACCCCCGGCCCCCACCTGCTCCCTGGCTCGAACCCCACTTGTGTGCCCGTGTTCGGGTGGAGCCCCACCTCTCTCCCCGACTGGGACACGCGTGCCCGTCTCCGCGGCCCCTGAAGAGTCTTCCGTGCGTCTTTAACACACGTCATGGGTAACTGCACCCTCAACGGTCTGCGTCCCATTTTTCTTTGACACCTTCCACAAGAGCGCGGTGTGCGCCGGGAGGTGGGAAGCGCAGGCCCCGGGGCACGGGCTGCCACCCCGCCCCGCGCCCTTCCCCCGCGTGCCCCAGGCTCCTGCTGGCTGAGGGGCCCTGCTCTGTCCTCGGCGGTGGCTCACAGCGGCCAGGCCCAGGCCCGGAGCTCTGCCCGCGCAGCGCCAGCCCACTCGGGGGACAGCGCCCCACCCAGGCGCTGGCCTCTGGTCTGTACCAGGCGGTCGGGGTGCCCCCCTCCCCCCTCCCTGTCCTCGTGGGCAGTGGGGACCGCGACGGCCACTTACATTCCAGTCTATGGTCACAAAGAAAGGGTGACGCTTGATCTCCTCCACTCCGTCACTGCCAGCACCTGTCACAGGACGAGGCAGAGGCAGCGTCAGGGCCGAGCGCCGGCCGGTGTCGGTGGTGGACGCTCTGCCTGTGCGGCGGCCCTGGGCGCCCCGCGCTGACCGGCAGCTGTGGGCCCTTCTCAAGGCATCTTTACGGACGTGAACCCGCCCTCGTTCACCCCCTCGTAAACCTCAGTTCTAATGTACGCTGAGTTTTTGGAGTGGTTTTTCTCTTTTTCTTTTCCGCACTGAGAGGGACTAAACCAGAAGCAGCCTCCCAGGTGCGCAGCCCCTGGTGTGTGGAGTCCAAAGGCAAGGAGGCGAGCCCCGAGAGGGCCGCGCGGGCGCGTCTGGACTCGGGCGAGTCCTCACGTCCTCGCGACGCGGGCGAGCACCCCCCACCCCGCACCAGTGGCCTCGGGAGCCGGGGAGCCGGGGCGGGGCTGGGGGGCGGGGGCAGGGCCCGTGGGCCCCTCCTCGGGGCTCTTACCCAGCCGGTTGCAGGGGTTGCGCTTGAAGAGGGCGCGCAGCAGGCTCTGGGCCTCCGGGCTGAGGAACTGGGGCATGCCCAGCTTGGCCCTGCAAGGCAGAGTCGGCTCAGGGGGCGGCCAGGGACCCCCGGCGGCAGCGCCCTGGCCTTTTGGCCTTGAGCCCCCTTCCACGTTGAGGTTAGGGAGGCACTGACGATGTCAGCCGTATTAGAAATTAAACCTGAGAAAATTTTAACTAAAAAAATAAAGTCACTAAAAGACCCCTAACGATCCCATGGACAGAAGTCGCTGTGAATGGGAGTGAACTGTGACCCCCAAGCAGCCCCACGAGGGCCGCGGCGGGGACAGCAGCGACGTCCGGCCCTGGGAACCCCCCCACGGTGGCTGGGAGCCCGCCGGCTCGCGCCTGGGCCTTCACTGCCGCGAGGGTGCCTGGGAGAGGGGCCTCGCTCGCCCCGGGAGCTGGGGCCACAGCTGGGAGCTGCCCCCCTGAAATGCTGTTGCCCCCAGGGGGCCGTCACGAGCCGTCCCGGGGTTTGCGGGAGGGAGCTCTTCCGGCTTCAGGAACGTAAAGTCTTGCTTCCCCTTAAAACGGAAAGGCACTGAGGTGTCGCTAGAAAAACAAGGGACCGGGCCACACGTTGTCGTCCAGGAGGAAACGGCGAGGAAAGCCTCTCTCGGGGGACCCCCACCCGGCCCCCTGCCAGGCACACCACGGTGTCGCCTACAGACACCGCAGCTTCGTGGGGGCTCGGGGCCTGATGAGTGTCCCCTTGCAGGGCCCAGGGGGCTGATGGGGGGCACTGCCTCAGGGCCTCCTGCCGCTCACCCAAGCCCCTCCCCGGGGGCACTGCTGGTGCCCCTCCTAGAACCCCCTCAACCCCGCGTCCCGCTCGGACGGCCCCTGCTCGCCCCACGGATGCCTGGGCAGGGCGGACGCTGCGGCCGGCCTTCTCCCAGTGGCCCCGAGGGCCCGGCCCGTTTGCAGGGGGAGTGACTCCGCGCGAGACGGCGAGGAAGCCCACGCCCTGTTCCCGCTGGGCCCGGGCCCTGCCCTCGAGGCTTCCGGCAGCCACACCCTGAAACGCGGCCCCTGGACGGCATGGCGGCTCGTCCGGACGGAAAACCTGGCCCGGGTGCAGGGCCTCCAGAGCCCCCGGGGCCCCGCGCGGCCGGCCACGCCCTCCGTCCGCGACGTCACCCTTATCGCCAGGCCTGCTCCGTCATAAACCTGCACGTCCGAAGGCGCTGGCGGGCGCTGGGGGCCCACTCACTTGAGGATGAGGGCCATGGTCTCCTTCCTGTCCTTCCCCTGGAACGGCAGGGACCCCGTGAGCATCTCGAACTGCAGGGACACAGCGCAGGGAGGGCGCGTTCAGACCGGCAGACGTGGCAGCAGAACGGCCCCGAGGGGCCGAACGCTGCCGGGGCCCCCATCCGCTCGGAGCCCCGATCGGCGCCGGTCGGCGCTGCAGCGCGGGGAGCCTCGGTGGCTGTTTGACGGAGTGGCCTTCTCATCATAATTTGGCTTTCCTTGCGGGTGGAGGACGGGGGCGGGAACACGCTGACCCGGAAGCAGGATCAGTCCACCACTGAGACACGGGCGCCGCTCCGTGTGGCTCAGGCGTGGGCGCCACTCCCTGAGTGGCTTCCCGTGCGTCTGCCCAGCTGAGGGAGGGCAGCGGTGCGGGCCGACAGCCCGCCGGCCAGCACTGCCAGACCCCGGAGACCGAGGGCCACACCTAGAGACCAAGTGACCGGCGCCTGTGCGACCTCCCGGGGACCAGCTTCCTCTGGCCCAGGGGGACCGCGGCCCCGCGGCTCCGCAGGCAGGGCACGGGCGTGTGCGTGGGGGAGGGGCTGGGAAGGTGCACGGCTGAGCCTCGTGCCCACTGACGAGCCCCGTCAATGCACTCAGGCTCTGTCACCTCCGTTTCCTCCTCAGCTCAATGCCCGGGATGCAGGCGGGCGGGCAGGGCCACTGTCACCCACGGCAGGTCCCACCGCGCCAGAGGCCGGCCTGGGCAGAGCGCTCGGTGCCGGCGGGGAGAACGGGCCGCGAGAGGGGGCGAGGGAGGAGGGCAGGAAGGCCAGCTGGGGGTGGGGACGGGGAGCCAAGCCCGTTTCTAGCAGGACGGTAGAATGCCAGTCTAGACAGTGTCTGGTGACGTGCTACCTGTGAACACGTGACCTAAAGAAAATTCAAGTTTCTAGATGCACATGTGAAAATGTTCAACTCCATGTGTGTATTGGCTCATGTTAATATAAGAGTCAGTGGAAGGATTTTTGTGCTGGAAATAAGAAAACTATGTTTAATATGGAAATCACTGCATCCCTTAAAAATCCTCAGGGCCTAATCCTTAGGTTTTAATCCTAAAACCCTAAGAACATTAGTTAAGCATAGGCGCGTGACTTTTAGGACCTGTGTCCCTTATCTGGATCCCAGTTCTGACTCCGAGGGTGGAATCTGGGGCGGGAGCAGGAGGCGGCCAGGAAACGCCGGGGCGGGCCCGGGCCGGGGGCGGGCGGCGCGGACGCGCGGGGCGGCCCTTACCATGAGCACGCCGAAGGACCACCAGTCGGCGCTCTGCGTGTGTCCCCGCCGGTTCACCACCTCGGGCGCCATGTACTCGATCGTCCCGCAGAACGAATAGGCCCTCTTGTCGTGGTCGATGGCCTCCTTGCTCAGCCCGAAATCTGGAGGGGAAACGGCCCGCGGCCCTTTCAGCCCCTGAGGGGCAGAGCCGGGGGCTCCAGGGTCTCGCCTGTGGACGCTGCCGCACGGGGCTTCACGCCCCCACTCGCTCTGTCTGGCCAGCCTGACGCCGGCAGGGCCCGGGCGCCTCAGTGCCCGCACGTGCCGAGCCGAGCCTGGCCACTCCCCAGGCCACGTCCTCGGGGAATCGACCGATTCAAGAGCGCCTTGAGAAGACACCGGGGAACTGCATTTCTCAGCAGCTGGGGAATTCCCGGGCGACCGACCCTTAACAGGACCCCAGGATGGCAGCCAGGCCCGAGGCGCCTGGGGCCACGGAGGGGCGGGAGGAGGCGCTGACCGGTTGGCGGGGGCGGCCTCCCCGCCTCACCTGTGCGACCACGCGCCTCGGGGCGGAGGACCCAGTGGCCACGCGGGTCTCAGGGGACAGCACCCTCAGCCTCCTCGCCTACGGAGATAAGGAGCCTTCCCCGCACCGGGGCCGCACACGGGAGCGAGACCCCCGGCGCCCGGCGGCGTGCTTACTCCCCGCGTGAGTGACTGGCTTTGCACCTGAGCGTCTGGGGGCTGTTGGCAGTCTGTGCCCGGCCAGGGGACCTGGTGGCTCCTAGAGGCTGGAGCGGGTGAGGAAACGGATGCCCCCCCAGCCCAGAGGCTTCAGGAAGGACCCCGCCCTGGGGACGCCTGGCTCGCAGCCCCAGGAGACCCACTTCGGACTCCCGGCCTCCAGAAGGGCAAGGTGGCGCGCCTGCATTGCTCTGAGCGGCCACGTCTGCGGTGGTTCGCGGCGGCATCAAGAGGAAGTTAACGCAGACGGGTGTCATGGGACTGCAGGGTGCAGTTGGACTGAACTTGGCCTGGACAGGGGAGACGGGGCCCCCAGAAATGAAGCCGGGAAGGGGCCGGGGGCCGGGACTCTGCGGCAGCGAGACTAGGAACATTTGTCCTCATCTGTCCTCAAATCCGAGCGGTCACTGATTCCTGAACCGAATGCCCAGTGATGCTCGGCCTGCGGGAAGGCGCTGGAAGGGCCTCAGGTCAGGAGAGAAGGGGAGGAGGGACCCCGGGACGCGTGAGCCGTCGGGACACGCCCGGCCGCTCGGCCGCCCCACGGCCATGGCACCCGGCCGGCAGGTGCGGCAGGAGAGGAGGTCCCCGAGGGGGCGGCGTCCTTTATGTACCTGTGATCTTAATGTGTCCCTCTTCGTCCAGGAGGATGCTGAAAGGTGGGGGAGAGCAGAGGCGTTGTCAGTGACCGGCACGCGGGGGCGCGGCGGCCTCAGGGGGCCCGGGGACGCGCGGGGCGCCGTCTCCTAGATGCGGGGTGGCCTGCCGTCCAGTATGTGACTGAGACGACAATTTACATGTTGTTCTCTTTGCTTTTCAGTGACACTCCACCTCTGCCCAGAAACGAGCAGCTGCCAAGGTTAATTCCTTCTAATTCTAACCGACGACGTCTTTTTGCCCCCAGCCCTGCAACTGCGTCTCATCAGTTTTGACGAGGAAGATCCCGTTGACCTGCGGAGAGCGAGCCGGTGGCTCGGGGCGGGCAGCCCGAGAGCACGGGGGGTGGGGGGCCTCCCAGCTCGCGCTCGCTGGCGGTGGCGGCGGCAGCCTGGTCCCCGGGACGCTGTCCCCTCTGCGGGGACATCAGGCGGGGCCTTTATGGTTATGTGGCCATTTACCTACACGTGCAGCGGGTGACGTTCTACCATACAGGCAGTGCCGTCATGGCACCGTGGCCCTGGGTCACGGGCAGAGGCTCCGTGCTGCCGCCCAGCACAGAGGGTGCCCAGCTCGGGGGCCACGCCCGAGACGTCCCGGGAGTGTCCGCAGGCCGGGAGGCTGCTCGGGGAGGGCCGCACTCTGGGTAACGCAGCAGGAGGAGGGGGGCGGAGGAGGGGCCTGAAGCCCCGCGAGGACACCCTTCCCGTGGCGGCCTCAGCTCGCCGCCCGTCCAGGGCGCCCGTGCCCGAAGCTGTGGCTCCCAGCAGGCAGGTGTGGGCACACGGGACAGTGACCAGGGACTGAAACCAGCGACCTCACCTTGGAGGTGACTGTTGGGTCAGAAACTGGAGCTACTATAGCTCCCCTTCCTCTCCCCGCTTCACGGGGTTCACTCCTAATTTGTGTGTCAGCTCTACACGGAAAATATCAGACAAGACGGGAGATGGAACCTCCGCGGCTTTGGCGGGATTGTCACCATAACTGAGACTGGATTGGCAAGCTGTCCCCGAAAGGACATCCCGGGGGTCACCGCCAAACACGCACGGGTCCCCCTGGAACCTGGGCCTGGGGATCGGATGCCACTGTCTGTGAGAAAAGCTCCAGGGAAACCCATATGACTTGTCACCGAGGAGTGTGGCTGCTGAAGCGGCTGACAGGGCGTCCTGAAGCCCGAGGTGGCCCCTGTGAGGTGGCCCCAGGACAGGAGGGGTCACCTCGGGAGGGCGGCGCCTCGGGGCAGGAAGGGGTGGGGTGGGGGCCGGGGGGGCGGCCCCCTGCCCGGCCAGACCTGGGAGCGGGGCCGGGCCTCCGCCGGGGCCAGGTCGCGCCGGCCCGCACCGTCCGGACGATTCGGCAGAAGCCGCGCTTGTGTCTGGGCCCCTTTCTGGGTGGCCTCCCGTGGAGCAGGGGTGCGGCTGGCGGGCAGGGGTGCGCTCACTCACTTCTCGGGTTTCAGGTCCCTGTAGATGATCCCCAGGCCGTGGAGGTGGTCCAAAGCCAAGGCCAGCTCAGCCAGGTAGAACTTGACGTCCTCCTCCGTGAACATGACCTAGCGAGGGAGAGAGCAGCTGCCTGCGGCCGGTCTGTTTCAGGGGGGCGGCAAGGAGGCCGCGACGCAGCCCTCAGAGCGCGGCGTGGGCGGCCCCGCTCTGCCCGCTCCACCCGCCGCGCGCGGTGCTCTTCTGGCTCCTGCGGCGGGGACAGGAGCTCCGGCCAGGGCCACCGCTCTGGGGTCCGTGAGGGCACGAGGGCGCCTCCTACAGCGATGGCGTCATCGGCCTCGTGAGGGGCGCTCGGGGCCCCCTGTCCTCTGTCCCCCGGGCCCTGCAGGCCGCCCAGTTTGGGGGTTTCTCTGGGTTTACAGCTTAACTCGAGTGCGTCTGAGGTGCATTTGTAAGATTCTATCCAGGACTAAGCGACAGCCCGGTGAGGAACTATGAAAAAGGCGTCGGAACTCACTCTCCCCCCTCTCACCGGACACCTTCCCCTGGGTTTACGCACACAGGTAGGCTGCTGTCTGCTCCTGGGGGCAGGGGGTCTACCAAAGATGACACACACGAGGTGCCAAGTGTGTGGGGCGCCCGGGGACAGTGGGCAGGGGACACGTGGGTGGCAGGGCCGCAAGTCAGGGCACCGCGGTTCAGGCCAGAGGTTCACACGCAACCTCCAGGCCGTCGTCTTGGAAGGGCGCCTCCCTGTCCCCGCAGCAGCCAGAGCAGCACACCCTTCCTGTGGTCGCTCTGAGGAGGCCAGGCCGCTATCCAAGACCGTTTTCACGTTCACCACGAGAACCCAGTCAACGCAACGGCCAGAAGCCCACAGCCCTCTCGGAAGGCAGGCGTGCGAGCCGGCCCGAGGCCGCCTGTTAGGCATGAGCTTGGCACAAGGGCCGGGGCTGTGCCAGGCTCTCACAGACGGAGCGATCCGTCCCACAAGAGGGTGCGTCCCAGTGGGGCAGGGACCCAGGGCCCGCGGCCCACAGTCCCGGCCGTGGCGTCTGGCTGCGGCCACTCCTCCCTCCGGTCTCTGGAATCCCTGTTCCACCTTCCACGGTCAGCCGGCGCCTTTCCTGGTTGGCTGTTTCTTTTCTAAACGGTTAGCACAGCCGCGGGCTTCCTGGTGCCAGCCCCGCCGGCCGCCGCGCTCCCCTTCACCTGACTCGACGCCGAAGAGCCGCAGCTGGGCCTGCAGCTGAGTGCGCGGGGCCGGCGGGTTTCCCTCCCAGGCCGGCTCTCAGGGCGCACGTCCGCGCAGACCGGCAGGGACCCGGCGCCTGCCCCGGGAGAGGCCAGGCGCCTGGTCCAGAAAGGATCAAAACACACACGTGCACGCTCTCCGCACACAGAACACGCTCATGCACCGCCCCCCCCCCCGCACGCACAGGAGCACACATGTGTGCACCCCCCAGGCCTGCCCGCCCCCTGCCCCCGCCCCGGCCTCCCACACAGAGTGGCAGCTGCGCCCCGAGGCCCTCACCTCCTTGGAGAGCCTGGTGAAGAGGTCCCCTCCCCGCAGGAAGTCCAGGATCAGGTAGAGCTTCCCCTCCGTCTGAAAGGCTGTGGGCGGAGAGAGAGCCAGCGGTCAGCGGTGCCCGGCAGCGGGCGTTTCCTGGTGCAGCCTCTTGAGCTCAGGTGCTACGGAGCGGCCTGTGACGCTGGGTCGCTCCGGACATGGGGCTGGGGCAGGCTGGACACAGCCACGGGGAGCGGGCCTTAGGGAAAGGACCCGATGTTAACGAGTTCTGCCTGTTTCTGACACTTTTGTTTTTAAAGATTTTTATTTACTTACTTTTAGACAAGGAAAGGGGGAGAGGAAGAGGGGGAGAGAAACATCAATGTGTTGTACCTGTCGTGCGCCCCCCGCTGGGGACCTGGCCCGCAACCCAGGAACGTGCATTATACTGGGAATTGAACCCGCAACCCCTTGGTTCGCAGGCCGGCGCTCAGTCCACTGGGCCGCACGCGCCAGGGCTGTTTCTGACACTTTTAAGGGTCTTGAGACTTCTTCCCTTTTCCTTCCCTCCTCCCTTCCTTTTCTAACCCCAGAGGGGACGGACAGACGCAGGCCCTACGAGCTGCCGCTGTCTCCACCGTCGGTGTCGGGCTTCGGGCACCACCGGGCTCGCTCCGGTCCCTCTGGGGGAGGCGTCTGGCAGGGGCAACGGCCCCGGCCCCCGCCGGCCCGGCCTCTGTCCCCCGCGGGGGACTGCGTTCTCCACACCTGTCGTCGGCCCGTGCCCTGACGGCCGCCTTGGGGACCCGCGGCGGCGCCCCCGTTCAGACCTGATCGCAGCGCCACAGTCAGGGGCTCGCGCTCCTGCTTCAGGCCACAGACGGGGCTCTCGTCCCCCACCCCCCAGGCGGGGTGAACCCCAGCCCAACGGGGCTGGCCGCCAACCCGAGGGTCCGGAGCGACCAGCGCGGTTACTGCTGGGTGGTCAGTTCAGGGCCACTGTCGCCGTCGCTTGCCGTCTGTTTACGCTTCCAGGCGGCACGCGGGGTGGGGGGGTCCTGCCGCCTGAGTGCACCTCAACACTCTCCGTTTCCTACAGGTCAGCGCTGGGGCACCCCGGACGCTGGGTGTCAGAGACACGGGGCCTCTCGCTGGACAGCCCTCCGTCAGAGGGTGACCCCCGCAGCGCGGGGCGGACGCTCCGTGCCCGGCGTGGCGGGCGGAGGGAGAACCAGCGCCAGTCGACCGGCCGGCCGGAGCGTGGAGGACGCGTGGGAAAATCTCTGTAAGACGCCCGGTTCCTACCTTCCTCAGAAGCCCCCGGGCGCCAATTCAGAGGGCTCAGGGTGGCGGCTCTGGGCCAACGAACCAGCAGGGGCGCGGCGGCACTGTGACAGGGAGGCCAGCCTCTCGGGGCGTGACCTTAGGGAGGCTGCCAACAGGCCGCGGGGGCACAGCCGCTGGGCTTCTCCCGCAAGTCCACACCTGTATTCGCCCTTATTACTCCTGGGGACACGCCGCGGGATTGCCGAACAAGACTGAGGAGTGTCTAGAGGTCTGCACCCCCGACCCGGGGCCCTTCGCTCCCGATCTGGGCGAACGTCCCCCTCCCCCAACGTCGCCCTCGCCGGCCTCTGAACCCAGCAAGGGGCGTGCGTTGCTCCTGCCGAATGCGCTCCGTCAGCGGCTCGGCCGGGCCCTGAGCTTGGACGCAGCCAGGCCGCTCCATCCCCATTTTTCCCGTTTTCGAGTCGGGAGCTCTCGCCTACTGCCTCTCTGAGCAGGTGAAAGGGCAGAAAGGCGACTGAGGAGCAGCGCCCTGCAGGCTTGGGCCGGCGGCTTGACTGGAGCCTCAGCGCTGTCCCCCGGGGCCATGGGGATCTCGGCCGCTTTCAAGGCGGGGCGGGCAGCTGCCCCTTTAGCTGCTCGGGGCGCGGCAGCCACCTGCCACGCGGGGGGCGTCCCCGTTTGCGCTTCACAGAAATGACCGCGTCACAAATGTGTCCTTCACTCCGGTCTAGGCCAAGAGTCAATGCCAGCAATGAAAGAGCAATAATGCTACTAAAGTGTAGCCGCTCACGTGTGGTTTTCAAGGCAAGGACAAGGCCTCCCGCTCCTTCAAGGGCGCTGAGTGAGAGATGGGACCCGGGGGGGGGGGAGTGATGGGCGGGGGGGCCCCCTCCTGACCGACGGCTCGGCGTCGACGTCGCTGCCCCGGGGCCCCGCCAAAGTGGGCTCCTTTGTTTTAGTTTTGAACCGTATTTACCATAATGAAGCTTCACAATGAAAGGGTGATTCACTTCTGCCAGGATGTCTCTCTCCATCTTCGACCTGACGCGGTCCCGAACTGCCGGAGACAAAAACAAAGGCTTTCAGGAGGCAGGACGCAGGGTCCACAGACCCCGGGTTTAAGACACTGACGGCAAGAGTTCCCCCGACTGCTTGTTGCAGAATTTCTAGCCGCGTACAGAAGTTAACACAGCGGACCGTGGTCACCCCTCAAGCCTTTCGTCGCTTCAGCAATTGCTGGTGTTTGCATGCAGTCTACACACACACACACACACACACACGGGACGCACACACGTGCGCGCGCACACTTAGCCAGCAATCTGACACGAAGCGGTCGGCCCTGTGACGCCTGACCCTTGGGGAGCACCCCGAGAATAGGGACCGCCTCCCAGGCGAGCAACAGGACGGCGGCCCCCGAGGACGTCGGCTGCCGGTCGGCACTATCCCCCGCCGCCCACCCCAACGCAAACCCCGCCCCACGTCACTGGTCACTGATAGCTGTTCGGTCCCCACCCGAGGACCCCGTCTCGGCCCCGCCTTCTATTTTTAATTCTGTCCGTTTCCGGCTAGAAGAGCCCCCCCCCTCTGGCCCGCGCTTCCTGGCGAGCCCAGGCCGGGCTCCCTGCGGACCCCCGGTCCCGGCTGGGACTGAGGAGCGGTCACGCGCTCTGGCCCCTGCTCCCCTGCAGGCCGAGGGGACGTCCGGGGGCTTGAGGAGAGAGGCGGCACGTTTCACAGGAGCGCCTCCCGGGCGAGGCCGTGGGCCGGACGCAGGGGGCCGGTGAGGCCGCCGCCCTCCGGCCGAGCGATGCTGAACTCAGCGAGAGGCTCGGGCAGCAGGTCCGCGGCCCCTCAGCCTAAGGTCCCTGCACCCTGCTGGCCCCAGTGCGCCACCTGCGGGCGATGCTGCGGCACTGAGCAACTTGTGGGGTCCCTAATGACCCCGCGTTCAGCAGTGTCAGCTCATATCTACAGTCCTCGCATGAACCATAAGGGTCACGAAGCGGCCATTTTCTCACTTCCAACGGCACTAGAAATCCACAGAAAGTTTCCTTCTCTCTCTCCCTGAGCATTAATAACTACGGACTATGGATTTTTTAAAAAGTTTAGTTTGTTACAACCAATTACAATATCACCCTTTTGGGTCGTGACATTGTCCCAAGTTTAGCCATCTTGGAACACAGCTGGAATCTGAAGCAAAAAGAAACAAACGAACAAAAAAGATCACCCCTTGAGAATCAGAACAACTGCAAGGTTCCCAGAAGCAAATAGGGTGCACCCGGCGCCATGCCCACGTGACCTCACACGGCCCCACGTGGGGGACGGCAGGACGCGTCCTCAGACGGGGGCCGCGTCCTGCCTCGCTGGGCCGGGACGCCTGGCCTCGGCGTGGGCTCTCGGTTCGCCGGGAGCAGCGCCCCCAAGTGTGGCTGTGGCAAAACAATAGCCGCGCGCTCTGGAGCGGCCGCGGGGGCGGGGACCCCCAGCCTGGCCGGCGGGGGCAGAGGAGGGAGCAGCCGCTCTGCAGGGCAGTTGGGCGGTTCCGGAAAGAAGTGAACCGGACCCCGTTATATTTTTAGGCGCTGCTTTCTCTAAGTTTCCTCAGGCGATTTAGGAACAATCTTTCCAAATAAGTGGATATGTTGAATTAAAATAATGCTTACCCTGTCCTTTAAAGTGGTTCTCTAAGACCGCGTACTATAAATACACTGACCTAGTTTAAGTTGTTTGTGCCTCCAAAGGTAATGGAGTTTCAGTAAAAATAAACTTTAGTTGAAATTGTACTTTCTCTTACTTTTAGTTTTATTGTCTCAAATCCACGGCGAAAGAATATGTTACTGAAATAACGTGCATTCTAGAATGTGAAGATACGTACTTTTCATTTCAAGCTGTGGATGACAAACATCCCCAAGAATTACTTTGTCCCCAGCCGCACTCCAGTGAAAAGCAAGCTCACTTGCTGGGTTTTTTTTTTTAAAGTTAAACTTGTACCCCAGGATGACCCAGGAATTCCACTCCAAGGTATACGTCCAGGAGATTTAAAAACAGCGTCTAGCAGACGGGTGCGCACGCGCGTTCCCGGCAGCGTCCTTCACACCGGCCCGAAGGCGGAAGCGCCCGGGGGCCCAGCCGCGGGCACCCGGTAAAGAACACGGCCCATCCCGGCAACGGAGCATAACTCCGCCTTCGGGGGAGCGCAACGGTGGCCCGCGCTGCAACACGGCAGGGGACCGGGGGCAGACGCGGCGTGAACAACCCAGACGCAGAAGACGCGCGCGTGACTCCGCGGCCGGAGGGGCCCTGGGAGCCGGGTGCCCGACGGGAAGGAGGAGGAGCGGGCGGGGCGGGGGGTGGGCGTGGTGTTTGTGGGGACAGAGCTTCTGCTCAGGGCGAAGAAACCTCTGGGAACAGATGGCAGCGGCGGTCCCCCAGCCCTGTGAACGTGCACTATTCCATGCCGCTTACAGCTGGCTAAGGAGCCGCCGTTCCGTGGCCCACCCCTCACCACAGGTAAAGGAAAGGCTGTCCTTCCTGCTCCCGGATCACGAGGACGGCCGCCTCGTTTTGCTCTGGGGACGTGGTGTTGTTGTCTTCTGCGTTCAGGTGCTCGTTCGTGGGGTCCACGATGGCGCTGTGGCCTGTCTGTGGCAGACGTGCCACCTGGGAGCGCACAGGGCGTTCGCTGCGTGTCTGCGTCACCGCCTCAGGACGCTCTGCCACACACGCGCGTTCCTGGTGGGGGGCGGGGGACATGCCGCAGGCCCCTGAGCGGCTCTCGCACCCGCTGCGCTAGGGCTGCAGCTGAGGTGACGGGCCCAGGACCCAGGCAGGTCACGGGCCAGCGCAGGGGACTGACTCTCCATGGCCGGCCTGTCACGGGCTCCAGCGGCCACCAGCCGGGGACACCACAGAGCGGGCGTCAGGGGAGAACAGAAGCAACAGCTGAAATCCGTTCGCTCGATAACAGACGCAGGGGAGGCCTGGACAGCCGGCCGCAGGCCCATGGGGATGAAGGGACAGTGCGCGCAGGACTGTCCCTTCCAACACCGTGAGGCCAGCGAGCCGCTGTGGACGCAGGGCCTGGCCACGCCCCGGGGCCTCCTCCGGGCGACAGCCTCACCGAGTGCACGCTGCCGCCTCCCTGATCTCCAAACAGCAGCCCAGGGGGACAGGGCCTGTGGGCGGCCCGCCTTCTGCCACCCGAGGCGGGTCCCCCTGGGGAGAAGTCCCTGTCCGCCTGCCTGTCCAGCCCTCACTCCCCGGCCCCAGCACGTGACCCGGGGGAGCCGGGGGCAGAGGCAGGGGCCCCGGGTTCCTGCGCCCGTCCTGCCGTCTCCGTGCGGAGCTCCGTGCCAGCCCTCGGGGCTGGCGTTATTGTCATCGAGTTGGGATCTACGTGGGATGTGACACACTGTTTCGTCACACCTGATTGGTAAGGGGAACCCAAGGCCATAATAAACCTGGTGCAAAAATTGGAAAAAAATCTCACGTTCAGATTTTCAGGGGCTGTCTCGTCATGGTGGAAAAATAAATGTCTATTTCCACCCTGCATTTCACACAAAACAATAAATCCCAGAGCTATTAAAGAGCTAAATGTTAAAGAGAATCAAGCCCTACAAACGGTAACACAGGTAACACCTGTCTGAGAGTCTCTGTTTATCGAAGGCAGTGGAAGGATAAACAGGGGGCAGAGTGACAGACCGCGCGACAGACTGGCCATCAGAAGCGATCGCAACACTGCAAGCAAACAGAAAAGGAGAGATCACCTGCGACCAACACAGAGAGGGCCGGGAGCCTCACAAACGCGCCATCTAAAGCCTCTTATTATGTCGGAGACAATAGAGAAAGAAACCGCGGCTCCAGCCGGGCACTGAACAGAAGGTGGCACAGATCAGACACGCGGGTCCCAGAAGGCACCCACAGACGGGCTTTGTAGGCCTGACTCTGGGCGCGCGGGGGGCCAGGCCCGAGCAGAGATGGGGCCCGGGGCGGCAGCGAGTGGGAAGGGCTGCCCTCACGCCAGGACGGCCTGTCGCTCCCTACGGCGGGCCCCGTGCCGGCCCTGCCTGCCTCCCACAGACCTGCTCAGGGCAACAGGAGCAGACAGTCGCCACGCCAGGCGACGCCCCTCGGAGACGAAGCTGCGCACGTGCGGCCAGCTCTCCAGAGGTGAGAGCGGCAGAGCCCCTCGCTGGCTGAGCCATTGCCCCCTCTCCGTGGCCTTGGTGACTCACGGGCCAGATCCACAGACAGGGTGATGGGGCTGGACCCGTGGCCCTGCCCCTTGACCGGCACGGACGGCCCTTCCCCCAGAAGGAAACAGCACGGAGCGCAGACTTGCCGTCTTCTGAGGCTGAGCAGGTTCACGCTGCCTCTCGGGCAGCCAAGCGGTCCCGGGGGTGGACCCCGAAGAGCGAGATGCGTAGAAAAGCCCAGGGGACGGTCCCCTCCCCGCCGCGGTTACTGGGTCGATGAGCCGTTACAGAGGCCGAGGCGCACGGCAGCCCTCGCTGCCCGCGGGTGGTCCCAGCCAGCGCTGTGGGCGGCCCCCCAGACCCCCCGGAGCCTGCCCTCTCGTGTTCACATGGGAGCCTGGAATCGAGTGGGCTGGCTACGGTGGATGCAGAAAGAAAAGCGTTCCAGGCTGTTCTGGGATTCACCGCAGGTGCTGGGCGTGAAATAAACCAGTGTGCACTTCAAGCCAACCCCGTGGCCCACGCGCAATGCGGAGGGTCCAGGAGAGGCAGTTCCACGGTGTGCCTCGCTCCGTGGGCCCCGCGGTGACCTCCCCGCGCCCTTCGGCTCCGGCGAAGGCGGGGACGCCTGGCACTCGCCTTCCCGGCGGGGTGCGGCCCCTCCCAGCACATGGGCAGCGGGCGCACTGGGACGCTACCCCGGCGGACACGACACTCAGCAAGCCCAGAGCGGCTTCCGAAAGCCCCAGCCCCGGGGAGCCCGCCCCTTGGCGCTCACGAGGAGCTTTGGGTTCTGGACTCTGCCCCCTTGACTCTGTTTCTTCGGCCCAGGGGCCTGTTCTGGGTTTTTATGGGTTAAAACGCTGGCCCCTTTCATCCCTAACAAAGTATCTCAACAGCCACAGTCCCTGGGGACTTAGCCAGTGGGGGACCACATGCGAGTGGTCTTTTGCCAGGTGGCTCCCGTGACGTGGACACGAAGCCAAGCAGCCCTGCCCGGGGCTGCCTCGCCGAGGGCCTGAGACATCACAGGTACGGGGTGTGGGGGGGGGGGCGGTCATTTCATTTTGTTTTTCCTCTTGGACCTGCTACTGAGAAAGCAAGCCCCTCAGGGGCAGAGCCCCCAGCACAACCAGCCAGAGTGACGGGAAGGGGCTCAGGGTCTGACGCGTGCCCTCCAGCCGCGGGGCTCTGAGCGGCTCCGCTGCCTTCTGCCTCAGCTTCCTGCTGTGACAGGCAGGTGATAACGCCGACGGGGGCAGGGGAAGGCACAGCTGGGACCGGCTTCCCCGCTGCTCGCCCGCCCCCTAGGAATCTGCAATCATCCAAATGCAAATCAAACGGCAAGTGAATTAGCATAGAAATGAAATGTGTTCGCACGGAGGCGCCGCCGGAAGCTGATTTCCGAGTCGGTTTTTCCAGGCAGCGGGTCAAGCAGCGGCTCCGGGACGGGGACCCCCGGCCGCCCTGGCTCTCCACCTCTCCCTTCACCGCGGTCCCCCGTGCGGACCGCGCCTGTCCTCCCAGCTCCCGCGGCCCCTGAGCTCCCGCGGCCCTTCCACAGGCTTCAGGGTCAGCCCGGCTGACAGACCGAGGGGAGGTGATGATGGAAAATGAGTTACAGAATATTCATGCGTTTATGGAATATCTGAACGAGTCAGGCTAATGATGCAGAGGCGTTGGGGCCAAACCAAATTCAAAGGATTCTCCGAGCCACGCCCCCCACCAGTGAGGGGAAGAGACCTGGGCCGGCCAGGGCTCCGTACAAGTCCTGCCCAGTGAAAAGGAACGTTTTTTATTTTCTTAAGAAAATAGCTTCCAACCGCGTTTCTGGAACAGAACCACCTATGCTGTAGGGACGGACCGCCCTGAGAAGCTGGAACACTTGAGGGCGTAAAACGGGCTCGCTGTCGGGGCAGCGCAGGGGACGGCACGGCCTGCCCGCCTGGGCGCACAAGGCGCAGGCGACCTCACGCAGCCCAGCGTGCCTGCCGGGACGAGTCACAAACGACCTCGCCTTAGAAGCAGCCGGGCGTTTTCTTTTTATCACACACTCGGACCGTGGGGTATAGGGAAGAAAATGAAAGCAATCGCCGTGCGCCCGCTCAGCCAGCACCTTCCGCCAGCGCGGCGCCGTCAGCATCTGCGCGCGCACGTCTGCGCATTGAGCAGAGTTACGATCGGGCGGCGCGCACACCGTCTCCTGCCTCATCTGGGCCACCCTCCACCTGGGCGCTGCCTGGGGGACGCCGGGCCGGGTTATATACAAACGTAGGGCGCCCGCGTGCGCGGAGGCGAACGCGCCCAGCAGTGCTCTGCACCGGCGCCGAGGCCAAGGGTAGTGCAGACGGACTGCAGGCTCAGCCGCAGGCTGAACAAAGACCCCACTCCAGCCCCCGGCCTTTATTTCATCCCCCAGCGGCGAGGGCGGCCACAGTTTCCCTTTCAGCGGCAGGAGGCGGGCGGGGGGGGGCGGGGGGGCGGAGGTGAGCGAGGGCGAGAAGGAGCCGCTGTGACTGACGGAGAAAAGGAACCATTCGCGGTCTGGTGCCTGCGCTGGGAGGTCACAGCGGCGCCGGCTGGCAGTCCGATGGGTGCGTCATCTCCAGAGCAACGTGGCCGTTCGGATGAATGTCGCACCTCCCCGCTTCCACCTGCCCTTGTCTCAGACAATGGCACCTGCCCCTCGGTGCCTGGGTGGGTCCACCCCGATGATCTGGGGGTGACGGGGGGGGGGGGCGGTTTTAGAAATCCCCGTTCTTTAGCAGCTGCTGGATTTTAAAATGACAGCTTTACTGAGAGACAACTTGTATACCATTCAGTTCGCTTATTTAAAGCGCACAAGTCAGTGGTTTTTAGAATAGCCACGGAATTCTCCACCTCTCCCCACAGTCGGTTTTAACGCAGTTCCGTCACCCAAACCTCGTGGCTATTATTGGTCTTTCCCTCCCGGCGCGTCCCCCCGCCCCCGCGCCCCCCGCCCCGCGCCCCGACCAGGGTGCACTCGTGGTCCACCTGCCTGCCTCTGCCCGGCTTCCCTCGACAGGGACCCCACCACGCTGGGAAGCCGGTGACTGGCTTCCTTCGCTTCTGTGTGATGTTGGCAAGATTCGTCCACGTTGTAGCAGGAATCAGCATCTCACGTCTTTATTGCTGAATAGATTCCATCGCGTGGCTGTGCTGCATTTGATTTATCCTCCCGCTGAGGGACTTTTGGGTTTTTCCCACTTTTGGGGGTCGTGAACCAGCCGGCGGGGCTACGCACCCGGCACGAGCTTTTGTGTGGATGCACGTTTTCACGGCACCTGCGAGTGGTCGGGTCACCGTGGCTCCGTGCTACACCCTCCGAGCCGGCGCCGGAGTGGCCATTCCCCGTTACCGACATTCTGACGCCCCTGAACTAACAAAGGCCTGACTTAACGTTCCATTTCTACGGGACTCCTGCTAAGTAAAGAGATTATTGGATTAAAATTTGGGACTAGAAAGACAAGAGCTTTTTTTGTTTCCTATATGCTTTCCTATATACTTTTGTTTCCTACACACATCAAGGCTGTATAGGGCATAACAAAAAAACCATTTCTTTAAAATTATGTTCTTATCAGAATCCTGGAATATTTGGCCAAGTTCAGTCGACAGTTTTACAAACATAATCGCAGCTGCAATAAACAACATCCATGATAAAGAGCGCAGCCTCGCTGATGTTGCTACTGATAGCCCTGTGCTACACACTCGGGCGTCTGTGACAACGCAGGTGCCGAGGGCAAGGACCCAGAGCTCCGTGTGCACAAAACCACAGGGACAGTGGGTTAACGAGGCCCAGTTCTCGGTGCTGCCCCGAGGGACTCGGATTTGGCAGGCCAGGAGCGGGCCCAGGAGCCTGTTTAGCAATTTTCCCTCCTGACACATGCAGGCGATTCTCTGGCGGCCTCTGCCTCGACAGAGGGGTGCTCTTGGCCAGGCTGCCGCGGTGCCCCAACTCCTGACTTCCCGTCAGCACCCTCCAGACTGGAGCCCCCCAACCCCTGTGTGCCCTCATTTGGAGGAGCTCATTTCCTCCTCCGAACACTAACGGTTTCGTTGCTACACGTTTGGTCTATGCATTTGTTGCCCTATATTGTTGGGTACATGCAATTCAAAATGTGTCCCACCTACCAGCTAGACAGCAAGCACCTTGCAGGTACTTGCCCAGGCCCCTCTGGGGTCTAAGAGAAGCCCTTTCAGGTTTCAGGCCCCAGAGGCCTAGCCTGCGTCCGCTCCCTTCACAGAGGTCCTCCCTCACCCAGACACAGAGGCTCCCCCGCCGGCCGGCCCCCCAACAGGCTGGGCCGGCTGCGCCCATCTAGTCTTCCCCTCTCAGGCTGCAGCTCCCTGCTGCCCAGCATCCTCCAAACCACTTCGGGGGCCACCCCACCTTCTTGCTCCCATGAAGCCAGCCCCCCACCGCCTACTCTGTTGAGAGCGCAGCTGAGCGGCCCAGGTGGCGCCGTGCCCTCCTGCCCGGGGACGGGGTGAGAGCGCATGTGATAACCGCTCTGCGTCCCACCGCCCGGGCCCGATGGCGCCTGTGGCCGCCTCGCGCTGGGTAGCGCCTGGACCCTCTTTCACCAGCGGCGTAGAGGCCGCGATCCCACCCCACGCAGGCGGCCTCGGGCCTGCGTGCTATCGGCCAGGCGCCTGTAAGTGCGCAGCAGCTCTCAGAAGAGCGCTTTGTTTTGACCCGCGTTTGGAGCAGGGGCTTTGCTGGAGGGGAGGGCGCCCAACCACGTGTTGGCCTCTGTTTCTAAAGCGCAGTCCCCGGGACAACGCAGGAAGGGAAACAGCCTGCGTCCCGTCCTGTTTCAAACCGAACCCTGCAGGCGGAAGGACCCGGGCTGCTCAGCCGGACGCATGCGCCCGACCACCTGCTCGCCCCCCATGCCCCACCCCCAGGCTCCTTCTACCAAGTGGCGGGCAGGAGCGCAGCGCTTGCGGGTTAGGGCGGGACGTGTGCAACATGTCATTTCTCTCTGGCAGTTGTGGGACGGGTGCAGCGACATGTGAAACACTCGTGGAAAGGTTTACACGGTTTATTTCCAATTAGCGAGGAGCGCGCCAGATACCCTCCCGCAGGGAGCGCTCCCGCCGCCAGGCGGCGCTGCACAGGCGTGGCCTCTGCGGCTGCGCGCGGCTCCTCGGGGACCTCACCTTTCAGGGTCGCCTTCTTCAGGACCTTCATGGCGTACAGCTGTCCCGCGTCGGGCCCCGCGATCTTACGCACCAGGAACACCTGCGGGGAGAGCACGCGACCTGTGAAACCCACGGGATGACACACGTTTCCCCTCATTTCATTGGATAAGGGGACACACGGGGGGGTTGCAAAATTCCCAATAAAATGAACACGCCCTGGGAAAATTTACGACTTTCTCTTACCTCCGGGCTGTCGGCCCCGGTTCCTGTCACCCTCCGTAATGACATCACGACGCATTCGGGGGGAGGGATCATGGTTTGTGTCTGGTGCCATTCGCTCTCTGTTAAGCCTTTTACGTCGGGAGTGATACCACCCTCCCTTCCTTTTTTTTTTTTTAACTATTTTTATTTTTATTTTTGTAATTTATTGTTTATGCTATTACAGTTGCCCCACTGTTTCTCCCTTCGTCTGCCGCCACCTATACCCTCCTTAAAAAAAACAAAAACATAACAACCAACCAGCCATACTCACAAGTTTGAAGGGAGGGTGCCCGGTTCACCGCAAATGTGCCTGTGAACCCCCCGGAGAGCCCCCCTGAGCCCCTTCTGATCGCATGCAGCAGGCTCTCCTCCTCAAGAGAAACTCACTTCTCTTCCTTCGCGCTTTCTTCGCCCAGATTCTACCTTTGAGTGGCTTAAGTTTACACAACAGACTGGTTTCTAAACGGCTGTGACGCAGGCTCACGCGGACACTTAAAGCGACTTTCTGAAACTCTCTTGGGGTCTTTCGAGGGAAACCACACAGAACAGACCACCGTTCCAGAGAGGCCGAGCCTCACGTCGCCGCAGTGGCTGTCGAACAAAATTTGCACCAATGGAACAAAACCAAACCAGCAAACGCACCCGGGGGACCCTTCCTGAGAACAGGAACAACAAACCCGCCCTGCGCGCGCAGGGAAATCCAGCGCCGGACCTCCCGACAGCAGCTGCCATCCCCGCGGCCGTGGCCGTCCCCGGGGGGTGAGGTGCGCGCCCGGACAGCGGGGTGCTGCCCCCGCGGTGTGTCGGGAGGCGTGTGGGCGAGCCCTCCCCTGTCCCCGGGCCCCGAGGACCGGCCAGCACAAAGGCTCAGGATGCCAGCTGCAGGGACCGGGCCACTCCGAGTGGAGCTGGTGGAAGTGGCTGCGGCTTCCGCGCCACACGCGTGACAGATAACAGCACGTGGAGTGTGTTCCTGGCTCCCGCTGTGGCCTGTGGCCTGTGTGGAGTGTGGCCTGGCTGACGGCGGGCACCACCTCCTGCCTGTGGCCACACTCCCCCCGCCCGTGGAGAACACGTGTGGACATGCGCATGCACCCGTGTGTGTCCCGGGGGTTCTTCCCCTTGGCTGGACAAACGGGCCTCGGGCTGGGGGGTCTGGGGCCGGCTGCTCCCTCCCCGGCACAGACGTGCGGGGTGCAGACACCAGCCCTTCGTCTCCGCCCCTCAGTTGCCGGGTCACTGCAGAGCAACAGCATCTCCGTGACGCTGCTGATCCTCATTGGGTCCCCGCAGCGGCCAATCGCGGGGTGACCACGGGGCCCAACGGGGATCAGCAGCGTCAGAGAGAAACTGTAAAACACGGCAAAAGCCAATTTCAGAACGAACTCAGCCCGGGAGACTGGCTTCCTCGGCCGCAGGGAGTCGCACGCGGCCCTGACCTGCGTCTCTCTCCCCACCGCGGTCCCGCAGGGTGGCAGGCACGGGCTATGATGTCACGGAACAGCTGCCCGGGCAGCTCCGACAGTTTCGCCAAACCCAGCCGCTGCTGCTTGAACGTTTACCCGGCGCCACTGTGGCAGCCCCGCCTGTGGCCTGGGAGGACGCACGGGGGGCAGGTGAGGTGTCTTTCTCAATCACCCCAAACCCCACGTGTCCCCGGAATCAGCAAAACATGAGCCGACTCCACGCAGAATGCTCCGCAATACCTCCGATCAGGACCATCGATTGGCATCCATGTCCCCAACACACGAGCCGACTAGATGTCAGGTGACAACGTCCCCCCGGAAGGAAGACATGGACAGCCAACCAACTACGTGACAGGGAAGAGGGACAGTTTGGGAGTTTGGTGCCATCTCTTCTCAGAACGCGAGCACCGTAATCTGCACACTGCCCCCCAGGACGTTTAGGGAAAACGCCTCCACCCGCCCGGTCGGTGGTGGCCGGTGAGGGAGCGAGGGCCGGCGGTGAGCGGGGCACGGCCAGCCTCGGGGCCGCGGGGCCGCACGGAGCCAAGTGCCCCGCTGCCGGAGCGCTTGGCTGCCGTCGGCACTGAGCCCCCGCAGCTCCCTCGCCGCCACGCCTGCCCCAAGGGCCCTGAGTCAGGGCGGTCTGAACGGGCTCCGAAGGAGCAAGACGGGGCTCCTGTCATCGCATGGAGCCCCGTGGAGGAAGCGCATAAAGTGGTTTGTGTCACCCCTGTGGTACAGGCGGGAATAGCGGGTTGAAAGAGGCAAATCAACAGGGCAGGCGACACGCAGGTAAGAGGGAGCCAGGCGCCGGTCCCAGCCTCCCTGGCCCTGAGCCACCCTCAAAGGGCGCTCCCCGTGTTCTTTGTTTCTTGTTCTCTTATTTTTCCTTTCTTTAGGAAAATTGAGGATGCATTTTCGAGGATGTGTGGGCTCAAGCGCTACAGCCTGCTCAGCGCAGTGAAAAAGTAAAACTCCGGGGGAGCTTGCAGGAGAGGGACATGCGTGTGAGGTTCTCGGGGGTACAGCCCCCACTTGGCACAGCTCTGTGGGGGTGAAATTCGAGCTTGCAAAGCTGAGGGGCGTGCGGGACCTGCCCGGCAAGAGCTGCTATGAATTTCATTCCTCCAGCTGCGGGGCACGCGCCCACGTGTTCAGGGGCACCTCCACCATGTCCCCGTCACCAGACCACTGAGCGCCCCACCCTGAGACAGGGCGCCAGCCGCAGGGGAACAATACGCCCGCAGCGGGAAGCACAGATGGACTCACCTTCCCGTAGGACCCTTGCCCCAGGACCTTCAGCAGCTCGAACTGGGAGGGGTCGGCCTTTTCGAACCCGTCCTTCGCATGGTGGCTGATGTCGATCTCCTTGACGATGCCTTCTTCCTGCAAGACAGCGGTGACACCGGTGAACACACAGACCTACCGCGTCCTCCGAACGCGCCGCGGTTCTATCCTGCACTGAGGCTGCGGCTTCCGCAGCTCAGCGGCGTGTGCCCGAGATGCCACCTGCCGGCCCGGGAGCCTCCGCTTTTCCCCACAGACTCTGCCCTGGGCCCCCCACCCCCAGGACCACGAGGCAACGGCGGGGACTCGCTGTGCAACACCTCCTGCTTCCGAACACGTTGGGCACCGGCTGGGACAGGGACGGACCCGGAGGCTAAGGGACAGGAGGGCCCTGACGACCCATTCCACTGTCCCCCCTGCCGCCCAGGAGGGCCGCCCACGGGTCCAGCGCGCGGGAGCAGGCTGTGACGCCCGGTCCGTCCCTCCGTCCCCGGCACACTGACCCGGACGTCCTGCCGCCGGGCCTACAGGGGACGTTTCGCTGCCGTCCCAGAGAGCACGTCTCAGAGGCAGGGTCTCAGGCAGCCCAGGGGCAAGCTTTCCCAGTAGGAAAAAAGCCCCTGGTCTGTACGTGAAAACACTGGCAGAAGTCGCTGGACATCGTCCCCAGAAAACTGCCGGCCCCCACAGGTGTTTCGCTTCGCTTAGTAAAGGGCTGTGCTGCCTGCCCCACCGGCCACCGGAAGCCGGAATGCTGGGCGGACAGACAGTGGCTGCCGGGCATGACAGCCTCGCGGCTCCCTGAGGTCCTGTCTGTGCGTCTCTGACGTTTCCCCTCAAGCCGCACGTCCACCGAGCCTTCACCCCCGTCAGAATGGGTTGGCAGAAAAGCCCTAAGATATCTAAAAATAGCGACACGCGCTTGCGTGCATATTGTGCTCCGGGCACTCGGGACTTTGCATACGTTATTTCTTTTCCTCCTTAAAACGCCCACAGGGCGATGTTTCACCCCGACAGCAGCCACATGGCTGGGTGGGGCGGAGCGGGGTCTCCAGCCAAGGGCACAGGTCCCCCCGTATTTCGGTCTACAAGCAAACGCTTCGAACGCAGTCGTGACGGCGATACTCCGCATCACAGCGGTCTCTCAAATGCCTGCGTGCGCTCGCTTCCCCGAAATGGGAAGTCTTACTATTTTATCTCCCTGTGATCCATCGCACGCCCTTCAGAGGAGAGGAAGGTCGCACCTGCTGGCAAAGCCCCTTGGCGGGTCGGGGGCCTTGGCCGCTCCCTTTGCGTTTTTAAAATCCCAGTAACTAGAGAGGACACTTTGAGGGCCTCACTTCAAGGTTTAGCATTTTCGTAAAAACAGCGGTTTTCTATCCGTGAACACAGACAGGGAATACAGCCCCGGTGGATTCTCTTCAGCGAGTCGGGGAGGCTGAACGAGCACCGAAGACAACTGACTGCTCTGGGCGCTCTATTTAGGTCCACGTTCTGGGGGCGGGGGGTCACGCTCCGGACCCTCAGCTCCTACGCACGGCTTTCTGGGCCCACGGGGACCCCTTTAGCCACAGGAAACTGGGCAGCCTTTGGAAGGAAACCTCTCCATTTGTAACAGGGAGAGACAGAGGACAGCGGACCGTCCGGGTGCACCGCGTCCCCTTGTTTTCCGCAAGAGAACTGCCCCCGGTGTGGCTGCTGCAGGCTGGGCTTGCCACTTAGAAAACAAGGCCGAAAGCTGCCCTTCAAAACGCTCGCCAAGTCCCACAGATGCGCGCACGACCGCTCTATCTCCCCTTGACACACCCATTGAAGAAAGAAATGGAAGGCTGTTTGTCAGTCGAATCAGAGCAATATGCCCTTTGCCTGTTAATAAAGCATTGCCCTGGCAACGCGCCCGGCCGCCCCCCGCCTGCAGCCTCGCACCGAGTCCTCCCGCGCCCCAGCCTCCTTCTGAGGCAGCTCCAGTCACGCAGCGGTAACGCGACACCCACGTTAGGAAAAACGTAGTAAGTCACGCGATCACACCTCCCTGTGCCTTGTTCTGGGAACGTGAGCCTGTTCTCAGTCACACTGCTGAACAGAAGGTGGAATTCCACCCCGAAAGGCACGGGTGGGAGGGAGGACGTGCCCTCAACAAAACGGCCCTGGAGGCAGGGGGCGCGGGGCGCGGGCTCGTCCCCCGCTGGCCTCTCCCTTGGACACGTTCTGTAGCACGTGAGTGTGTTCCCCAAAGACTGCCACATCGTCTATATCTTTTGGCTGCTCGTTTTGGGGGCCAGCGCCCCAGAACTGGGGTAACGAGGTCCCTCGACCTGCTGGGACACCAGAGGCCCCCCACCCCGCCATGAACCTGCCATCAGACGGGTGCGCCTGGCTCCGGCGGGCGCGCTCTTCCTGCGGGAGCCTGCGGTGCCCCGCGCCCCACCCAGGGCCCCGGGCCTCCCCAGCACCGCCCTGCCGGGCTCCGACCTCGGGCGCCTTTCTAAGAACATCGGGGCCCGCGCCCCTCTGCCTCATCCACCCCCCCGCCCGACCCCCAACTCCATGTCAGTGTTTCACTTTCTTGAACCACGGCCTTAATATTTCACATCAGAGGTTTGGACACGAATCTGTCAACATTTCACGTTGCGTGTAGATTCTCGCTGTCACTATTCAGAGCAAATGTGCCCAAAGCACACACTGAATTTCATCTCCAGGAACAGCATTACTCGTCAGGGGATTTCCCAGACAACACTGCAATGCAGTTGATTTCTCATTTACTTTATATATTTTAAAAATACTTTATTTATTTATTTTTAGAGAGCAGGGAAGGGAGGGGGAAAGAGCGAGAGAGAGAGACGTCGACGTGTGAGAAAGCAGCATGGGCTGGCTGCCCCCGACTCCGGCCCGCCGGGGAAGCAGCCCTCCACCCGGCGTGCGCCTGGCCAGGAGTCAGGCCGCTGACCTTTCGCTTTCCAGGACGAAGCCCAGCCCACTGAGCCACAGGGGTCAGGCCTCATTTCTCGTTTAGATCAATAAGGTCTTTAAGAGCAAAGAATCTCAACTATCCATCAAAAAAACCCAAGAGCGTCACATTTTGGACTGTAGAGCTCTGCATTCATAGTGACATTTTGACTTGAACTTGCCTGAGGATACTTTGTTCTTCTCTTTCTCAAGAAAAGAAAGGGTGGGGGGCGGGGGAGAAAGGGAGAAAGAGAGAAAAAGAGAAAGGGAGAAAAGAAAAGAAAGGCCGCCTGGAATCCCCGCTGGCCACGGGGGCCTCGGCGCCAGAAGGCCCCCGGGAGGCGGTGGGGGTGCCCGGCTCGCCCGCGTCCGCCCACGTCCGCCTGCGTCCCCCGCTTCCACCAGGCCGCCCTGTCCTCGGGATCCCGCCGTAATCGCGGCACGACAGGGCAATCAGAAATGGAATGCCACCCGTGCCTCGTTTTGAAAGAAATGGCTTTTGTGCTTTACAGAGCAGGGCATTTTATCCAGACCTCTGTGGATTTTAATGCCATTCTCTTAAGAAAACACACTCTGTCCCTAACACCTCTACGGAGCGCGCTCACCATTTGGTTTCTAGCGTACCTCCTGTCCGTGGGATTTTCTCTGGAAAGAGCGGGAAATTTGGGGGGGAGGCCAGTACCGCAGTCGGGGGCTTGCTTCACAAGCAAGGACTGCAAAAACGTTCTACTGCTAGAGGTAAAAACTGAAGAAATGAGTTGCTTCAATGGCACACACACGGGATAAAATAATTTGTGACGACGGGTTTTTAAATCCGGTTGCACGGCCGGAAGTCCTGACTGGCAGCAGGGATTGCCCGGCAGGAGAGCGGCGGTCGACAGCGGCTGCTGAGCGGCCGAGAGGGGCCACCCTGGGCCGGGGGCGGAGCACAGGCGTGCGCTCCTGTCTGCGCCGACGTCCCCTCCGGTCGCACCTCCGTTCTGGGAATGCCTGTTCTCGTGTCACGGAAAGGGGACTGTTCATGAAAAGTAAGTGTAAATGAAAAGTTAGGAAACATTAGTGACGCAGATGCAGAAAATAAAAAATGGCCACGTTAGCCTTAGCTCTAAAAAGGGGGAGAGGCCACCCTAGAAATCACCGACTCCGCACAGGATGTCACTGTCCAGAAGACCGTGGGGACCGGAAGGGGCCCGGGGACAGGCGGCCTCCCGAGGTCTCCTCCCACACAGGCGGGCGGGCGGTCCAGCAGGGGCAGCCGGGATTTGTCGCCTGTGCCCTGTGAGGCTACGAGCTCACCGACCCTGAGGCCACCAGCTTTGTCACCTGCCCCCAGGACAAAGTCAGCTCCGACTGTCCTCTCCTTGGCCTCTTGCTCTGACACCGGCCTTGGTCTCTCAGCATTTGCTGCCAACTTCCCAACTTACTCATGCATTAAAACACTGGGAAAAGGCTATTTCATCCAGTACTTTTTTTTTTCCTTTTTTTTTTTTTATTAGCAAGAAGGCTCGCCACGCCTAGTGCAGGGCATCTGGAAACGAAAGCTCAGGAGCCTTTGCCGAGCGGACGGAAGGGGCTCCAAGCAGCCCCTGTGGCCCCTGGGAGGGGCGGGCAGGGGCCGCCCCCAGACCCCCCGGGGAGGAAGCACCGCCCGTCCCCGGCGCCCCGCCGCCACCCGGCTCCACGCTGCTCTCAGGGGCGGCTCTTTGTTACCAGGGTAGCTGCGCCACCGAAGGGCACGCGCTGTGCACACACGGTCCAGAGCGGGTGCTGTCTGGCACGTGTGACTCACGTAAGGAAAGAATCGCTAGGCACCTGAACCACAGGCTCCAGGACCAGGGAGGGACCTCCTCCTTTCAGACAGGCTGGCGGGTCCAGCCAGGGAACCGGGCGGCCGAGCCACGGCCTGCCCCGCCGTCCGGACACCGGGCCCAGGCTCGGCAGCACGCGGAGCTGGCCACAGGGGGGTCTGCGGAAGCAGCGGCCGTGACTTCCAGCGTCTGCTCTGCTCGATAAATCGCCCTTGATGCATCTCGGCAAACGTGTCTGCTCCCATGGCTGTGAGCCGATCACGGGGGTGGGCCGATGGGAAATGAGGTCACAGGACCGGCTGCTCTTGTCCACCCATCGCCCCGGAACCTGGGTCTGCAGAAGGT